CGAAAGTTTGAATAATAATCGAAGAAAGAAGCTAGCCGATTTCGGTAAATTATGAGAAAGCGTTTAGTCACCGTTTCAAAAATTCTAATAGGCTAGGAAAGAGGAAAGAAGGGAAGCAAGTCGCGAATAAAGATGCACGAATGGCAGATTCTTATGCTGATCTGCCAGACAAACAGCCTTAAGCGACCAAATTTCCGACTGGTTCGACGAAATTTCGATGTTTGCGCAAACTAGTCTGCATACCAAACACCGATCAAGATTCGCATCTCGCCGCGAATCGCTCGCTCGGACCTCCTTTCCAACCGAATTACATACTTTTGTGCGCGCGTTACGAATAAACTTGACGAATTTTATCGCGATCTAATCTTGCAAAAGTTATTTCTCTTCGACGGAAGAACGGAAACGCGTCGCTATCGCAGTTTCGCTTCGAGTACCAATTAAGTCGTGATCGCTTCGATACATTGTTTTTTTTTCGTTTGTTCGCCGGACATAACGTCTCGTATCGTGACAACGAGGTGCCGCATTTATTCGGTATAAAATTACCAACTGGACGGATTTAGTACGATATTCGAAGCGTAAACGATATTCATTCACCAGCAATATTATATTTTAAGTATACATACAGAGACGAGTAACGAACATCGCAATTGAGGAAACAACAATGTCGACGTGTTGACACTTGTTCAAATTTCTCTTCGAAAGAATATCTTAACGACGAGACTGATAAAAAACGTAGGAATCAGTGGAAATTAACCCAGCTTCGAATCGTCGAATTTACGAAATTATAGGCATCGTTTAAGCATTCGTTCACCGGTTTGGCGAGATAACCGGGATCGAAGAAAACGAACAAACATATCGCTCGAAGGCTCTTTTTTTTCGTGATTAAACCTCCGAGTCAGCGGAACGTGCTCCTCGAAAGGAAATATTTCGACCCGCCGCGCCGCGCCGCGCTGCTGCCGTGAACAATCGCGCTGTAACGTACGTGTGTGCCGCGATTAAACGGTAGAGACCCATAAATCTGCGAACGTCGATCAAGCGAACATTCCTATCGAATCGTTTCTTTCGAGATAAGCAAATAACCTTTTCCCTCCGTAACAATAATAATGTTTCAACGAATGTAATCTTGTTACTCGACAAATCCGATCCAAAACGGACACTTTTTCAAGCACTTGAAATCTAGCAATAGACTCGATCTCGATAGGTCAGGTTAGCCCCATTGTGCTAGTTATTTACGTATTCTAAAATTATCGACCCGTGGCGATTTTTACGCCGAAATCGCGATTAGGGTAGGTTAGGTTCGAAACTGTCGCGGACTAGAGCTATCGTTGTGATCGTAGTTAAACGCCGCGAGTTATCAAAGCCCTCTTACTCGGATCTATATACTCTGAATATTTTCAGAGAAAAATGCAAGATGGAAGGATAAAAATTTCTCTTTATCGACGATAGAACGGAATAAAATCGTAATAGAGATCTCGGGAGGAGGCCGATAGTCGTTCAGACAATCACGTTTAGCGGTGTAATCTGTCGGGGCCAAGAAGAAGGGTACGGCGGATACGCATCGCGGCCGTCTTTTTTACGACGAAACGTCGTCGTCTTTCCATTTTTTGATGACGCTGCCTCTTAAAGTTCCACGCTAGGCGCGCAGGGATACGAGCAATTTAAATTTAATGCCGCTTTTACACTCTCGTCCTCCTCGGCCAACCCCTCGGTACATTTTCTCTTCATCGTCATACATGTACGTACATATATTCGTCCATCTTCCTTCGTCTTCCTCCAACGTTTGCTCTCTCTCTCTTTCTCTGTCAATGCGTTCTTCCTTCTGATTCTTATCTCGAGATTGCGACTTCCAAGGGAGCAATCTTTTGGCCCAGTTTAAAAAGAGTAGGCCTCTAGTCGCGTCGATCTATTTAGATATCGCTGTGTCTACTTTGACTCTACGATCGTAGCTCTCTCGAGGCTCTCAGCCTTGACCGCTTCCTCGCGGCTCGAGCCTCTCCGGACCGATCATCCCTTCAACCGACTCCTCGAAAACTAGCCTATACGTGTATTATTTCGCTACATATATTTTGCCTTAAATTAACGACTCTGAAATATTTTTCCAAACTGATTGATTTACCTTCTTTAAGAAAACAACCCGTTTGAAATAACGAATGGTCTGAGCGTGAAATAACTGTTAATAAAAAACTTGCTTGTTAATGTCACCCCCGTGTATCCGATAAGCTGTAAATTTATCAATTTATTTAGTACGAGGCTCGTTTAAACGATTCAACAATTTTCATGGATTTCAATACCCTGGAAAATATGGGAGCGATAAATTTCGCGTTGATCCGCTAGTGAGAGTGCGACAAATCGTTGAAAATACGCGAAGCTCAAAAATAAAAAGGAGCTCTTGTTTTCGAATTTAATTGCCCTCGATTACGATGCGCGCGTTATCCGATAAAAATATTTCAATTACTCGGAATTGGAGTCGCGAGGCGTCAACATCCGAACGGGACAAATTTATCCGGAAGCGAGATTGTTTATTCAAACGCGTCCGTCCTGGAAAAGCCACGAACGCGAAACAAGAAACGAAACGTGTTCCTTCCTCGAAATTTCCCGTTGCCTCGTGCACGATTAATAAATAACTGGAAAATAGGGTGTCGCGTATCGCTGGCCATACGCGGAAGAAAAACGATCGCGCGAGAAACAGCTTCCATTCCCCCTGATTGCGAATACTTTCGTATTTCGCGCAACTGTTCGTCGACGAATGAAAAACGTTCGCAAGCTCTCGATAAACTGCATATTTCAAATAATTTTGAACGCGACTCTGGAGCATCGATCTATCGCGAGAAAATCGTTGTTAGTCGACGCAACGCTTTACAACAATTTTTCAACGAACGAACGCTCACAAAAATATTAACGGTTCTACCTATTCGAAATACCATTTTCACGGAAAGATACCTCGAATAATTGAACGTTACTTTTTCGACTACGCGACGACAAAGTCGCGTACTATTTGATCAGAAAAAAAAAAAAAAAAGAAAACGAGGCGAGAAATGAATATACGCGAAGAGTAAAATAAAATTAGAGTATAGAATTAATGTGTCGTGATTATAAGTTACCGTAATTTCTGTAATCGTGGCAAACACCATTTTCTTTTCCGTGGGCACAAAAATAACCGTACTTCGAAAGCGGTGGTAACGTGTAATTTACCTTTCCGCGATGGAAAACACCGCTCCTGTTACGAGCGTGCTGCTTAACCGTTCGGTGAGAAACAAATTTCAATTTATTCTCGATAAAATTCGTCTCGATCGCGGTATCGTTCGATCGCGAATTTGAACAGGGTTTATTTAACGGACGCATCGATAAAAAAAGAAAAAACCGTGAAAATTTGTAACTTTCTAAATATCTAATAGTTCGTACCGTGTGGATGACCGGTTGCACCAAGCAGTCGGCGCGTTATTGGAATATGTGTTCGGCAAACGGGAGACAGAGTTAACTTGTTCTTTTCTTTTTATTTGCACTTTCGACGAGTCTCGGTTGACAAATATCGAAGGATCGAAAACTGTCTATTATAGAAAGCGAATGGTAGAAAACAGGAATGATAAAACGAAGGCATTAACGAAGCGTTGAATAAAGCCGAAGTACCTAATGATGGTACCAGTTGAAAAAGCGATCGGAAACGCAATTATGGTAGATAGAGAAATTTCTATCTCGCGCGACACGCTTCATGTTTCATCGCAACTTCCTCCTCGTCGCTTCCCGTGATTTTTAACGAGCACTCGTTACAACGACTTTCTAACGCATTGACGTATCCGAGCATTATCTTCACGGTCCGCGACACAACGACAGAAATCACCGTTCGTGTTTCTTATCGAACGATGGAAACGTTCGAGCACGATTCTCTAAATACGGGGCCCGCAGCCAAACTTCTCCTACGATTTTCTTCCGTTTTTTGGCCAACGCGAAAAAAAAATTTCCCCATCAACTTCTGTACGTTGTACCTTCGATTAAATCGGCTATGCTAACTTATTTAAGATAAACGAATTGCAAGGTCGCGAGTATCGTTGAAACGGAAGAAGAAAATAGAAAAACGAAAATGGTTGCGCTGAAATTTAACGAAGGAACGTGAATTACGAACAGGGAGTATTGCGTCCGGAACTTGGGTTAATAAGGGCTACGAAGCAAATGGAATATGCATGCACGAGGGCTATGATGTCTCGTGCAAGCTGCTCGAGATTCCAATATTCCTCTCGGCTGCAAAGAGAGTTCGTCTAGTTACGGCCAGACGGTACAAGCTCGAAATTTTTCAGAAATTTCAAACTTCTTCGTACCGTCTCTACCCAATTTCCCCTAAAAAGGTTTTTTAATTTCCCCTCCGACCGAAAAATGCTCTTTCGAATAATACGTTCTTCGAGTTTGCGATCAGAAAATAATTCTGATTCTTCTCGATAATCCTACATATTCCAGAAAATGTTGCCTCGCGTATGTTCGTACGCGATTGCGCAACTATCTTCTTTCGTTTTGAACCGTACATGTCACGGTTGGAAAAAAGCGACTGCTAACGGTATGCATCGCATCGTTGCGTAAACTGATGTAAATTTAATGTTGATACAGTTCTGTGAAGTTGAACGAGCAAAGAAGGACTGAATAAGATTCAAAAGCGTGAGGATCGTTGCACCCAATGGAATGCAAGAATCGTCGCTTTATTAAACGATGGTAAACGATCTAGCTGAAATTTTGATTTTTAACGAAGAAATTTTCATATCTTACGAAACAAAGACCTTCGTGGATCGTGCTCATAGTTTTCTGCTTCGGAAAAAAATACTTAAGAATGCAAATGTTGCTTTTCCTAAATACGTGCAACAGCAAAATACGATCTCAACTAGATAAGTTCGGCTAAACTTTTACAGCTACTGTAATAGCAGCGTTTTAAATAACGATAAGAATTCGAGATTGTTCCCGACGGAAATACCAATGAAATACTATATTCTTATCTACAGTGCTGCGTAGAAGCGTTAACGAAAAAACATCGATTATCTGGCTCGTAAGGACGTTGCAACGCGTCAGCTTATCGCTACCTTAAACAGCACGCGTTGGAAACACGAAAATTAGTGACTAACAATGTCGTTGCATCGGTAATTTATGCGTCGCTAATCGAGCCGATAGTAAAACGTTCGGTCTTGTGTTTTTTACGCGAAAACCTTGGCCAACTTGTTCAACATAAAAGAAAAAAGATGAAATTAAACGTAAGTATATCGGTTCCATAAATTTGCTTCCTTCCTTCTTTGTTTTTACGCATATTGCAACGTGTATTTTCTCCAAAGAAAAAGAAAACTATCAAATTATTCAAAATATTTTCAAAGAAAATTACTTCAGGAATACGCGTTATCGAGCGAAAATTGCACGTTCAGCTTCGACCAGGACTTCGACAGATGGTGTTCTCGTCGAAGGAAGGAGCATAATACGGAAATCGAATCTAGAAATGAGCAGTCATCGACAAAAAAGGGAAATGACTTTTGACAACAAAAGCAAAAGTTGAACACCGAGTTTGAGACAATCGTAAGCGCGCTCGTTGACAGCATCCCCGACGTGAGCGAGAAAATAAAGAAAATACAGAAGACCAAGATGTAAAAAGACAGCCCGTTGTGAAGTCGTTTAATAATGAGAAAAAATGTATATTCGGAATCAGCTGATTAGAACGTTGTACGTGAACCAGCAATGTCAGATTACGTTAAATCAAATATGACGATTATTGTTATTACCGAGCAATTGTCACAAAGTATTTATATGAACTAACCGTCAAATTATGTATGAAATTTATAATAGTATTCGTTGCAAAACCAATGAGATTATAATATATTGTTAAACAAGTGTATATACTTTGTGTAAATCTGGTCAAAAAGTTAGCAGGAAATTTGGACAAAATTGAACAGGATGGGATCGGAACAAAGTTCTCAGGGTGGTACTCAAGGTGCCAATGCTAGTAGAGCAAGAAACACCCCTCTGAGACGTGGTAAAAGTGTACCTAATCGTGAGAGAGTACCAGAGGATACCCCTCCAAGATGCATAAGTCCTGGTGCCAGTATTTGTTCGGATTCTGATCTACCATATATATCTTATACAGTGAACAGACCTATCGGAGATTCACCAAAAATGACTAATAAACAGTCCCAATTATACAGAGGAAAGAGTTTGGGTGCACAAGATATATCTAGACGTAAAAATAGTTTAGGTTCCAATAGCTACAGGTAAGATACATTGTTTTTTAGAAATCTGACCATTACTTTTAAATTATTCCATTTAAAAAGTAGACCGTTTTCTATAATTTGTTTAGTTTCTATAATTTATTTTATTTATATAATAGCAATGCAACTATTTGTTACAGAAAAACTACATCCGATAAGATTCACAACATAGTAGTGGTAAAATCAGCTGCTGCTGATCCTACAGCCGACAAGGACCCTGATTTGGTTAAGCTACAGAGTATCCCAATGTTCTTACCCATCATGCGGGGTACACTAAATTTACCCCCTGGTGTTAGAGATCCAGAAGTTTTGGAAAGACTAGATCCTATTGGTTTGTTCAACTTATGCGCGCGTTATCAGCATCACCTTAACACTAATGCTCAAATGATCGCAGCTGAACAAGCTGCTTTATATATAAACATAGAACCAGAAGTTACAAAAATTCTTAATCTGGCAACAGACAGGCAAAAAAGATTTGCCAAATTCGCGGAACAATTGAATAAAATACACGAGCTCAGCAAGCAGCTGACTAAATGTCATTCCCTTCTCAATCAAACCTTGGAAAGTCTCGAAACATTGAACAATCTTTTACCTATCGAGGAGAGGTTGGAACCATTTGTATGGACTACAGGATGAGATTAAACGTAATTACAATATTAAGTTATATTCAAAACGTATTTTTACTGGTGCTAAAATAATTTTGACAAATTTAATACGAACTCTATTCGGATTTTTTTTATTTTTACTATTTCTTATTATTTATTATTCACGGATAAATCTTTACCATCGGTCTTTAGCACCTACGAAACATTGTGCACAGACATCCCTACATGAATGAATAAATATATATATATGTATATATTTTTGTGTTAATTCTAACAAACTTACAGTTGTACAAAAAAATGTAATGTTTAATTTCAAAAATACATACAATTTCCCATTGCCAAAATTTGTACATTTCATTAAACAAGGATAATTTTATGATTACAACAAAACGATGCAGAGCATACTTATTAAAACAGAATTGCAACAAAAATGTATTGGAAAAAAAATGCATTTCATAGTTTGTGGATGCATACATACCCTAGTTGTTAAAACCAGTAGACTTTTGCATTTTTAATTTTCTGTATGCTGCTATGATATCGCTTTGTTGCTTCTCCAATTGCCTCCTTTCTCCGATCGGTAGCTTTTTACGTTTGCCTGTTCTATCCATAGAAACTATATTCTTAGAATTTATTTTAGACTCTTTACTCTTATTTAATACAGAATGTAACAAAAGATCTTTCTTGCCAGGCTGTAAGAAGTGATAAATGTTCTGGATAAATTTATTCGAACATAGAAATACATTATAAGCAAAGTAAAAGATTGTACCTTGGCATTATTTACAGAATTGGCCCATTTTGGCCCAATTTTTATCTGCGGTGGTTCATGTACAATCTCTCCAAATTGAACTTGATCCTTCAGGTTTTCAAACTCTTCTACTTCTTCCTCTTTTCGTTTCTCTTTCTTTAGTTTCAACTTTTCTTTCCTTTTCTGACCTTTTGTCATTTTAGGTTTATCGATGCTTTTCTTTTTTTTCTTCTTAGTACCTTTATCTTTGGCTGTCAATTTCTCAATATTATCCAATTCATCTTTAGCAACTTTTGTAACTCCTTCAATATTTCCTGTTTCCGGATTTCTGTTCACGAGAACGCCGTACTTTTTCTCAAATTGAGTTTCTTTAAGAAAAGCATGCGTATCTCTTTCGACTCGGTGTAAAAATTGCTCCTCGGTTTCTCCAGGTTTCTGTTGAAACAGAGGAACAACTTTGTCCGGTTTAGCTTTCGGATGTAACGGTTTAGATTTCTGTGCACCGACGGATATGAGAACATTATTCTTTTTTCGTTTTCTCTTCTTTATTTTAGTTATCTTTCCCGATTTCACTGCTTCTTTCAATTTCACTATTCTCTCTAAACTTTTCGGTATAGCTTGATCGTCCGCGTCTTTCGGCGGTGCATTTATTTTTGTTTCTAACCTATAATACAGAAGTTCCCAACCTATGTAAATAATTCGAGAAAAAAACTCATGTTACGTTCGACTCACTCTGCCTGTCGCTTGGCCAGTTGCTTAAAAGGATCTTTTACACCTCGATGCTTTTTCCCAGGAATTTTCCTACCCATTGTTCTTAGAAAGAAAGGAAAATATAACTTTCACGTGTACTAAAGCGTCGTCTGCTCAGAGATAAACACGATGTATGGCAACATTCGAAGTTTGAAATGACAACCGCTAGAAATTTTCACGAAATTACATCCTTGCGATAGAGGTACCCACCCCGATATACATATATCTTAATTATTTGTCATTAGATCGGTAATAAATTAATTAGGAAATTTTATATTTATAACGCATCGATCGAAAAGCCTCGCATAAAGTCGAGAAGAAAAACGAGCATTTTACCGTTCAAGATCAATAACGAAACTTTTGATATAGCTATATTAACGCTGAACGATCATTTCATAACAAATGAAATTATATTGCGAGATGAAGATTTTTGAAAGGCAACGCGTTAATAATAAAATTACAACTAGAGACATCTATAGATTCGTGATGCATCCAAGTCAGAAAGGTATTTGCAACGATCGAGGAGGTTAGGTGGCAATGTTCGTTTCTTTGAAATATTCGAATTATTAGCAATCTTTATACGAAAACATCTTGCTATTTATCGGTACAACTAATTTTTCTGATTTTCTTATTCTAAAACGATTTCTAATCACGAATGCGCTTATCACGAATTCGATTGTCTCGTGTGCATCAGGTGCATCAGGTGCATCAGTAATAAAAAGTGGATAAATGATGAATCTAATTCGGCCGTCGGTTTTTGTCGGAAAAAATCAAACGCGCAACTGTCGACAAGTATATTTCATGCGCGATCGATGTATCCACGGGACAAAAGAGGTATTATCATCGGAGGAGAAGAAAAGCGATACGAAGGAAGATTCCAGTTTGGTAGACGATATGTCAGAACCCACGAATTGCTGTATGTCCGGATGTGCGAATTGTGTTTGGATCGAATACGCGGAGAAGTTAAGTGCCACTATCGCAAAGAGCGACGCTGACGTTCAAAAAATGATCTTGGATAAAGTTCAAGATCCTAACATGAGGGCGTTCCTCTCTATGGAACTCAAGTTTCGAAATATAATTAAAGATTGAATAGGAAAATTCGTCGCTTGTAAAATATTGTATATATGTACATACGAACAAGAAATTGTTAGAAAATAAACGTTGTCGTTAATTTAATCGCGCATTCAATCACGTTTCTTGAATCCCTTCCAATTACTACACAATCGAAATAGACCGTTACGAAAATAAAGTTACGTTTTCGGTAGTTATAGATACACCGCGTGAAAATTCAAGTAGAAAATTTATTTAACGGCAACCGTTCGGCTACGGTTCTGATTTATCACCGTTGCGAAAATTTTCATCAAAATGTCGTAACTAATGACTTTCCGCGGAATTTCGAACGAATACCGCGCCATCCGTAAATACTGGCAGACTTGTTCGCAGATGGCAGCACGCGCACGGAAGCGGTTCAAAATGAAATACATATTCGTAATCGTAACAAGAACGTATGCATAGAAATCAGTTACCGAGCTTTTACTCGGGAATGTTTGCTTTTTATTATTATTTCCAACATTCGTTCCAGTTTCTTTCGATCTAAATCGTTCGAAAAATCGTAGATTCTAGAGCGCGCGGTAACGAGTTTCCATCGACTTTCAACGAAATAGATTTTCTGTTCGCAATTTTCCACGTTAACGAACAGAAAGTAAAAATTTCAAAGTTTCTCGAAACATTAAAAACGAGCTAATAGAATGTATAACGATCAGCGTCGGATAGCATAATTGGCATATACATATTTGAAAGAACGAATTTCTTCCGGCATCCTTGACGATACGAACTAAAATAAACGATAAATTGATTATCCGATCGGTTCGTTCGCTGTATCGATACGTTGTTCCGGTAATCCGTATATTTTTGCGCACCGTTTACATTACACGGTCGCGTATTTACATTACATACATATGTATAAAGCCACTTGTGCCGCTTACGCCAGTCAGGAGAATGTGTGACACGTAGAAACGTGTTGGCGATCGAGGAGGCGTATATGCCACTCGTTTTTCTATTTACTCAACGAATACGTTTAACAAAGGCATTAACCGATTTTACGACTAACGAACCGGAATCGATTCTGACGGTGAAAGTTTCGAATGCTAATATAACGAGATTTGCAATTTACACACTGAATATGAACGAATCAATTATTAACGAGAAACATATTATCGTATCTTTGTCTGTATTAAGAATAACCGGACTAATGATTGTAAATACTCGAATGAAATAATAGATTAAAGGAAAGGCATAAAGCGAAAAAGCGAAAAAGCGAAGCGTGGTAAGCGCGATAATTAATCTGCACAATTTATCTTAGCACGCGTATCCGTTTCCAGGAGGAAAGTCGCGGCGTTAAAGCAACGTCATCTCGATTTTCAATGGTACATTCGGTATTCTTTCTAGAACTCTGCGCTAAACAATTGTCTATTGTAACGAATCATATTCTAGCTAAAGAATAACTAACGTCGTTGTTAGGACACACGTGGTAAGTAGGCGCAGAGCCGATACAAAAGTTGTTTGTTATAAAAGCCACAAGTATTCGCAACGAGGCCACTCAATTTCCCCACCCGATCGAACAGAAAATTTCAACGATGGTAGTAGCTTCGAAACCATCTCGTTCCACTCCTGTTCCACGTTCGAAGCGTGGACCTCGCTTTAAAATAAATATAAAGCAAATATCGTTGTCTAAAAAAAGGAACAGTCATCGACGCCCGTACGATTTTTCTCGGGGCTGAATCGGTAGGGTTAACTGCTCCAGGCTCTATCGTTTCGATGGGGGTAGGTCAGCCTTGTGCCGACCGCTAACTTACGCCAATGCGAATAGTATGAAAAATTAGTTCGCCAAGCAAAATAGATAGCGAATAGTAGAAGAACCGCGATAAGAATTTCTGTTAAAGATGTCCGGTAAAACCGTTCCACCTAATCTTATCTCTGTCCCTGCCCACATGTTGGGTCTTTCTAGTATCCGCAAGCGCGTAGTCGAACACACGAGCGTATTCCGTTTGGACAAGTACGTCGGTGAGTCGCGTTTTCCCTCGCAACGCCGACGCTGCTCGGCGCGGCGCGACGCGGCATTTACAGTTTGCGTGCGCACCTTTCCGCGTGTTTCAACACGCACACCCATCTCCAAGAATACTCGTACGCGTGTACGAGCGAATTCGTTAACATACGAGTTCGGGTTAGCTCGCGACTGTGGATTATTTTCGCTTATACCGTGGCGCACGCAATCTTAGAAGTGGTTCTCGCGTTGACAGATTCCAAGCGGGTTTTCGCCGGCTTTCAGCGTCGACCGGTAGTGCTTCGTCAACGGGATCGATGATCGACGCCGTTCCAGCACCGAGGTCGACGATCGACGCTAATCTTTGACGGAGAGATCAACGATCGACGGGACATCGACGATGCTTAGACGATTCGATCGATAATCGATGGTGCTTGGATCGCGGGAACTTCGATCGGCGCTGTTAACGAAAGATCGTCGTTACAATTCGTTCGGCGAAAGATCGCGACGAAACTGGACTAGTTTAAAAGAGTATCGTTAACCGAATCGAGCAAGCTTCGAACGTAACTCCTCTCTTCCCCACAGACTGCGCTATAAGCGTTCAAAGTTCTAGTGCTGCTTCTACGAAACGATGAAAGCGTCAGAAAGCAATTAGCGATTAAAAAAGGCTTAACTAAAATGCACGAGAATATGTAAATGCGAGCTACTTGGAATTAGAATTTCGAAGAGCGGTTTACAGCGCCGATCGAGCTACATAATTAAGTTTTGTTAACGGTCCCAGTTGCAGTCCAGAGAGCAAAATTAATCGGTGAAAAGTGAGTAAACGCTGGATGAATAATCGATGGTGCTTAAGTAGCGCGAGCGACAGTTATCGGTGATTGTGTCGCGAAAACGACAATTAACGGTGCTTACACAGTGGCTGCGACGATTATCGGTGTTTAGATAATGAAAACAACTATCGGCAACGGTTAAAGGATAAAATCGAGAGATACGCTCGTTCGGTTCGTTTCGATCCGATCAGTCGGACAGAGTAGATGCAAGAAGAAACACAGCGGAAGTGTCACGACAGCGAAGCAGCGGAGGAATTCTTATGCAACTCGTTCCGAACGCAAGTTGCATACGTGGTATATAGACGCGTGGTCGCGTACGCGCGCAAACAACGCTACGACTAGTTACGGTAAATTATGAATGATCTCGGTAACGAGGATATTCGCGCGGACCAGGGTGTTCGAATGCTGGAAATAGCGCGCAATCCGTGCACGGAAACGCCAACAACTGGACAAATACACGTGTTGGCCGCGGAGTTGCTCGCATCCCTATATTCCGTACTCGAGTCGTGACGAACGGAGAACTCGGATCTCTCTTACGAAATAAAGAAGCTGAGAAGATCGCGTTTTTCGGTGGAAACGACGAAGCGGAGTATCCGGAGGAGGAAAGGGTCTAAGCTAGATCTAACCTAGATCGTTTCGAGCACGAAGCGAACGTAGATAGATCGTGCGCGAGCACCGCGGAAAAGTGATAACGATGACGAACCTGGACGAGAATAAACGATAGAATGTACGCTTATAGTACGCGAGGAATCGTACGGGCAACGCGCGAACGTGGCCGTGGAACTTGGAACGAACTCGCGTGAATTTTAACCTCGTCGCTTCGTTCTGTATCGTAAACGAAGGGACATTCGCGGAAGCGTCGACGGCCGTGCGCGACTTTCTTTCGACGCTATTTTCGGCCTATCAAATGACGGAAGTGCTCGTAATCGTAATAGAAAAATGCGAACGCGATAATGTTAATCGGCGGTGCTCGCGGCGAATCATAATTTTCGATTGACGTCAACAAGCGTTATCGTTCGCTCTTTATATTCGACGAATCGATCGTTTCGAAAGGATTTTACGCGCGAATCGATGTCGCTCGTTTTTCGGCGATCGAACGAATCCACGCGCTGCCATGTCGACGAGGAAAGGAGAAGCGAAACGGTATCGTTTTACGACCGTCTGTTCGGATGTTCGAAAAAAGAAAACTGATCGAGCAATTTTTCCGTGGACTCAGTGAAAGAGAAAACGAGGGGCGAAACACGGCTGGCATCGGAATCGTTCAACGAAATGCTTATGCCTAATAAACGTTCTTTCACGAAAGGAACCAACGACGAATCGGAAGAGCATACCAGCGAAAACGTTAACAGCATAGTGCCATTGAACGAGCTACTCGTTAATTCGACTGTACCTACGGCCACGGTCGCTGTAAAAGTGTGCGATGATTCCGCGGACGAAATCGGCAGAACCAACGCGGACAAACAGAAACGGGGCATTCTCAGCAATTTCCAGAGAAGAACGTTCAGCAGGATCAGTTTCAAAGGAGAGACTGGACCTTTGCTCAGCAGGTTCATCCGTCTTTTATTATTTTTCCACGACGCGTCCTTGTCCGGTTGTGTGCGCACTTTGCAGAGGGAAATTATAACGTTTCGATTTATCGTTATCAAGCTTATTAACGGTTGTATGAATTATAATTAGTTTCATTTTCAAGCATAGATAATAGAATTCCATAAAAACGCTCATTCTTTCAACGCATTCGCAAACGATGTTTGCGCGTAATGCATTTGCACTGGAAACGTAATAGAATGCCGTGACACTTCGAATAGAATGAACCTCGCTTTTCTGCCGTATTATTTGTAAGTATTTCATCAATTTTTTCTCCTTACTTTACCAGAAAAGAAAAGGACGCTTCCGAAGAGAAGCGTACATACGGTCAATATTTCAACGTTCCCGGTATGCGTTAAAAAAAAGTAATGCTAATTTTGTTGGAACGCTTTTCGAGCGAAAGGTGTACGGTAATTTCGTCGAAGACGCCGCGAAATTTTCGTAGGCGCCGTCAGAAATATCCACAACATCGCGATGAAAACTGGATCACAATACATGGCTCGCGACCCCGCGAAAATAGCGTCTTACCGTTCCCGTTTCGTTGCCACGATCGGCAGAAATCCTGCTTTTCGCGACAAGAATAGAAGCACCTAATTGCGGAAGACGCCGTCGCGTCGGTGGGAAACAGGGATTCCCGAAACGACGCGACACGAGACGTCTTACGTGACCGTACGATCAGTATTTTATCCAAAGTAACGTCCACGTTAATATACCCGTAACTTTTGCATTTTTGCCCTTTTCATGACCTTACATTCGAACCGACGAATAATCGCTCAGGAGCGCGAGTCTCGACATCGAATTCGTTCGAGTAAATCAAACTTTTCACGCTATCGCGATTCATCGAACTCTGATTCATCCCTTAAAAAATTGTCTCTGACGCGATACGAGTTCTAAAGAAGAGATAAAACCGTCGTCGGATTGACCGACGAATATCGCGATTAAACGGTTCGGCGAATCTCGAGCGATCATTAACGAAAATCGGCCGGTTAGAAGGATCATCTGTTTAGAAATAGTGTTCGGTGTCATCGAGGCTCCATCTCTGGCGGCTGAAACGAATCTGGCCGATTGGCGAACCGTGCCAATCTGGCGTGCAAAGACAAAAGGGAAATTCGCTGGCCAAGGGTCGAAATTGGATCGCTTCAGTATCTGCCGAGCCTCAGTTCGCTAACGAACCGTTAACGATACTTAATTAACTACCTTTCCGTTCCCCGTTCTTCGCGATCGTCACCGTCCTCTTCTCATCCTCGACTTTACCTTGAATCGTACTTTTTTTATATTTCTCGGTCACTTTCCCCGATGACGCGACCTCTTTATAAATAGTCCGCGGAGTGCGTAAATCGGTGCGAACTAGAATTTTTCGAAAAGATCAATTTTCCTTCGTTTTCGATTCCGAAGAAAAACATCGTTCGTCGAATCGACGAGGAGTAACAGTGTAGCGAAAGCGAAGACTCGAAAGTCAGAGTGCACGCGAGAATCGATCGCGATTCGTTGGATAATCGCGAAGGAAATTCGTGGATAAACGGATGTGGTGCAAAAGACTGATCTGGATTTTCCAGTGGCTCTGGACACGTTGCGATATTTGGCTCTGACGATGCGTTCTTTATTCGTTCTGTGTTGAGAGCATCCGCTAGAACCGCGGCCTCGCTCGAGAAAGCTTAAACTTAGACGGCGAAATTCCGTTGCAGCTCCAACCGAAATACATGTGTGTCGGCTACTCGACGACTACCGAATGTCGAGTCATTGTTCATCTTCCTTTCCTTCTTCTTTCTTTCTTTCTTTCTTTCTTTCCTTCTTTTTTTCCAACGCGTAGTACTTTAAAATAGACGCGTTAAGCCAAGTCCACGATTAATTAGATTCTCGGGCATTTATTTTTACGACTGAATTTCGTTTAGAAACGTAAAGACGGGGATTAATCGTTGCCACGGTGCGATCGACCATGCGTGCAAGTGATACGATAAATGACAAACGATAAACGATAAACGATAAACGATAAACGAGTGTTTCCGAGACGCTGTCGTTTATTCGAATCGAATTCGAGTGGGAGAGAATCGAGGAGAAAAGAAAGAAATGGACGGTACGACGTCGAAAACCCTCTCCCCGAGTTCTTCGGGTTCTGGAAAGGTCCACTTGGGCGAAGGAATGGCATTGTCCGGCTTGCGAAGGGCGCTTTCTCAAGTTTCCATGTTGGTCGTAAAAGCGACCACCTCCGGAGAAGCTGCCTGGAGAGAGGAGTTGCAAAAGTACGGAAAATTCTTATCGCGACAGGATCGCGTCTTTTTCCACGTTTTCCCACGTTTTCCCACCCGATGGATATTAAGGCATATTAAGTGTCCAATTCTATTCACCGTTACCACGCGTCCTACAGCCACGTGTTACGTTACCTATGGTCGCTACAAATAAAAACTATCGAACTATTATGGAGAAATAGAAGAATTTCGATCAAGAGCAATTTCCAACTGTCGAGTTAATGCTCGTTTCGTGTGGCCGTTTACATTCTTTAAACAACAATCTCTTTGAACGGTTTATGTCATTAGGTTTATTGCGGCTAGTTATCATAATCACAGCCACTTTCTCGTGTCTGCTCTAAATCGCTCCGTTTTAACGGACGCGTGGGTCGAGAAGCTTTCGAAACTCCGTTGCGAGCGTATTTCCTAATCGATGCTTCTATTTTTTAAACTTTAGGAAACGAACAAGAAACGGAATTGCTCTCCGCGATCGCTAAGTAAGATCGAAGATAGTCCATGCTCCCGCGCGTTACGAATCTCGCGAGTTTCGCCGGTTTTCCGAGACAGGAAAGAGAATCTTCCACGTTTTCGCGTCTCCGCGCGACATTTTCCAGCCTCTATCTAAGCAACGGCTCGAACACGTGTACGAGTCTTAATCTATTTTTATCTTGGGTCAATATGTCAGGGTTGAAAGATGCGAAACCACGCGAATTTAGAACGTCGTTTGCCAAAATGACCAATCGAGTCAAACTGAACCTTCCGAACCTCCTGTATCTACGATACGAACAAATTTTATCTTACATTTTCAACCTATTTTCGTCTACACGATTCTATCTTGCCGAACATTTCTTTCGTTTCGTCGGAATCACCACGCGAACAAAAGTCTCGACCTAAACACGAATACACGATGCCATTTTACCGAGATGGTTTCGTTCCAACGTCCGACAAACTCTAACTTACGTTATGACTATTATAGAAAAAGAGGGAAAGCTCGTGTTTGCTCGTACAGCGTCGCGTTCAGGAACAAGGAAGGGCAAATTCAAAGAGATCGCGTCGTATTCTGGCAAGAAAAGCTTAGCGCCTTTGACACGAGAATCGTAATAATCCGTGAGTGCGCAACACCGTCTGTAAACAGCCGAGCCCGACTGTTTTAATCTCGATCTTGTCTAGCTTTACGAATTTTCGGTGTTCCTCATGGCCGCGCTTATTTTTGGTCAAGTCGATCAGACGGGAACTCGCGCGTATCGTCTAGCCGCGCGTAACTGGAACTTTCAATCTCATCCGGAAGTTCTCGTTAAATGCTGTCGCGCTTATTGTCGCTTCCTTTCATTTTTAAAGCGCGTACATTTTTCCAAGTAAACCGTATATCGTAGCTAATAATGATAATTTTCTTTAAAACCGCTGGCTGCTCGTTTAAAATGATCGATAAGCAAGAAACTTTCGACTCTGGTCAAAAACGTCAAAGTTTCGACGATAAGGAAACTTTTGTACCAACGGTTTCTAAAGCGTGTTAACCAACCTCTTTGGTAAGCGGCAAATTATTCGTCGATAATTCGGGAGGCAAAGCTTTCCGACTTTACGCTCAATAGCCTTTTATACATCTGAACGACCGTTCAAGCTTCGAACGCAACAAGTAGTTGTTCTCCTTCCCTATTCGATAAAGTTCGGTGATCCAGTCTGTCTTCGAAATCGGTCAGTTCTTCGCCGAACGTCCAGCGCAACGTTCGACGACGAAACTTCGAAAATCCAGTACGTCACGCACGAGGAAAACCTTTCAGGATGTATTTTTAGCGGAAGACTCGACTCGATATTCTTGGAGAGGTCAACCGTCTACTCCGTGGCATCCGAAGTGCTTTCGGTTTATCCCGATGAAAAGGATTTCGCGAAATTTGCTCGTTTGCGCTAGAAGACGGCTCGATTTACGTACAACTAAATTACGATCTCTTACGCGAATTATTAAGGTCGATCAACTAGTGTCAACATCTTCCTCGAACGTTCCTTTATGCCGTGAGCCAACGTCGATGGCCCAAATAAAACAAGATCGATCAAATATTTGGACGACTCGTGTTCCTTCGTACACGTTTTCGCGTACACGGCAAATCCGATAGCACGAAATTTATAGAGGAATCGAACTTTGTTTTGTTCGCTTCATAGAATCCATTAACCATCCGTTAAGTTCGAAAACGAGGCTACCGAATTTCTTGTTCGTACCGAGTCGTTACTTGTTCTACGTATGTATGTCCTCTATCGTTAACGGATCCGATGACACGCGTCGATTCGTGTGGACGAAACTTTCGACAAAAGTGCTGGCCCTCGAAATTACGACCGATCGAAAATCATGAGTCACGTGGTAACGGACAACGAGCAGGTTTTCCTTCGTCTGTCGATTTTTTGGCAGATTGCCTTCGATCGATTTCTGTCCTGGCTCGTACGAAAGCTGTTCACCGATAAATTACGTCCTCTGGCATTAAACTTCGTATATTTCGGAGCAGGCGAAACGACCGTTTTAAACGGCCTTTAGAGTAGCCGTGGGAGGCGGACCGGCGTCTCGTTCTCCGTTTACCGAGAAACGCAACTGTGTTACCATTTCTTTCGTCGAACCAAGAGGAAATAAAATATCAACCGGTTGTCTGAACGGCCACGACTCTTCTACTTACACTTACGATTCAACCCTCGTTAAAAGAAAGAAAAGCAAAACTGAAATAACGATTATCGAACCTGCAGTATAGACTGATCGCTTGAATACGAATATTTTTGAGGAAAAAAACTGTAAACATAAGAATTTGTCGATTCTTTAAATAGATGGTTAGCTAGACTATACTAGAAGAGAAAAAGAAAATTACAGTGAAAATACTAAGCCGAAACCGAGCACATAAATTGTCGAAATTATAAGCAAATAATAAGATAATAATATATCGAGCTCCGCTTGTTTTCCAAGTCTTAATCTTGCAATTAAGATACGAAGACGATACGAAAGGTTAACGATATCGATTGTTTTCAGATACCGACAAACGAGATTCAGTTCCCGAAGGATACGAAAGAGGGTGGTTTTCAAGCACGGTGATTGCAATGTCGTACAAGGAAATGTCGCCAAACGACGGCGCCGTTACCTTCAGGTAATTTTAAAGCATTTCTAAAATCGTACGCGTGTGCCGGTTCACCTCTGCGAAACGCGTGCATCGTTCAAGGCGATCGCAACAGTTTCTGCCAGTAAAAACGATCGTTTTCCTTTTTTATACGATCTTCTTCGTCCAGTAGAAGGAGACGAACTGTGCGTGTCTCGATCTATTTTGTGAACGCGATTACTTGCCAACTTCTTTCGACCTATGCCGTACGCTTTCACGTAATCCGCGTATTCTGATCCGATCGAAACGTTTACGGTACGTTGCGAATATTAACAGTAATATTAATTTTTCTCGATCTTTCAGATTCTCGCGATCGCGAAACCGATTCATTCGCTAGGTATACCGATCGTTCGATCAATCGAATAGTAAACTGTTCGTTTTCGTTACAGGACATTTTCACGACACTGGTGGACGCACAATGGCGCTGGACACTGTTGGTGTTCTCCATGAATTTTCTGCTCTCCTGGCTTGGTTTCGCGTTGATATGGTGGTTAATCGCGTACAGTCACGGAGATCTCGATCCGGAGAACTATACCAATCCGAATGCGACCTTCACCCCCTGTATCGTCGACATACGCGGATTCACCAGCTCCTTTCTCTTCTCGATCGAGACTCAGCACACGATCGGGTGACTAATCACTTTTGTCGCGGATTCTCTATTATTTTTGATCAGTGATTCGAACCCGTTTCAGACGCTATTAATCACACAGCCGCTTTTGGATCGACTTTCCCTCCCTTCGATTATTTAACATTGACTTAACTGATCGTGCGCTAGAATGGGACTCGCTGTTAGGACATTAACGAACGAGAAGAATAAGAATAAAGAACGAATTCATCAAGATTTCTCGTCTTAGAAACTCGACAAGATATACCGATAACTATGCATGATATCGAGCCTTGAACAGGAGGTATCTAGAATCCTGAAAAAGTACTATGCGCGTTTCAAGTATACCTCGGTATAACGTACTTTTTAAGCTTTTAAGCAAACTATTTGTCGAGGAACGTTCGCGTTCGTTCGTCGCGTTGTCTGGTCCACGCTCGATACGGAAACGATCGTAATCTTAGGTCGATAACTAAATTTCCAAAAGTACGTTTAATCGAGAAATACCGTATAACCGGATACTTTATTGCACCTTTCTTATTCTATGCGATATCGAAAAGTTATTGTAAAGGTACGTGTAGATATTCGCTTATCTTCTGAACCGGTTCGGGAATAGAATATCGATTGAGAATTAATTGAATTCTAATGGAAATACTCGACTCGAGCAACCGTTAAGAGAAACGTGTCTTTTAATTATTACGCATTACGTATCGATAACGTTCGATAAACTTTGTAGGTACGGATCGAAACATCCGACGGACGAGTGTCCAGAGGCGGTGTTCGTCATATGCATCCAATCGATGACCGGCGTGATCCTGCAGGCCTTTATGGTCGGTATAGTGTTCGCGAAATTGTCTCGACCAAAGAAGAGGACACAGACATTGTTATTTTCAAGAAATGCCGTGATATGTCAAAGGGACGGTCAACCGTGTCTGATGTTTCGTGTCGGTGACATGAGAAAAAGCCACATTATCGAAGCTCACGTCAGAGCTCAGATGATCAAAAGAAAGGTGAGTTTTCGCTAAAGACATTTTGTGCTTTTGCTTCGATCTTACAATATTTCGATATCTTTATCTTCGGGATTTACTCTTGTCTCCGATATCGACGTAAAACGTCTGTTGGAATTTCAGGTAACCAGGGAAGGAGAATTGTTGCCGTTCTTTCAGACGGAACTGAAAGTGGGCGGCGACGGAGAAGAGGACAAGATATTCTTTATTTGGCCGACAACCATCGTACACAAGATCGACGAACAATCGCCGCTTTATCACATATCGGCAAGCGATATGCTGCGCGAACGGTTCGAGATCGTAGTTATATTAGAGGGTAAAACGTTACTTTTAAAATTACGATCTATTAACCGTCATGCTTGTAATTCGAAACGGTAAACTAAAAATACGTTACGTAAAAATATCCACGAACGCTTGTACGTAGATCTTTTAATATACGCGTTCGTCAAAAGTCTCGTAATATTTGAAAGAACGAAAGTCCGTGAAGAAAAATGACACTAATTCGATGATTTCAGGCGTGATCGAGTCGACAGGCATGACTACTCAGGCCAGAAGTTCGTATCTGCCGTCAGAGATTTTATGGGGTCACAGGTTCGAACACATAATCACGTTCAAAAAAGAGACCGGGGAGTACGAAGTGAACTATACTTTGTTCAACAACACGTACGAGGTCGATACACCGTTGTGTTCGGCGGCTGATTTGGATAAAATAAGAGCGATGCAACGCGCGAAGGGAGGTACGGGAAATATTCAATTTTAACGAGTTTTCCAAAACAATTTACACGATTAAAGGACAACGATAATTAAATCCGTTCGAAACATCGAGGACAATCGTAAAAAGCGATCTCTACGTTATCGACGATCGTTCGGTCGACCGTGTTCATCGAATCCGTGGTGCAAACCTCTCGCGAGGCAATTTTACGCATCGAATGCCATATCGGACAAAAATCGGAAAAAAGTCTTTCGAAAATAATCATTTTTAGCGAACAAATCGTCTTTGAACGAATCTCGCGTACGCGATGAAAACCGAATAGCAAAAAGAGACCGTTCCATTTGAAGAAAAAAAAAAAAGAAATTGATTCGACTCGTCTTCGAGAAGGAGAAACCAGATTGTTGGAACGTCCGATCGGCGCAGGATGTTTCTGGTGCATCGACTCTTGGATTATCACGGATTCAGATTCTCTGTGTATAATTTCAGAACGTATGAGCACCGGTGGATTCGCTCATTATCGCGACGTATCCAGCAGTTCTTTGACCACCGGATCCGGTTCCAGCTTAGCATCGTCTACCGGCGGATTACACATGAACGTTCCGATGACGCCACTGACTCCGATTCCAGTCATGATCACCGGCCCTGATGGTTCTTTGAGACGCGAGAGCATGCAAAGTGGACAAACCGACGGGAAACAAGCGATATTTTATACGCAGAACGAGGTACGTACACGCGTATTTTCTATATTTTATGCTTTATCGAGAAACTTGGAATATCTGTTGCGTATTATAGGGTACGGTTTGTAACTCGTTGTATCCCATTAGAGAGTATCGGGAAACACGATAAACCTGATCGCATCCCCGATCGTTTCAGTTTCTGGATAACGAACCTCATCCCGCCGGCCACGTTCAGGAGGACGCTACGAGCCAAGAAGATTACAATCGCGTGCTGGAGGACATAAACGCGACGTTAAGGAAAAATCGCGTACCCGGCAAAGACGAGAAAAGAATGCACAGAGAAGCGTCGAGGTGCACCCTCGACTCGAGAAAAAGCGAATCTAGATCGAACGTAGACGTAATAAGAAGATCCAGCTCGAGAACGGCCATGGATCAGATTCCAGTTCTCTCGAACCCACCTCCGAAGTCACCTTCTCGACAGCATTTAGAACCCAGGTAAAAGAAAGAACTTTCCAACGCTTATACGCGTTTCTTTCTACGAGAATATCGAATTTACTGGCGATCTGGTTTTCGTTCGTCTAGACACACCAAGTTTGCTGAATCAGGAGAGACATATCGCGAGCCTCCGCCTCAACCTTTACCTTCCTCCAGAAGATCGAGTTTAGGCGACAACCACAAATCCAAGGATACGCACAAGAAGACTAGTTTCATCCTGGGCGACGACGAACACGTTATCGACGTGGAGCCAATCGTTTCGAGAGGGTATTCGACTCGGCAAGAAGCGTTGGACTCCGATTCATCGAAGACGAATCATCATTCTCGGCAGAGAGGCCCTCAGGAAGAAGTTTAGGTGAGTCTTTGACGCGAATTACTTTGATCCGACGCGACGCGACGCGGTGATAGGACGATTAGATTTTCCCGAAATAAATGGGACACGAAAGCCTTCGCTTCGACATCGATGACCGCCTCGTAAGCTCCAAGGATCCACCGGAGGCAAATTGCCTTCGCGGTGGATCAATTACTCCACAGGCGATTCGAAACGATCGAGCCCTCTTAGAACAACTCGACTTGGCCGTAGAACGGTCTTCTAAATTGTTTTAACTGGGACACAAAGACGTCATGCCGAGTAGTTTTCATGCATATGCGCCGTTGGCTCAAGTTTGTCTAACTGGCCTGTATCCGGTTCGTTTCTAACAGAATATTCCTGCTCTCTTTCGGTTTACCCATATTCCGTCCGTTTCGTTTCAATTACAAATATAATAGAAATATTACAGATCGACATACGTTGAATTTAGAACGATATTATCAACTACGTATCAACTGTATAGTCGGATAATGTATGTCGCCGTTTTAATCGAGCTAACACGCGTTCGTTTTACGCGCGACAGATAACGAGATCCTGATGTGCAACGGCTCACGAGACTCGCTGTCGACTCGTTCGTAGATGGTCGATGGAGTTTGGTCCCGGCAAAGATACCGAAACATTTTCGAATAAACTGTGCAGAGGGTTTTTATCGCTGACTTTTCGAAGCGTAATCGAAGATTACTTTAAGAGACTTACTTCCGAGAAAAAGGCGCGTTCGCGAGATAGTTTCGAAAATGCAGCGAACATCGATAGATTCTCCGAAGAGAAAAGGTAGGCAGTACGTCGAAGGAAGGTAATCGGAATTGGTACGGTCGAGGTATTCCACGTTGCGCGTGATGCAACGCGGGATGCTTGAAGGGCATATGGACGAGTAGAGGATTAAGTGGATATCCAGAGAGCCGTAGGTTAGTTAGACGACACGACAGGATGAGTTTAGTGGCGGGAAGTGCCCTCGTTATCACGCCAGTCAATTGTTTAATCTCGGCCTGGTCTCTTCCCTCTTCGCTCCCACTTCTTGGACAGGGTTTCCATGCGCGTATGTACGCTATATACGTACGGACGAGCCATCATACCGCGCGAAACACGCTAAACCAGCTATCAAGTTCCTCGAGTACGTAGATTCGCGCAAGTACACATGGCCCGTGTCCTTGCTTCTAGGTTACTTTTCACCTGTCTCGTTACGCAGCCTCGCGAAACGAACGCTCTCGCGGATGTCCCTCGATCTCACGAATCCCACAGACTTTCTACCATTTTCTCGCGTTTCGAGTGTTCCTACGTCTCCGTGGATCAATGGCGTCAACGACCTTTATTACGTCAGGTTAACCGACTGTAATTCCGACACGGCGCGTCTCGATTTTTCTGTCGCTGTTCGCGATCGTGTTATCGCGAATCTCTCCGTTTCTTATTCAAAACAGCTATTGTCTGGACGACAATGAGCAGCGTCTAGAATGACAGCCGACACACGGGGATAGAAAAAGCGGCGAAGCCGTATCACCTTGCAACGCGAATTGCGACATCCTCCTCCGGGATTGTCCTCGGTCTGATATGCTGATTGTACTCGCTCTATCTCGCGAATAACGATTCGCGTGCGTCTTCTCTTCGCACCTAATAACCTGTTCTTTCGATCGACTCTATCCTCGTTTATCAACGAGCCGAGATCGACGCGTGGAAATTGGCGAGCAGATAAAAGCGGTACAACCTTACGGTTTGTCGTAAACAATTTCCAAGGTGTAGAATGGTAAGGATTCGCTGAGCAAAGAAAAGGTGAGAGATCCAACGAGTACAGAAGAGAACGGGTATCCCGGCGAGTGACTTTGACTTTCCCGCGATAAAATTACCGTCGTTTCCCTGAGCGCGAGAAAAGGAGTAATTGTTTGAAATACAATTTCATTACACACTCTTGTTTACCTCATTTTCACGGTAACCGTGACTAAGATAGCCGTGTCCGAAGGTCGTCACACTTTTAAAAGCCAAACGTCGTTTGCGTAATCCACGAGGATGTTGGACAGAAAATTCATCCTGACGTTTTAATACGAAGAAACAACGCGCGTATGTACCGTTCAAACAGGTTCACGAACCTGATAATTAACCGGACGAACGCTTATAATTATCGTTGACTCAACATCGTATAAATACGTGAAAAAAGACTGTCACGGAATACATTTTCCGCTTGTCACGGCAACGGCTCGTACGTTCGGAGAAATCCTGAATGTTCTCTTTCCGATTACACGGCGAGTCAACCGAAGAAAGACGCACGAATTTTAACGCGTTAGCCAACGGAACACGTAACGCAGGGATTAACGATCTTGAGTCATCTTCGAACACCAGAATTTAAGATTTCGAGAATCTGACCTCGAAAATTTGAAAATTTCGAGGATTCCGAGGCCGACCAAACCGTTCACGAAGCGTAAAATAAAAGTCGCGCGGTATCGCTTTCTCCGTGCCACACCTCCGTCCATGGCTATTTTCTACCGGCCATGGACGGAGCTGCGAATTGCTCGGCAAACGATTCGTTAAAATCGTAGCAACGATTTCGACGATTCGGACGAAAACGAGAGCGTACCGTCCGAGTACCGACGGTGTTCGTCGAAACGTCACGGTCGTGCCCTCCGGCCTCGTTGACGTAATTGGTTATTATCACGACGAAGTGTGTCCCCTATTAGTGGATACCGGTGTACACAGTGTACCCTGTTAGTGCGCATTGGCGTGCACAGCGTGCACACAAGCTACGAACGCACGTGCTCTGCTCGCGAAACGATTCGGCGCGGCGCGGTGCGGCGTAGCGCGACGAAAAATCAGCTTAACGAGGACGTTCCTACCGTTCTTCGATGGAATAATGGATGGGAACCATGCCGGGAAAATTGCTCCAGCCTATCGAAATTCGTTCACAAATTGTTCGGTCAAGCTCAAATTGCCAAATGATTTAACGACAAATCGTTGCAAACGTTGGCTCTGCACTGTGCCTAGTCAACTAGAGTACATAATTTGGTAGGTGAGGGAACAGCTGACAGGTGTCGACGAATTAATACACCTTGAACAACGTGGCGGAACAAGCATAATAAGATAACGTTGTCCTCTATAGTCTACGTATGCAATAACCGTACAACCAAAAATTCAACCTTTAAATCGACGCGTGTTCGAAGAATCTCATCAAATATACGTAACATCCGTGTGCAAACCGATTAGATCGCCGAATTCGTGTATTTTATGAAATGTACGTATTTCTGAGAATTTGAAAACTGTTCATCGAAAATTTATGTAATCGTTACTTTCTCTTTCATATATGTATACATATACAAGTAGGTTTAGCGAAAAGAAATTTAAAGTACCCGTAAAAGATCCGTAAAAGAGTCGAACGTCCTAGATACAATCGTTCGCGGTATGATACGCTACAATACAGATTTTGTTAATACTCCTATTTTTACGTGTTCCCGTAACAGCTCGGCAGAGTTTTTCAACTTTTAAGAACCTACGTAACTTTTCCGTGAAATATTTTTTACCTTATCTTATCTGCTCGTGAAACGTCACGATTAAAAATAACTAATTTACAGCGCAAAGGAAACGACAAGTTAAACCACGACTTTAGTCTAGTCCTAGTTAATTGGAAAAGTGGAAAGAGGAACGGATTATCGAGAACGATTAAATCGGTAATTCGATCGGAACGAGCGTAACTCGAAAGTTCCCCGTGATAGCTATACTATATTCGATCGGTAGAAGCAGAGAAACTGGTGGGTAAAGTTCTCGATCGAAAGTTCTGGCGGGCCAAGATATTCAGCTTAGAGGAGCAAAAAGGTCCAGAATCGAGTCCGTCGAGCAACAGGTTCGCGAGTACGTGTACGTGACTCGTTGCTGATCGGCGATCCTCGATCTCGTCGAGAAGTAGGAGGAAAAGGCTAAGTAAGAGAGAAAAGAGAAGGGATAAAGACGGGCGAGGAAGGCTCGTTGACGTCACTGGACAAGCTCGCTGCTTGGTACGCTGGTTGGCAACGCGATCACAGTTTCACGAGGTTCCGACGTCGACCTCCGGACCTCTGCAGCCTTTTTTCGATCTTTTTCGGGGAAAATCGAACGATTCGAGTGTAACGAACCCCGGCTTCGAATCGTTCGATCGTCGCAGGAAGGTGGGGTGTTTTCGCGGCGGGAAATTTGTAATTCAAAAAACCGACGCAGCTCGTTCGAACGACATCTGTGGAGACAACGAACACCACGTGGCCAACAGTGTCAATAGACTCGTGTGTTCGAAACTCGATCCGAGAAAAGGTGTCGATTTCGCGCGTGTTCGCTTTGCTCGTCGTCGAAAATTGTCGCTTTCGCGAGAATTCGTTGCTCGCGACGAGTAACGTACGAGGCGTTTTCAACGGATTTAATCGACGATCGTTGGCATCACTGTTCCCCGTCTGAAAGGTAAACGTCGATGACGTGAGAGAATGCGTTAATTGATCGGCGCGGTGTGGCGCGGCGTGACGCGTTATGGCGCGGCGAAATGATCGTTCGGTGGGATAGTTCACGTGATCCGTCAGCGGAAAGACGACGACGCGCTCGGTTAGATGATGATCGGTGATTAATGGCTGGCAGGACGCGAATTTTCCAACATCCGATCGCGTGTCGACCTCGTTGTTCGTCTACCGAATGATTCAGAATGCGCACGACGTTTTCGAGGAGGAAGATCGAAAATGCAGGACCAGAAATCGATTTTGCGAGGATTTCGAGGAATTCGATCCAACGGGATTCGCCATCGGTTGTCACGGTACTTTCAATTCATTATTCTAATTTGAAAAATTCTCTTTTGCCGCCTCGATAAAAATCTTCTCGACCGTACGCGCGAACACGTGCTCGCTAACGCGACGCAACCACTAGGGTTTTTCTCCTAGCTTCACCGACAGCGCCGGCTCTCGTTCATTGATCTTTTCTTCGATAAGTACGGCGATACCGAACGGTTATTTAACCGAGGCAAACGTTGATATTAGCTTACTCGGGCGGGCTAGGTTGAATGGAAAAACGAGATAAACGAGATAAACGAGATAATCGGAAAGGATTAACGCGTTGTCGTAAGGAATAACGGATATCGAATGATCTGCGACGCAGCATGCGAAGGATCGCATCGTATCAACCTAACTCGAGACAGTTCGTTACGCTCACGTGCAGAGATTTCTGCGTTCTCCCTACCGGAAACGTCCCCCTTCTGTCTGGATCCCTATGCAACGATCGCGATTAAACGCGCAATTATAACGATGGGAGTCTCGCGATGTTTATCGATAAGCGTCATTCGGACGCGAACGGATCGCGAACGAACGAGGAAACCGATTGCCCATTAAAACAGGTAATCAGGAATGCTCGAAACTCGAGTGCCACGTAACGCGTATTTCCTCGTTCGTTAACAAACACTCGCGACAGGCCGAACTCTCTTGAATTAAAGAAAAAAATATTCGAATCGTGTCGCGTTTAAAACGCGTTCATTCACCAGATATCGTATCGATGTTCCGCGCAGACGTCGATAAATCCGTTCGATAAGATTCACGGTTGCAGTGATTTTGATCGATGGACGAACGTCCACGATCGTCCGAACGATTCGCTAATTTTCTTTTATCTGAATCGAGGGGAATGTTCTTTGACGAAAGTTGAACGTTATCGCTGCTAACGTCACGATTTCAGAATGAAATCATTCTTCTCTTCCACGTACCGAAACGCTTAAATCCGACAATGAAATACCAACGCGTTTGTCGAACGTTTGATCGATCGTCTAAAACCCTGACACGTAACGTTATCGAGAATTACAGTCGGTCTAATGAAATTTTCACGGAATTCGTGAATTTCTCCAAACACCGAAATCCGAATAAGTCGACGAAAATGAGAAAAAACGAGAAAGCAACGTCGTTTTTCGGAGCTGGCCTTAGCTGAAACGAGTATTACGCAATTTGGAACGCAATTTGAAGGATTTGTCGACCTCAGGGTCTCCGAAAGCCGTATCGACTAGATAACTCGACTCGCGAAGGGGCTCGTGTTTCGTATCCGGCGAAATTCGCGAATAATCGCGCGCGAGTCGTATTTCGCACACGTGCCAAGCTCGCTCGCGCGTATGTGGCACCGTGTCTGCATTATCCCCGCCATAAGAGGTAAACGCCATGGCATCCGTTGGCACAATCTCGTGCTACCGACGCGAATCCGAAACAGTTGCGAGTGCGACGCGCTTACGTGCGCAACTCCAGCTGGAAAACGCGGGAAACGATAGAAAACGCGAGAATACGTTCGATCGTCGAACAAGAGATCGATCTTGTCAGTGAGAATTTCCTTTATTTTCATATTTTGCTTTACGCTCGCGTTACGTTCCTAATCGTAATTTAATGCTCGTTTACGCTTTTGCGTTTCAATTTCAATTTTCGATCAAATAGCACATTTTTTTTTAGATATATCCGAAATTATCGAGTTCTTCCGTTAGTAGATCGAATCTACGAGTTTCGATCAATCGTTCACGGTAAAAACAATCGAATAAAATATCTCGAATAAAGCTGTAAACTTTCGCTTTTATTTCGCCGAATAATATGGAAGAAAAAAGTTACTGTACAGAGTTACTGTCAAGATACTTGTAACAAGCGTGACATTTATAATATTATTACCGCATAATCGTCACCGACAATCTCTCTGGATTAATCGGATCGATCGACTTAAAAAATCGTTTTCTTAATCCTGGAACGAAAATTCGAGGGTAATTTCTAATCACCCAAAACGTTTTAACTCGATGATTCAAAATTACGATTCGTTGTAATCGATCAAATCTGCCAAATAATTACGTAACGACTCGCGTTGTTAGTCATTTTTCCAAGTATGTTTTGCCCATATTTTTCGTCCACGTAATTCTTCGTTTTTCGTTTAACCTTCGAGTAATCTCATCGCGTACCGTTTCGATACTCTATCGTTGGAAGTTCTTTTAATAACGAAAATTAACCTGTCGGGAAACTGTTGCGAAACGTTCCAGACGTTTTTATCGAAAAATCATACATACGCGTTTCGTTTGTCCGGTTAACAGAATCGTAGCCATCGATGTACTCGAGTCTCTCGATCTCCCTTCGCGCGACAAACGTATTTCCACTGAAACCCGCCGCGATTGCCGGTTATTGACTCATTAATAATTCAAGGTGTCACGCTAATTTCCTAAACATCGTCCAAACACTATTCTTTCTCGATATCGAATAAAAACCGGAAACGGTACACCCCAATCGCGACGCGTTTCCGTTCGCCGCCGTGACGCAAATTCATCGGCATCTTTTTTCACCCTTCCTCGTTCATCGATTGTACCAGTGCTTCCCGATCAATTTCTTTCTAGTCACGAGCCTCTTCTTCCATCGAGCAAACGATTCCTTTTACCTTCGAAACCGAAGAGGCAACGGAACGTTTTGCAGTTTCTTCGCGTCGATAAAATACTCTGTAAAAATAATCGCGAATAAAAGTGGCAAATACGTTCGAAAATACTTGCCGATCGATCGGGCTCGCGGGTCGAGGTTTAAACGAATCTCCATCGAGCTCCCTAAGGCAAACTAAAAAAGAAAAGAAACGGTACGAAAGGCGTCGACTAACAGTGTCATCGATTGTCCGTCGTAGGGACGAGGAATGGTGGGATTCCAGGAACGGAAGAACGGTACGAATGCCGAAGGAAAGTGAGAGGGAAACGAAGAAACGATGGCAGCAGAAAACAGAACTTTGCTCTTCGTGGCCGACTGCCGTGAATCATCGTCGCGTGGTGCCTTCCAGCGACTTCATTCATCCTCGATAATAAAAAAAAGAAACAGTTGTCTGTACTCTCGAATCTAGAATCGAAAAATAGAAAACACGCGGTAAACGCTCGAGCAAGTTCGATATCCGCGCGAAACAGAGAATCGAGATAGAACCGATCGAGGACGAGTTTCATTTTATCGATGGAGCTTTCTTCGAACGAGTAAAAGCGAAAGAAGAAAATTGAACAGCATGGAGGAACCGCAGAAGCTGTTTCGTCTGCCGGGTACCATCGAGGAGGAAGAAGAAAAGGATACCGAGGTTCAAGGACATCTACCGATACCAGAGAACCCGATCACGGCTGACTCACCTTTGCTGGGACAAAGGAACACCGGAACCTTGTCCAGTCTACCCAGGAACGTCACCCTCGTCAGGGTAAGCACCCAGAGCAGTAGCATCGGCGGCGTTGGACGGCAAGATTCCACCAGGTAAGTAATTTTCGTTTCGCTTTTTCCGCGTACGCGTAGGTTGTCGAACAAGATACGGAACAACTCGATTTCTTCGAATCCTTCCCACCTGTTCCACATCCGCACCTCTACGCTATCTCGACTAACGAAATACAATAGTTAATACGGGTTAGTCTCCTATCGTAAACACTGCTAATTCCTACAGCTTACGACGTCATCTTTCTATTTAACATCTTCTCGTTATCGTATCGCCTATTTCTGCGACTTGTCGCACAGTTTACGAGCGACCGCTTGCCAAGGCACTTGAAACTACGGACGGAATTCGTTTCTGTTTTAACAGTTGCGGATACGTATCTCGAAACGTAAAACTATTTCTTACGAATTCGTTACGAACGACGAACTAGAAACGCGACAATTTTTACACCCGACTCGTTACAGCCATCGTGTTTTCGTACGGAAGCGGAAATTTCTACTTTGCATGCGAAAAATCAACGTATCGCCAGGTGTAGCGAAGCAGATGTAATCGCCACGCGGTTACCAAACAAAACATGCCACTTTAAGAATCACGTGTACTCTATCCAAGGTAGCGCATCTCGGAAAACGTAAATCATTCTTGAGCGAAGATCGTTACGTTTTTGTTCGAGAAAATCGGTGTCTCCTCTTGGAGCACGGATGCTGTTCGCGATTTTAAATCTACAAAATTAGTAGTAGACTTCTCTTAATCTATCGTCGTTCGGGCAACGAGCGCGCGAGATCCACCTTGATCGTTTTCGTAATTATTGTCCGTACGCGATATTTACAGTCGTGGCTCGTATTATAGAGCAAGAATAATTTATCGAGCAGTTCTATTCGCGTCGTCGATGTAATATATCTTTCAGGCATACCGAGGTCGCCTAACAAACCTTTATCCACCGCGTTTATCTTCTTTCGTTTACCCTTTACCTCTAATTCGCGGTTTACAACGAGTCACGCATCCGAGTCGTCCTCGAATTGCAAAATTTGTAAACGAGCTACTCGACCTTCGCCGAAATCCGCCAGCTTATGTCCGTTCGTTTCAGTTTCATTTGAAACTCCTTCTAGTCGCGTTCGAACTAGATAGACTAAATTATTTCAGCTGTATCTGTTTGAGACGGTGATAAAATGATCGGACGTCGCAACGGATAACCATCTTTATTCGCGAATGCCGTTTGTTCGAGTATACATACATATATTTAAAAAGTAGCCCTCAAATAATTCGTTTTCCAGTCTCGGCATTTCTCTCCAGTTTGTTACATTTGCTAAGAATATAGGCGCGCGTTCGCGATTCGTCGTTGGAATCGCTTACATTCTTTCGACGTGTTTTCAACAAACTCCGTGCCAACATTGGAGAACGGTAGCGGATAAAAAAAACGAACTAATTAGTCGACGGTTAAAAATAACTGGAATTCTTCTTCGAAGACCTATATTTCAGAAACGTTGTTGCAGGATTCTATGCCGAGCAAACGTTCGGTTCTCGTTGGATACGTTTCTACGGGTCGTGATTCTATGCACTGATCTGGTCGGAGAAACTAATTCCTCGGAGGTAAAAAAAAAAATGAATTTATGAATGGCTGGAAGAATTTTAACTCTCTCGCTGGTTCACCTTCCACGAGCCGAAAGGTCACCGGTGGCAAGTTGATCGCGGTCAGAATTAATCGCGGAAACTCGCAACGATTTCTCGCGGTGTATCAGATTTCGCGTTTCCTGCATGAAACGCGATCATCCGCCTCGCGCGAATTTTCGCTAATTTCTCGACAAGTCTCTACAGCTTCGTTTCGGTTAGCTTCAACGGAAATTTCAGTATGCCGTGAATAACGACTAATCGTCGGATTTTAATCGTTGACTATTTTATTTATCGCTCTATTCGAATGTTACTAAACTGATCCAGACAACGTACGGTAGTCGTTCCAGTTTTTTATATTTATTATTACGTTACGCAGCGACGGTACGTATCGTGCGTTTAATCTCGATACGCGAAGATAAACGTGTATCTATCTATAAAGGATGCGCGAAAACGTGTCGCCAGTAATCCAATTATTAGCTGCGTGTATAATCCTCTAGGCGTGTATTTATCTGTGCGGATTAAACGCGCAACGGATAACACGAACGAAGCTATTGTATCGTATCGTATCGTATCGTATTGTTCGATTATTGTTCGCTAAATCGTTATTTCTAGCAAAAGAATCGGAATAAGAATATTTAGGAAAGGATTAAGACTTTGGAAATTTGACAATTTGAAAGGTAAAAATTCTCGATAGAAAATCGTCGAATGTTAAAACGGATCGCAAAAAATAGGTAGCGTTTGCGCACGAGAGGAGCATAAAAAAAATGTTCGTGCGCCTCAACCTCGTAGCTCGTCCGATCTCGTTAGTTTAATTAAAAGCTCGTTATCGAAGCCGACGACGTTACGGTTGGACAACTCGCAAAGAGACTCGACCTACAGTGAGCTTACATCCGATCACATTAACGGCGGTGTCGCTTTCGATCCTCGGAGGAAGACACCTCGACAACGATACCGAAAGTGCGAACGCTTTATCCTAGCATGTCGAATCGAAGCAAACCGAGTTTCTGTTCCGGCCGATGGACAAGAGTCGTCTCGTCTCGATCAAAATCGAAGCCGAATCGACGCCGCGCGAAACGAGACAGCTGGTTGGTTTTGTGTTCGGAGGTAGAGCATGTGTTTTTTACAAAATCATTTGAATAAGCGTGAAAATCGTGCTTCGTAATTTTTCTCCGAAAGTGGCCACGCACGATACATTGCTTTTGCGGGAAACGACCAATTCTAGTAACCGATTTTTTTTTTTTCGATGCGATAGACAGAGCGTAATCGAGAGTAAAGCGAAAAACACGGTGTTAAATATATTTTTCGTGACCGAAAACCAGTGAGAGAACAGGCTTTCGAGCACTCGTTCGGTAGAATTAATACCGTTCTCAATTGACGCCTACAAGCGATACGACCTCTTCCACTATGGGATAGCGCCATTATAATGCGCACGGAATAAATTACTAACAGCTGATGCGATTCAGCGTTACCGGTCTTGAACAAGCCCTTCCGGTTACGGTTTCTTTCGGTCACCACTGCCAAATCTTTTTTCTACGAGACTACAATTCGTCGACAAAGGATCGAGTTAACGCTTTAACGACCCGTTTCCCGTATCTATTCTTTCGATACTCTTACTGGTTCTTTTTTAGTATTCTTTTGCTGTACGCGCGTATTACGTTATATCAACGCTCGCTGCGTTTGAACAGCTTGCAAATATGTATATCGTTTCGAAGTTGTTTCGATACAAAAGTAAATCCCTTCCTCGCGTTCTCTGTTCGTCGTCGTCGCGATGACGATGATCGAGAGCGAAGCTTTCCGAACCGACAAATCTGAAGGTGGAAGGAGAATTTTGAAACGAGCGAAGACCGTTATCAGGGTAAATCTGTAGCATGCAATAATGCTTTGGAAAACATTCGAGAAACGGGAACATGCTCGGTCGAGATAAAATCGTGTTGCATACGACAATTGATAAAACGTAGGAAAAAGGAGAGCTTAATCGATACGACAACATAAGCACCGTCAGAGATAACTTTGAATTATGATTTTCGTACTTTAGTCGTCCGTGTAAGATGACGATATTAACGTACGCCACGAGCACGGCGTCGTCGGTCACCCGATTAGATTTCGATCGCCTAAACTTTCCTTCGATTCGAACTGGAGAAAATCTGAGAGGTCGAAAATTGTCGAGTTTCGCTCGCGTTTAACGAAAGAAAGGCTACGATGTACCCGAGTGTACATCGCGTTCGGCCCAATTTACCAATTAGTACGTAAGTGCGGGATACGACTCGCTATTGCTTCAAGTTCCATCGCATTAAATTTCAGCGTGGACCCCGAGTACCGTGGTCACGCGTTAGTTAGCCTGTAACGATATTTCGCTTCGATATTTCGCGGAAAAGTTTATCATCGCGTGCTATCGAAAGCAATAAAATCCTGAAACGACTGTCATCCGGGTCAATTACCAGCGATTTCGTGTTTACGAATTCGCGCTCTCTCACCGATATCGGCTACTTTATTAACGAACAAACAAAATACGATAGTTCTATCGTTCGCTCGCGAAGGATCTTCTCTCATCGGGCGTACGATGGAAACGCGTACGTTTACGTGCGATCAGCGATTTCGCCGTGTACGATTCCGATAAGGAGATGCCTTGTCGTTGATAAGACATGCCTCCGGTCGGAGTTTCAGTGAAACGGAGTCGGTAAAACATCGCGGCCGCCCAATGAATTCCCGTCGCCCGTATGTTGTCGCTGTTTTACGTGCCGGAAATCTATCGACTATTAAAAATAATTAGTCGAAAAACGATACATAAACGATCGATAAACGTTCGAAATAGTACAAGTTTCGTTCGACAGTATTACGAGAAACGCCGAAAACGCGTTATCGGTGGACCCGTTACACTCGTTTAACGAGCAACAGATAATAACGGTAATATCGAAGAGGACAGAAAGTGCAACCTCGTAAACGATATTTTTTTTCTTCGAGTTTTTTCAATTTCAGTAACAGTAATAAAACCGTGCGATAGCATCCCTGTTGTTGGATCCGCGATAACGTACACTTTTCGAAGCTTTAAAAGTCGACGTTCGACGTTTCCTTCGATTCGTGCGCGCAACTTCCGCGAGCAATTATGTCGTTCGATTCTCTAATAATTAACCCTTTACGAGCGAAAATCGCCGACATTCGGTCGTTTCTCGACACTCGGAAGATCACGCGTTTCTTCTTACATTTCTAATAATAGCTATTAACGTCGAAAAGTGTGTAAAGTGTGACTACGAGAATATCGATCAACGCGCGAAATGCTAATCGAGCATTAACGATCGCGAAGGAGCGTGCCGCGTCGAGGAATGATTTAAGGAGATGCAACGTCGATCCGGAGAGTCAGTCGACGAAAAACAGAGGAAGCGGAGGAAGTATCGATAGGACAGGTGTTTGGTCTGACGTAATCGGTCAATTTTCTCGCAAATGAACATAGCAAACGTTATTGTTAGTAACTGATAAGTGGAGACCAGTGGTCAGGTATTGGCTCGCGCGTATAAGACGTCCTACATGATTGCACCGACATCAGTAGATTCTCCAGCAGCTAACTCGACGCCTTGTCATCGTCGTTCTTGTCAGCGAGACACAGCTGTTTAATCGGCCTCGTAAACGGAGGAGCTTGGACAATAAAACGAAGCTTCGACAGGATTCGAAGGTGTCCAACGACAACTTTCGCCGACATTTCCATAGAATTCGAGGATCAACCTCGTTTCAGGCTCCAAGTGCATCGTAGTTTAATCGAAGCAAACTAAACCAACGAACGACTTTCATCGTGGTAACACTCGATATAAATAAAGAAAATCGATAAAAAGTCTTGTTCGCTTTTTGATTCGAGCGTGATTATCGATCGCGATAAGTGAATAAAAAAACCTAACCGATAATTAGAATCGCGAAACAATCACGGGTTCGCTATCAATTTTTCGACCGAACAAAACTTTCCTGATTCCAGAAAACGATCGATACTCGAGGCGAGATTTTTCTCGCGTTTGGAAATTCCTTTGCTTATCGACGAGTCGCTTGTCTACGATCTTATCGCGCGGAAAACCTCGAGATCGCGGAAACGATTGTTTGCTCGGCTGGGAAAAAGAAAAATTATTCGGACAGTGATCCTCGATCGATACGATACGAGAGATGGAGATCGCGGAGAGGAAAATTGTTTCGAAAATCTGAACGCGTGCCTAACGAAAAACTGGGAATCGCCGAAAGAAGGAACGTTAATAAAACTCGTTAATCGTTGAAACGATCCAGCGAGTCGTATAAAAAAGGTAAACGTAAAAAGAAGAAGAAGAAGAAAAAATGAACGGAGACATCCCAAAGTGTTCGAATTCGGAGGAAAAATCGTCGTTGGACAGAGGAGAGAAACAAAATCTGTTGTCAGCGTTTGTTCAAACAGCTCCAGTGATCGTTAAAGTACCAAACAGTCCGTGCGCCTCGTTCAGAAGCAGGTAAATCGCGTTTGAGAAATAATTAGCTGTCAGGAGGAGTTTTCGCTGCGCAATTGCTTCCGCGTTAATAAACGGAATCGCGTCGATTAGCTATTCATTAATGCCGCGAATCAACGTACGTCGCGCCGAGCTTGCGTCGCGTTTTCCCTCCGATTTACTTTTATCTCCTTTCTACTTATCCTAGTATATTTGCAACCGATGCGACGCATCTTAATTCGATAAACGACCCTCGCGCTTTCCTACGATTATCTGCTAAAGTGGCAGACGTTTGTACGTCTTCTTCCAGAGACATGGTAATAAAACGTTTCTATACGTAGGTGCTAATTTAATAATCGACTCACCGCTTCCACCAAAAAAAGAACCAAAATATCTTCTTAATATTTGATTAAGAATTGAATATTTTCTCAAGTTCCAACAGTTCGAAATCGTAACGGATCGATGCAGTTTTCGACCTCGAGCCAACTATCCTCGTGAACGTGTTGCCTATAACGATATTCAGGAATGAGAAAATTCGGTCTGTCGAGACGCCTCGTTATCGTAAAAAATGATCGAATTCGCGTTCTACTTAACTGACGATCGTTGTTCGAATCGATTCGATCGCGATCGGACGATAAACGGACGAAAGAAATCACGACGTTCACCGCGTGTCAACGGCACGCCGATTGATTTACGCGTGGCAATAAATAAATTGGTAGATAACAGTTGCTCGGTTATCGTACGGAGCCAAAATGGCGACTTCCTTTCGACCGTGTAGCAAAGGGTGGCGAGCTCGAAGGTCTCAGACGGATCATCGAACCGGCCGCGACGATGCGTCGTGTTCGTGCAACTTCTCTTTCGTTTTTACAACTCGATCAATCGTTTGTCGATCATTTTTCGCGTCCAACGACAAAGTAGTTCTTTCCGAGTTCGAATCAGTGATCGATTAAAAAGCTATTCTCCACTATTCGAATACCTGTCAAGTTCTTCTCGGCGAAGAAACGGATGCAAAAGGAACGACGAGAAACGTGTACGTCTTTCGACGTTATCGAAATTCCGAGTCGGAGCGTAACGAACCCCGATAATTGTGCCGTTAAAAAAAAATTGGGTCGGTGTCGAGATCGATCGAGTGACCGAGTGTCTTCTATCGGATTAGAGGTTTCGTTTTCGAGAGAGGATAGGGCTTGTCATGGAAAGGTTCAAGAACGATGACGTACAATGCGAAGAGATCCATCGTGAGTACCCTATTTTCCATCGAATAACTATACAGGCTGATCAAATACGAATAACACCTTATCCGTTTCGACTCTGTCGGAAGATGTTTCGACTATCGCGAATCTTTCGAGATTTCAAGATAAAGCCTACGGCTACTCTGTACAATGCCCGGATGAAATTATGCCGAAGGAAATGCTTCTTCTATCCGGTGAGACTCTGCGTTTCGCGATGCAAATACCGAATGCGCGCGATTATTTTCCATATCCGTATTTTGTACTTGTTGCGGAAGTGGAACGTTTCGAGTCGTCGAGTATCTAAACGATTACCGTCTATAATTCTTGAATAATAGCTATTTGTGAATTTAATCGTTCGCTGGTAGAGCTAAACGGGAGAACAAGAAGATTCCCCTCCGTTGAATCGAATAAAATTTTCCGTTCCAGATCGTCGCGCGAAAACGTCCATGCTCTCGAAGATTATCGAGGTAAAAGTATGTTTGTAACACGATAAATTCTCGACGACGCTCGAATCCCTATTGGAGTTTTCGTAACGAGCCGAATCGAGCAACGAACAAGGAAAAAACTCGCAATCAGCGAGAAACAATATGATCCTCGAAATTTGTTATTCAAATCTGGTCTGATCTTCTCGAGAACACGCGCAGACCTTGGCGACAGTTTTGCAACGCGCGTAACATCTTTACCAGCGGTCGCTGGTATTCGAACGAATAATTTGTTAGCGTAGGCTCGCGTTGCGCGGGAGAAAAAAAACGTCATTTTGTATCGCGACGCGACGATAACTATTTCGTTCCGATTCGTTCGTAGCGTACGCGTAATCAGAGAAACTGATCATTTTCTCGCGACTAGCGATCGGACAACGAAACATGCTTCGTGGAAGAGAACGTCACGATTAAATAATCGTCCGTTACTATGCACAAGATCGACTACCGCTAGTCGCTGTGCAGAGATAATCGTTTCGTACGAAATCACGGTTTCTAATCGCGACGATACGAGATTCGAGCTCTCCTATCTTCGTCGATCAGATAAAAACCTGTTATTGTTCGAATTTTCGCCTTTCTACTCGACCCCATCCGTCGCGAACATAAAATCGTAGTAGGCGGACGGTGCAATCTCGAGGAAATATCGGTTGGAACGGTTGAAAATAAAATTTGCACGAATTTTCAGGAGTCGGTACAGAGCCGGTCCAACGCGGAAGCTTCGGCGTCGCGCCGTGCTGAAGAACGGCGACTGCAACGTTCTCCAGTCCCGTATCTCCAGACGTTCCCTCCGCTTTCTCCAGGACATCTTCACGACCCTGGTGGACACGCAATGGCGATGGACGTTGCTGTGCTTCAGTTTGAGCTTCGTGCTCTCCTGGTTAGGATTCGCGGTGATCTGGTGGTTGATCGCTTTCACTCACGGTGACTTCGAGGAACGTCACCTGCCGCCGTACCAGACCGAAAACAATTGGACACCCTGCATCTACAACATCTTCTCGTTCACCAGTTGTTTTCTGTTCAGTATCGAGACTCAGCACACGATCGGTTACGGTAGCCGTTCGACCACCGAAGAGTGTCCCGAGGCTATATTCGTGATGTGTATTCAAAGCATAGCCGGTGTGATGATCCAAGCCTTCATGGTCGGCATAGTGTTCGCCAAGATGAGCAGACCGAAACAGAGGACCCAGACGTTGTTGTTCTCGAGAAACGCCGTCATTTGTCAAAGGGACGGTGAATTGTGTCTGATGTTTCGGGTCGGTGATATGCGGAAAAGTCACATCATCGGGGCCGCGATTCGAGCACAGGTGATCCGATCGAGGACCACCAAGGAGGGCGAGATATTGTCGCAGAATCAACAGGAATTAGCGGTGGGCACCGACGGTCAAAACGAGAACCTCTTCTTCATCTGGCCGACCACTATCGTGCACAAGATCAACGCGGATTCTCCGTTCTACAACATGTCCGCGGAGGATATGCTGACGGAAAGGTTCGAGGTGGTAGCCATTCTCGAGGGTACCATCGAGTCTACGGGGCAAACCACTCAAGCAAGATCCAGCTACCTGCCGCAAGAGATTCTTTGGGGCCACAGGTTCGAGCCGATGGTTTCCTACTCGAAAGAGAGACAAGGCTACGAGGTCGATTATTCGCTGTTCAACAGCACCACGCAGGTCGACACGCCTCTGTGCTCGGGCAGAGAGCTCGCTGACTTTTACAAGGTGCAGGAGGAGCTTCGTCACGGGAACGGTAAGTTTTCCTTTTCTCCGGCGTACACGCTACATACGCGTTAGAATAGAGCACGCTGTATCGCGCGAATACGTAGCGAGAAGAATGCTCCAGCTCTCTCTCTCAAAGTATCGCTACGCCGGTATGTCCGGCGCAATTAAAAATTTGTGTCGCGTGGCATGGCAATAACGCGTTCGAAAACAACCACTAACGATCGACAAGGTCGGTCGAGTACGATAATTGGGATGCATGCGCGAATCGAACTAATCGATATGGAAGTAACCACCCGCTATCCTCGTGCACGATGCTCGCTTCTTTCCTCGCTTCTTGCTTCTCCCTGCATGTCGCGTCGCTCCGTCAACGGGTTTCGTTTCTTTCTTTGATTCTGTTGGTGCTGGATATATCGTAGATGGAGGCCTGAGGAAAATTCCTAGCGAGCCGAAATCTGCGCCGGTGATATTGAACGCTACGAACCAACAGCTCGACGCCGCGGAGTTCCTTGTCTCTCAAGGACACTCTTCTTCCCACGGATCATCGAAACTTCACATTGACATTCCATCGATCGACGACTGCCCGGGAGTCTGAGCGAACCTGCGCTCTCGAGATCAAAAATATGCTTCCACGATTCGAGGAATCGACGAGCGGCGGTGAAGATTCTCGTACGATCGAAAATGGCTTGGAAAAATGATCCTTTTTCTCGTACCGCGTCTCGTCCCATCTCGTCTCGCGTCCCGTCGCTCGCGTCGACTACGATTTCGACGAAAGGAAGACACTCTTCTCTCTCTACCAACTGTCGCTATTAACGAATCTCCTTAACCCTTTCAACGCGCCTACGAACCCGTTTTGCGCGTCCGGCGTTGCTGTTCCTTTGCCTATTCGAAACGCTCGAAATCGACTGTCTCCGTATTCTTTGCTTCGAGACGTCGATCGATGTTTCTTACGAACGTTGACCGGGCGAATACGAATCTGCGAATCGTTTTTCTCCGTCGTTCTCGTCTCTCGTCGATAAATAAATCGAATAAACGAAATTCAGTTATGTTTGTTCGTTTTGTCGGAACGAGAGGCTAATTTGCAGGTTCGTATTCGCCGTTGAAAGGATTCAACGAATCCGAAAAGGATTTCGATACATAGGTCTATTATTGTCTGTCTATTTCCGTGCTTTTGTCTGTCTTTCGTGTTGTCCCGATTACGCCGAAGATCGTTTCGTGACACGATGCGAGGCAACTTGGAGGTTGTGGGTAAAGGGTTATATCACGCATTTCCTAAATCGTTCCGTTAAAGCGAACCATCCGCTACGTCTTTCGAGAGAACGAACGGTTAGGAAGATATTTTTCGCGACTCGAGTTACTCTAAAGCGTTAGGCGAATTTGCAGGTGCGATAGTCGACGAGGATTTCCTAGGGGAATCCTGTCACGACACCCCGTGCCATTGCGGTCATCGTTCGACGAGCGTGTCTTATCGTCAGCACAACCATCCCACGATGTACGCGGATTGCGCGAGAAGCGAAACCAGCACCGAGGACGCGACACCGTATCGAAACGCTTACAGAGACTCTGCTTATCACGGAGCTATGATTCCTGCTCGAGATCACGGCCACTACAAGATCCTGGACTTGGATCCTGACGGCATACAAGTAATGGCCGAATGTGATCTCCAGCATCTTCCGGAAGCGGTGAACAGGGAGATCTTGAAGAACAGTCGCGAGATCATCTTCGAGGAACCGGAAACGTCGCGAGAGGGGAGTCCATTGTTAAAGTCCAATTGTCGACGTCTAGTAACGAAACATCCTCTACTGGACGAGGAGAGAAGATCCTTGAACAACTCCAGAAGAAGCCTCTATTACAGAAACGTCCCGCGAGCCACGGAAGAGGACAAGAGATCTCTCGACGGATCCAGGAGGAACTTGAGCGGTTCCAGAAGGTATCTGTTGATTTCTTTGGACAGCAAGAATCCCGATGCAAACATCAAGGATAACGTACCCGTAAGTAGAAGACACACGGGCAGTAGGGAGCGTTTGAATTCGATGAGGAAGAATATTTGCGCGAAGGGATCGAAAGAGACACCGGAACTAGTTAGCGGAGGAAGATCGAACTCGAACGACGACAGACTGACCATCGAAACGGAAAAACCGGCGAAATCGCAGCGACTGCAGGAAATATCGTTGTCCGAAAGTAACAGGACATCCCTGTCGGACCCTGACTTATCACCGAACGGGTACGCGTCGTCGAGATGCCGATCGCACGTATCCCCGGAATCTGGCTTTTACGAAGGAGCTCAATGGAGTTCGAGTCCGGAGTACGTCAGAAAGGATCTCCGACTTCCCAACGAGGCCGTTCTCGCGAGAAACCGAAGAAGCTACGAGAACGCTCAACTTCAAGACGTGAACGAGGCTCTGTCGAGGCCGAACAGCGACAACAGCTCTGTAGACAGCGACGAGTGCGTCAAGAATTTCTCGAACGACACCGTTCCTCGGAAATACGTCGACAAGAACGTTCTTTCGAAACAACCGATCTCTTACACCAGCGTATGACGAAGAAAATGCGCTGTCGAGCTCCGATTCAACTTCCGCATCACCGTCGGTCTAATCTCCCCTCTACCACTCTTACCTAATATTTCCAATTTACGAAATCCGAAACGCGATAAAATCTGACCCGTCGTAGACAACCGGTGCACACGATTCCGAATCCGAACCTCGATCGTTGCAAAAATTTCCCGATTCCACTTTTCATTCTCACGAGCGCGATATACAACGTAGAACATTCTTTTCCCGATACTTTCCCTTCGAGTCGAAAATCTTTGATAGCCTGTTGATAATTGCCGACAAAAATGATTCTGATCGGTTACATCGGAGATAGATTAATTCCACGAACTTGTTCATATAATCTTGTATAGGATCATTCCATAAGTAAATGTTTTCTGACACGGTGAAAAAGGATACTCGTAGTACGACACATCGAAACATCTATATATCAAATTATTAATTATGGAATGATCTGATAAATTTCGCGTCAAGATACGTAGCAATTTGATCGATCATTATCGATATACGTACATATATACGTACGTGAATTTCTACTCTATCGATTAGGACGAAAGACGAGTATTTTCTGATTCGTTGTTTTTGCATTGACTGTAAATCGTTTTATACCGCAGGTCGGTTTCGAAAACTCTAACTCGTATTAATTAAGAACTATTAATCTCGTAGAAATCGTTAGTTTATACCGAAAACATTTTCGATGTACGTGTGTCCGAGGGCGAAGCACGCGAAACACCTTAGTCCAGTGTAAAAATTGTTCGCCTTTAAAGCGTCTTGACGACGACGACGACGACGACGATGAAAACCAAAAGTTGGAGCATTTAAAGCCAGCATATTTTGTTACGAATTTTTAGGCCGTTGAACATCGAATAGATACCGCGAGAATGTCGCCGCGCGAACACCACGCGCAAACCTGTATTTTTGCAATTTAGAACGTACAAACGTTAGAAAAGTAAGTTAAACGCGTTGACCAAAGTCGCCGATACGTTGAATCTTTTCGTGCTTACTTCGGTTTCAGAAACTCGCACGATCGTACACAGGGCACGCGTGTTCGAACAAACTTTCTACGCTTTTACGCTTCTTTACCAACCGTTTTCGTGCCACGCCAGATCGAATAAATCGAACGATCCCATAACAGTATCGACGTTAGAAGGCGAACAAACTTTTCGTTGTAAGCGTTTGCGCGACGTATTTATTTAACGAGAAAATTGTACGACATTCGAAATTCCAGATTGGTCGAAATTTTTGAATAATCGAAGCGAACCCAAGGAAAAGCGAAAACGTGGCAACAGTTGACGAGCGTATTAATTACCGTTTCGAAGGTCGTACATTTTCCTCGTAAGATCGAGTAGCAATTTTGCTACGAGAAAGTGCCTTGTTCGAATCCTCGCCGGAAAGAAGGTAACCGTCTGTTCGCTGTCCGATTATTCTCCTTGATATTTATTGCTTCCACGATACTTTAAGTAATTAGCCAGTCTTTTTTGTACATATATAAAATGTAATTACGCAAAGACACCTTCGATCGAGCAGGTTGAAATCTATTTTACCGTCTCGGTCCGATCGATTAAAGGAAACTAAGCTTATTCCGATATTATTTAGGCGGAGAGCGCCGAGAAAGCTCGATTAGGACGGTAGTAGCTTCGAGTGTTCCGAGAGGACATGGAAAACCTGCCATCGTGTCACTTCTAGCATAAATTCTGAAAATGTTATTTGTAATAAAGACCATTCGAAATCTACACCAGTGTTTCTCTTCCCTGATTCCGTACGTTCGTTCGAATGCTCGTTTCGCGATAGTTGTTAATTTTCTATCGATAGTTTCGGCTAAAATCAAAGAGTTTCGCGAAAAAATCGAGCGCGTGTTGCATGTCGAAACGAAAAGGAAAAAGAAAAAAAAGAAAGAAAGTAGAAAAAAAGAAGCGTGCACGGTACGATAGCAACAGATTTCGCGAAGCTTGCAATTCGAGGATTGCCGTTTCGTTGCTCCACTTCGAACGTTTTTCCGTCGGATCGAAGCAACGTGTAGTCCCGTGTGCTCCGTAGTCTTGCAAATAGTCGTGACTCAATTTAAATACGGCCAATCGTTGCGAAATGCTGACTCGGCGAACTTGGCTACCGAGTGCATGAACGACCGGCGACGAGGACGACCGTCAACAGTGTGAAAGCATCGACATTATGCCGAACACGAAGGGTAAGTGATCGAAGACTTTATCCTTAGCGTATGTACCGATCGTTCAGATTACTCGGATACCGTTGTTGCCTTTCGAGGAAGGCCTCGAGAAACGAATGGCTGATCGAATCTTTCTCGAATTAGTTGTTGGTACGCGAACGTCGCAGGCTCGTCGTCTAAATTTCGCTCGTAATCGAAATGCGCAATAATAAAAAAGTAGTTAAAATTTAATCGCGGTTACAGTCTCGATTACGACTGAATCGCGAACGAGGCGATTCAGTAGCGACAGCGAAGTTGGCCGAGATCGCAAGATATTTTACGTACGAGATTTTCATTCCGAGATCGGACATGTTTGGACGCGAGTCAAAATTTAACGCGGTTCAATATACAAGGTGGTTAAAATTATACCGTGCCAATGTACTTTCGTTCCGAAAGTAAAGGAAAATCTCGCTTGCCAATTTCTTTTTCGTTCCTTCTTATCTCGAACTTAACCATTCGCGAACGCATACATATACGTGTACAATGAACGATAACTCGTTGATCGTTAAAAATATAAATACAGATTCTTACGGCGAGGATGCCTCGCTTCTCTACCCGGATATGCAGAACGACAAGTTTAAGAGACTGTCGGCAACGTACTGCGAAACTCCGATATTGAAGGGTGCTGTGAACCAACTAAGAAAATGGCCAACGGATTTGTTTCTCGCTTTCGTGGCAGCCTGTCTGATACTAGGGAGCTTAGTGTTCCTAGTGTTCGTCACGGTAGTTGTTTCTTTACCTAGCGTCGTCCGTTGTCGGTACGAAGAAATTTCTACGCGACAAAACTCCTATATTCGCGTACGGTTATCAAAACGGACCGTTAAACGTTTCAGAGAGGAAGAAATTTCGATGCTGCAACTGGGAGCGTCGCGCAACGTCTATTTCCTTAAACTGGCGAATCAAAATTGGTCCACCACGGACCTTTGTTACGTCGAAACAGCCGCTTACAAACATCCGGACTTAAATGTAAAATCCCGAAAGATTTCCGATCTCGGTATTCGGTAAATAATAATGACAATTTATCGCGCAGATATATTTGATAAAGTTAACGAACGAAGAGCCCGGCAGAGCGAGTTTCAACGAATCGACCGATAATAAAACAAACTCGGAATATGGACAATACGATCCTTCGTCGCTAACTATGGAAGACCGACTGAGAGAAAGACTGGCGCGCGCTAATTCGAATATAAGGAACGTGAACGTGTCGATCGAGCAATTCTTCAGAAGGTAAGATCTAACGTCGCGCGTAAAGTGGTCGTTCGATCGCTTTAATGGAATAATCGCTTTTCTTCTTAGGTCAAAATTGTCGAGAATCGTAAGAGATCTGGACCACGATGCGTTGGAAATAGCCGCGAAAACGCAATTGCTTTGGAGCGTTCCCGGAATTACGCTCAGACCGGATATGTTTTGTAATTTAGATTCCGTGAAAGAATATTTTTGCACGTGAGCATATAACGTTTCGTTCGGAAAACCGTGTTGCTGCGTTACTCGAGCGCGATAGTCGAAAAGTTAATTATCGATTAAAAATCGTGCTAACAGGAACAAAGAGAAATGTCTACCGGATACGCTCGCGACGATCGAACCGGATAACGATATCCAGATAACAGGAGTGCCGTGCCAGGCTTTTATGGGATTTCTCTTGCAAGACATATCGAAAAAACATCGCGAAGGAAAATACACGCTGAGGAAGGCCTTAGATAAATATTGCCCAAGGTGAAACGCGACGAATGAAAATTTCGAATGCGTCCGATTCGTCGACGATTATACATATTTTTGTTACAGATCGCATTACTGTCCGGAAATCCGAATTCTCGACTCGAGATCAAAGTGTTCGAGCGACGCCTTGAATTGTCCTTTAATTTATTCCAGCGTCTTGATGCACGACTACATGAATCTCGAAAATCTTATAACGTGACACTGCTTTATTGATAAACTGTACACGCGTAGTTTACAAAATACTATATAAATACACGGTATAAAATTTCACGAACGACCTGTTTTTTTCTCTTGCTCCTCGATTTCTGTCCGCTCTTATCCGTTTCGGTTTCATTTAAACGTTCTCTGTTCGTAAAGACGAACAACTCCCAGCCATATCCAAAATTCTCCAACTAGACGATACAAAAACGGTGTCGTTCAACGCTCCTATTTTCTCTTATACAGTTAATATTGAGAAATTTATCGACTAAAACGTACGTATCAACAGTATCGTTCCTATCGTGTAAGAGAAGGCCATCGATATCGAAAGATTCGAAAACAGCAGCCAAATTACGAGGACAGCACCGCTCGCGTCGTACACCAGATCAGTCAAATAGAGCACTATCGACGGCAGACTCCAACGCGGTTGTTTCTACAATATTTCCATAATCGACTTATGACCAATTGTCGAGTTCTGTACGCGATAAAACTTCGTTTATACGAACACGTTGTATCTGAATTTCTATCGAATAAAAATTGAACCGATTCTCACCGACACGATCGAATAGGCGAGCATACCGATAGCCAGGAAGGAAATCACGGAATAAGGGACAGAGTAACCTAAACTCAACGTGATTATAGCCTTATGCGCGTATCCTTCGGCTATTTTCCCGTTTCTCAAGATGCTATACTCTGTTCTACCGTAACGTATGCTGTGATAACTCAACAAGAGCATGCAGGTCGACAACATTAAGGCTTGAGAAATTCTTAAGATTTCGTATTCCTTGCGAATTAACGAGTCCTCTTTGGTCGGTGTATCGATGTTAGACGGATAACTCGGTTGAATTTTTCGTCTGGCAAATCCATGATCGATCATCTGAAACGTGACACTCGTATTCCGTGAAAATTCCAAACTCTGCGTCAAGATCGAATAATCTCGAGGACTCACGGTCGAGGCACGGTGATCCTCGTGAACCGATCGCATTTTACCGGGGTACTGGTTCATCGTCACAATTTTCCGAGAGTTTTTTCTTCGAAAACGTAAACGGGAAACGAAAAACAATTCGTTGTTGAAGTATATCGCGGCACGATCCTGAATGTCACGGCGTTATTCGAATGTTACGCCGGAAAACGAATCGGTAAATTGTCAAGTGCGTCGCGTAACCTATAACGAACAAATTTTCGCGAATTTCTCTCGTATCGAAGGAAAATGATCGAATCTCCTGATCGGATAAGTCTCGAGAAAACTTAAAAGAAATGGCACGTCGTCGTAAGCGTTCTATTTTCCCCTCGTTGGAAACGGTCATTGGAAAAAATAAACATTCGGTAAGATTCGTCGAATGCAGCCGCGTGCATGCGTACGTCAATGCACGTTGTTTCGGTATCGAAGCCATTCCAGTATCTCTTCTATCGTCTAATAAGTGAACCGAAATCGAAACGAAACGATCGAACTTGAGCCTTCGCGCGCTACGATCAGCTACGAGAGTTCTCCTTGTTAGATGACCTCGTTTAATTAATCGATCAACGCGTATATTTATGAATAGATAAACAAGTCGTGAAGAATCGATCGATTAACCTTTCAAGTTTTGCGAAAGAAACAATGAGATTTCGGTGTAGACGAAAGATTAGCGAACGTGACGGACACTTAGTTGGTGTCTTTTTTTTCCTTCCCTTTTTCCTCCGTAGCTTTCGATGCAACTATGTTCCATGATCAATATATAACGTGTTCGATATTTTCCTTTCAGCAGATGGGACAGTTGGCATGCACCCTGTGCGATCATTACATCATGGGAAATTCGGTTTATGTGACGTTGCTTGGCTTCATTGGGACCGTTAGTCCATCGTAATACTCGTTAATTGTTTTGCGTATTATAAAATGTTCATTTAAAGCACGGAATTTTTCCGATTAATCGAAGCGACAGAGGACTCGTGTAATTGGCTGATTTTGTTCGCCGAATAACGATTCATCGACATCGAATGACATATTATTGCAACTGTAAAGGAACTGATGTTGGCATAATAACTTTTTATTTATCAGGTGATTACCGCGTTCGACATTGTTCGAATAATGAATTGCAATACAACGGACAGATCAACGTCTCGAACGGGAAGCAACGAGACCGGTAATTAATTCAAATTTCCAGAATGCTTAGTTTCGAAAAATTCCGAATGGATGAGCTAATTACGTACATGTACTTGCGTCGATGCTTATCGTCCTTTGATAACGATTATTATTTGCTTTTATATTAGTTCCTTTAGAAGTGGAAAGAGACCTGAAACTAATGACTTCGATTCTAGGAATTGAACACTACACTTTCATCATGCTGGGTGCAATTACGGTAAGCGTAATTTCTATTGCTCTTTAAACTTTCTCGATTCTTTTGTCGATATTTATTTTTAGGAGTACCCTGTGTTACACACACCCTGGCTATTGATGCAACTATGCGTGATCATCGTGGAAGTCATTGTATTCTGTGTGAAAGTGTTTCTCGACGGACTTCACGTGAAACGCGACGAGATATTACTGTCTATTTTAACCGTGCACAATTGGCTTCAAGTCTTTTGTCTGTTTCTTCGACAAGCGCGACATACCCGTTAAAATTTATACCAAATTATCGATCTATAGACGCGCGTTTCAATTAATGTCAAATTCTATCTTAATGTTAGAAATAGAAAAATAAAAGTGAAAATAAAAATACAAAATCGCGTCGGAGCGCTTGAACTTGTTTTTTTTTCTTATAATACGTGTGGACAATTTTTATCGATTCATAGCCAACGAATAACTTCGCCGTGTATAAAATTCAATGATAATGATGAAATTAAAAAAAGATCTCTATCGAAGCTCTCCTATCGAAGACGAGAAAGAACGCGAGACGAATAATCGCGTGAAAAGTTTCTCCAAGGTATAAAGAAAGATGCTTAACCTTTCTTTTCTTTTCTTTTTACACGAAATAACTACGTATTTAATAACGTTATCGTAGGTAGAAGCACTATACGTAGCTTTAATATGTTTCTCAACCTATTGTTTGAGTTGTATCGCTTTCGAAGCTGGAAGACGTTCTCCAATTGGAACAACGCTGACAAAATCGGCTGCGTTTAATACGCTTTTCAGAAGATCTTACAGTAACAATATTTCAGTAACGCACATTATATAATAGTAAAAGAAATAATTCGGTATCGCTCGATCGATCGTTCCCTCTTACAGTGTCCTCTCTTCCATTTCGCATCTCGTGTGAAAGTTCTAAATGAAAACTCTGCTCTGTTTACAGATTTAAAGATCACGATACACGCGAATAACGTAATCACTGGACTGATAAGTACGATAATGATGATACTCGGTGATAAATACAATATTCCTTATCTCTATTTGCCATGGTTGGTGAACACCATGAAAGGAATGGCTCTATACGAAGGACCGATTCTCGTCAACCTAGTCAATATGCTTCTACCTAACGTTACGCTTCCCGCTCGCACTCTTATCCTTGCAGCTTTTCTTTTATACGGTATAAACGTCACGTATATTCGCCTCTTATCAATTAACGCTTGTATCGCTTAACGATTACTTTGACCAATCAACAAAAAAAAGAACCAACCTCTAATACTTGTCGCTTTTATATTGTACATATAAAGCAAGATATTTCTTTTACAGTGGAAGAATTGTTTATTTGGAATTTCGCTTTCATAAAATTTCGACATTGCTGGAACGATTACCATTACCAAAAGGAATCTACCGTCGAAAAAGTTCAAGAGAAATTATTCATTGTACGTCATAAGAAAATGCTGCATCAAGAAAATACAAATTATAAACCGAATATCGCTTTTGAAAAATTAAAAATCGAACGAAAACCGATCGAAATTTCTAACAAAACTGATCATTCGAATTCTCTGGACTGTCTTTTGACGTCTGTCAAAAGTTCCATTGCAAGTAACAACGATCTACTTTCAAGAAATCAATTTTTAGATACATCGGGATAATGAATTTTTATACTTATGGATTTGTACCACGTTGTTTGGCAATTTGACGTTTGGCTTACATACGTGACTCTTTATACCGTATTTTTGTCAAAAAGTGTCGAACATGCAAACAATAAAAATATAACACTCACGTTTCGTCGTCTTCGATCAACCGATGACTGTTGCCTGTCATTTCTGTTTCTCCTGTGATGGAAGAAAAATTGCGACTCGTAACGTAATGACCATCTTGCCCTTGGTAGAACATTCTGGATCAGGCAGTTTCCTACGGGGTCCATTGTTCGAACTGTAGAGCGAAAGTTTCACGATTGTAGATTTTTCGAAATTTTCTAACTAAACCAGTATTTACGATGATTATTAATTATATTGCTTACAAGATATCACTATCACGATTGTTTTTGGCACATTGGACACTTCGTTTCCGCACTTTTATCACTGTTTTCACTGTCAAAAACCGGAGCCGAAATTTTGCCCGACAATTAGACGCCGTTAGACACCGGTAACCAAAATGGCTGCCACTCTCGATATTTCGACAGCTTCCCGCTAAAATTCATGGAATAGTGACGTCATACATTTTCACGAAAACTCTCGAAAACCGATATCATAATTTATATCATATTTGATAATAAATCAAAAAAAATATTCCGTTCTAAATTATTCTGATGAAAATTAACGTTAATGTAAATATAAATCTCTTACCTGCAAGTACACGTTAATTTATGTTGAGGGTAGCAAGCTAACAAGTGTCGGCGACAACAAGCAATTCATATTTTCTGCAAAATACTATCGTATTATCAAGATTTACACATAAACTATTAATTATCGTGAAAGGGAGTTAATAATTAATATATTACGTACATTTAGCGATTCGTAATTAACAATTAGTATACAACTTTTCCTCGCAACTAACGACTCTGTACTTCCTATTACCGAAGCGAAACTGCGGGAAGTAATGGAAAGTGCGCAGAATTTGAAAAAGTTACAGTGCGCAGATTGCGAATATCGAAGTGCTTCGATCGATGGTAATCCTCAATACGTATGATATATATGCTATTTTTAACACGTTTTCGCTCCATTCTCGTTATTATCACGTAAAATGTTCCGATATTGTGACTGTTGTTACCGTGATGAAGATAAATATTAATATTAATTATTACATCCTCATTTGTGAATGTAGGTAATTTCGATATATCGAAATAAATTTATTCGAGATTTATTGCAAATATATATTAACTATTAATATTTAGATTTATTTAAAAGTTATGCGTAAAAAAAAGCAAAATTATAAGTATAATCAAATGGAAGGTATATTCTGAAGAAGTTATTCAATTTGAAATGTCGCGTTTGTAAAATAAATGTGTCCCGCCTTGAAGCTAGAAATGGCGGTAAAAATAACTGCGCGTGCGTGGCAGGTGTTCAGTTCACATCGATGCAAGTTCCTCGTTGTGCTCATGTTGTGCTTGACACTCGTACATACAAGTTGCACGCGTGCCGGTAATAAACCGTTGTTTGGTATAACGGTCGTTCCGTTAAATCTCCTCGAATCTTTGTACATAAATTTGCTCGTAACCGTTAAAGTAAAGCTTGTGATAATTAGAATTTCGCGTGCAATTTACGAACAGTATAGTGAAAACGTGTCTGTCCTTAAAAGAGCGTCAATTCTCCAACAATTGAAAGAAAATCAAGGTATGTACATCATTCTCTTCGTATTCTCTGCACGCTACTCTTTTAATCTCGTGTTTTCGTTACACAATTAACAAACATTTATACGAATAAATATGTTAAAAAAGTATATGTTTTGCACATTTGTAAAACAAGGTCGTCCTTATTTGAACGATTTTAACGGATATCATGCATAACGTGGGAGTTTATTTTTGTACACGCATACTCGAGTACCAACGAGTTCACGCTTACCTACCTTTGTTATTTACTGTTGCAAAAAACATTTTGATACGCGAGAAACTGTGATACGTTTATGAATGTGCGCGTGTATGTGTATAGAATGTTATTGAATGTAAAGTACAACGTATCCCGCGTTACATATACTTGTAACGGTCGGTCACGTGTTCAGTATTTTAGTGTTCGTTCGTACGTATAGCACCGGCATGTGTTTGCGCGACTGCTTGTGGTCGTTTGTCGAGATCCATATTTTTGCAAAGATTGTTTGCGAAACATAACCTCTCAATGACACGAATATATTTTCAATTTCTTCATAACGTATACGTCACGGAAAATCTTAAGACGCTTTACGAAAATAAGTCTGTTATTTCTTCTTAAAAGTTACGAGGAAACGTTGTTGAATATTTTAAACGATCAGTAAAGTTATTACTACTCGCATTAACGTTGATCTGTTACGCGTTCAAAAAATGAATCAATCGGGATACTACATTGTTTATACATAGCTTATTCTTTTTATTGCATTTATGGTACATTAATTTCAATATAACAAATAACACGGGTCAGGTAAAAAATGTGACAATCAAGAAAATATCATCAGAAAAATGCATTTCACTTAAATAAACACACGGAGAAAAGTTTTGCAAGCTTATTCGTATATATCTTTATAGTATCCGATAACTGGCAAAACTTAGTCCCCGGGTATAATGGATGCTTCCGTTCGAAGCACCTTCATTTTCCTTAAATCTTAATGGACGAATTGTAATTCACAATCCTTCGTACAATATACATTTTATTAGCGTATGCCCTCATTTTTTCACCGTAACAAGTTGTAGCAAAAGCTAAATTCTTCTTGCAGACACGCGTCGTTGCTCGTGTTGGCTCCAACAAGTTTACTGCTATGCTAACGCGTATTACAAACATGCTTATCTCTCTAACTGTAAGGCGATCGAATTATACTATGGGCATCTATGGTATATATTACATTTCGTATTTAAATTTTCAAGCAAAGTTCAACCAATTTCATCGTAGCTTCTAAAACGTTTCAAATTACTTCGAGTTTAAATCAGACCCGATATAAATTTAACAATATCTATCATGTTTTTTGCGAAAAGAAGAGAAACCGATTCCAAAGATTTTTGACTAAACATATAGACTAGGAGATGCAAGATAGCATTACTCTTACGTTAATTGACTAATTTGACTGCAAATCAAAAGCGAGGTAACCGTGTACGATGTTTCTTATCGTTTCTGTTCTACTTAGTACATCATAGTATCTTTGCCTCAAAAAACTTTCTTCCTACGTGTTATCTCGTATTCATGCATTTATAAATAGCTTAGGTCTGTGTAAAAATCTATACGAGGAGAAGGTGTTTAAATGATCGAAATGCTTAAATTGAACATGAAGTAAAAGAGACAAAAGAAATAAAAAAAAAAAAAAGTAGGAAGTACGGTTTAACTTAGAGATACAAGATTTAATATTTGAGAATTTTCATAAAATAGAAATATCTACTACAACCCTTCTCTGCATATAGTTGTTCGTTCGATCATTTACCTTTATATTTCTTTTTGTCTTTTTCTTCTTTTTTGTCAAAGACTAGAGATTCGATAAATTGTACAAAACATTGCATTCAGAAGGATGGGCAAAAATTGTGCTCCTTCTTAATCTTCGTGCCTTACATAGATTCAAGCTACAATCGACAAACAATATGCGACGCACGTTACCTGTTGATAAACAAATGATTATGCCTTCGAGGTGGTCTTTTTCAATTGTCATTTCGTTTCTGGAAAAAATACTCTGAAAGTTTGTTTCAATGTCGAACCCTATTTTCAAACTGTTCCTCTTAAATATCGAAGTTTACGCGATACACCTGAGTTGTTTTAATTTTCAAGATAAAATTGACAATTTGGCAAGACTGATCATATAATATACGATTGTAATTTCACGTTTCACCGATCAATCGCGTATCATTAACGAGCTGATTCGGTCGATATTTGGACAAATCGAGGGTTTCCAGTCGAATCAGCAACGACCCATGTTACTTTATGGATAAACATTTCTCTCTCCCACTGAGCATACCAGAAGGGTCGTCGACATCGAAACACTATCATAACTCTTGGAAACGACCTTAGACCTCGAAGGCCTCCCACTGCTACGCTATCATAGCCGCGATGGGGCTGAAACGCATTATTTTGCTGAGCAAGATCCACGCCACCGAGGCGAGGGCGCAAAGCGTGACTCCACCCCAACCAAAGTCCATACTCCAGGAGCTGGTGAATCGTCTCGCCTTGAGAACGTTGCGTGGAGCAGGTCCACCGATCACGCCATCCTCAGGACCATCCAATATTCTCGCACCCCGATCCTGGGCTCTTTTGAAATGAATGATCGTCAGGGTGAACAATGCGAACGTGGCTGAAACAGTTATTATCGTTTAAAAATTCTTTCTTTTTTTTTTTTTTTCAAAGTACTCGAAAACAACAACACCGTTCATTATTTCATTCGCGTTGAAATCTGGAAGAAAAACTTGATCAAAGTGCAAAGTCTTTTGTTTAAAACTACGGATAAGTTTAATCCTGCCGTGATGGAATTATTGAACGGTGGTCGAGACTCGGTATATTTATGAGACGGCGATGGCTGTTTCACAGATTGCACACGAACCGAACGCGTAACTTTGTAACGTTAAGCGATCTTCGCTCTTGCGAACAGCGGCTTGTTCAGCTGCGGTCGGCCCGACGAGAGAGCATAGAAATCCTTCCCGCAACCAATATCCCGCCACAGTATATTCTACGCTGACGAAGTTTGTTTAGCTAAAGCGATTACTATCGTAACGTTGCTTTCCGAACATCTGTTTAACGATTAACTCACCTGCCAGTAAATACATGACACCGGTAACGAGAACCGCCGATATCTGATGCCTGCACAGTCCAAAAAATCCTATGAGGACTGCTGTGCCCAGAATGATCAGGCACACTAGAGAACACGAGATGCTCAAATTCTGCATCCCTGAAAGGAAACACGAACATCTACCGTTTGTATCGTTACTTGTATTTAACCCTTTCAGTCTGATATTTTTTACGTTCTCTAAACGGCAAAAGTATCGAAGTATAACGAGTAGACTCCTTTTATATTATATCGGTAATTTAGCTCGGATTTTCAGGCATATTATTAGTGTACCGCTAACGTGAAAGCACATGGCGATCGCCACGATAGCGCGTTACCATCAAATTTTTCGTTTTCAAAGCCTCGATCCGTGTGGAAATTTAACGAAAGTCTACCGTACTTTGATTATAATCCGATATCGTAATATTCAATATTCTAGTACTACGCGATAATCGTTCGATGCGGATACCATTTCAGATAAGTATTTTAATTGATATTTTTAGGACATAAAGCTAGTAGGTGAACTACTCTCGTTTCGGGAGAATTATCAAGTTACAGAGAGTCTTCTGTCTATTCTAAAGTGACAGTAACGTAACAGTAACGTAACAGTAACGTAACAGTAACGGTGAAAATAAAAGAAGGGAAGAAAGGAAACGTTGACCGTACTCACGGTTTTGCCAGGCGGCACGGATCTCCTCGTGTGCTTCGTCGGGTGTCAAGTAGTTAATGCACCTCTCCTGCGGAAAACCTACCTGACCCAGTAGTCGTATTTCCTCTTCTGAAACGAGAGAAACGAAAAAAAAGCGTGAACTTTAAAGCTGCGAAGCGAGACCGAACTTTCGCGTTTCATTTTACCCTGTTAGATTCGATTTATCAATTAAACGATTTCTCGTGTCTCGTTCTTTCGTATCATAAAATTTCGATGACAAGTTTTTAACGTTCAGCTCTCGCATATTTAGCACGAGGAATGTAATGTCGGAGTTGGAATTTAGTTCTTTCTTTAAATTTTAATATTCCTCGATCCGAGGTTAATTCTTACGGGTATATATTCTCGTAAATGGAGTAGCAAACCTTCGTCTGTTCCGAATAGTTAATTAATTTAATTTACATAAAAATAATTGAAAAATGTGTAACGATTTCATTCGGTTGTCTAATTACAGGTTTTAGCCCGATAGAAACGTTTGCCTCTATTTCGCGCGATCGATCGATTTTTATCGGCCGCTTAAGAGTCTCGTTTACAAATGGATTTACGTACGTTATCGATTAATCGGATACTTGTGACGAGTAGTTGGGTTAAGTTGGCCCACGAGCACAGAATAGTTGGAGCGTGAGATTCGATATCAGATTCCGAATACTATCGTCGGAGAGGACGAACTTGAACGTGGATTTCCGTGAAATGTCAGGAAGACGAGGGATAAGGCCATCATCGAGGTCGTGGAAACTTTGAGAATCGAGTAATAATAAATCCTGAAGCAGAAATAGATCGATCCAAGTTCATCGGGTCTAGGTTACCCGTCTTCGAGCTTACATGTACGTATCGGAAACTCGTACAGCATCGATCCAAGATAATTAAAGACCAGGTTTCTTTTTTCGTCGATCTCGAATTCTCGTGTGTTCGAACATTAGTCGAGAACAAGACAGATAAAACAATAAATACATAGACGAAATTTTGATTCGTTTCTACGAACGATCAATCTGCCTTCGTTCGAAAAATTTTGCATCGGCATTCGTCGTGAACCGTATAAAATTTGAACGCTTAATAAGCTTCGTTCTCGCGCCACGATTAAAATCAAGTAATCTTCTAAATGTTAAATCTCGTACAATCGAATGAATTCTGTTACTACGTACATAATTCGTGCAAGAACAGAAGAACACGATGTTAAAGCAAATCGCATGCTGACACAGGATAACTAAAATCGTAAAGTTGCTTCAGGATTTATGAGCTCAGTTTTCGTTCGATTTTCGCGAAGAGATCGTGTTATTTCGAGAAACGTTGCACACGCGCTATTCTAGACAGAGCGTTTCGTGCTTGGCGTGACCAGGAACGATCGAATGAAGTTCTCTAAAAAAAAAAGTTAAACGAACGAATCATGCAGTCGAACTCCTACAAGGTCAAGTTCGCTAGACTAAAAAACGCATCCCGTTGCTTTAGAAGAAGCATCGGTAAGTTACACGGAGTAACTTTAGATCAGAGTGGCTAGGTCATAGATCGTAATAAATAGAGTAGCGATAGATCGAAGTGTTCGTACATTTATCTGGCAGACGCGAGGTGGATACAATTTTTGTGCGAAATACCAAAAAACTCATTTTTTCTCTACGTTTTTTCGCGACGAAGCAAGAAAATTGAACGTCCAGAAGGTACATTCGACCGTAATTGCACGCCCACTCGTATAGCGATACGATCGTCGGGAACAGAGTTACCGGTTGACGATGGAAAGTTTTGGAGTTCCAGTGTCAGGAGTTTTTTCAATTAAACGTTCGACGACAACGACGCGTTGACGAAATGTCGAGCAACAACTTGGAACGACTTTATCTTTCCTGTGTTTCAACTGGACATCGAGAAGAAGCGTTAACTAATTGCATTACTCGTTATATCAATAACACGTTGATTAATCTGTGGTTGTATCGTAAAAGTCTTCCAAAAGACAATCGAACGTGATCTTATGTCGTTCGACTGATGGATTCGATCTCGTTCCACAGTAAAAAATCTCAGTCTTCGTAGCACCTAAGCCGAAACAAAGAAACGAGTCGATACTAAGTGCCATCGATAGGAATATTTGTCGCTAGCGATAATTCTTCACCCGATACAAAGAGATACGAAAAGTCGTTTTTCGAAAGGAGTTTAATTGAAGTTTGATAGTCGATAAAAAGTAGTTTGATCGGAAGTACAGGCAAACTGTAATTACGTGGGGTAGATAATGTTTTTCTGTTCGACTGGCTGTTCGCGTCACACCCTTTCGTACTTTTCCACGATTGACTTTTTCCGGGACGCTTTGTTCATTTTTTCCCCCGTGGGAAAAACGACCCGATTTCTCCGGTATTTTCTTTAGATGCTAGGAAGTTAGGCCGACTGCTTCTCGTCGAATCTCAGGGCATGTAATAATTTAGCATAGGCAACGAGATAACAAATTTGTCAGCTATTATCGTCATGAAAGAAAGAAAGAAAGCCAAAGTATCCTTAAAAAAAGGTTTACAGTTTCTCTACGCTTTCCTCTTTAAGTAAACGAAAGTGATTGGCAGGGCCTTCCAACAACGAAACATCCAAGATGTTCACGGTCACGACATGCTTAGTCAGACAGCACGATGTTTCAGATCCTAATCGACTGGTCGATAGGCTGGTCAGAGTCAAGGTGGTGGTGTCTATGTATAGAACATTTTCATACAGAAACGCGTCATGGCTACATCGAAGTGATTACGCGAAAAGGTGTGTACATACACTTGCATTAAAGCGCAAAACACACTTGCATCGTACAAAATCGATTTTCCATACGAGTCGACAAAGGAAATTCTCGAATTGTTCTGTCCTGCAGGATAATATTCTTAATATTTTCGAGATCTTACGTTTTCAAAAATTTATGACTTTTCTTTGTTTAGAATAAACATGGTTAGAATTATTTTAAAAAGGGAAGAATTATTCGTCGGGTAAAAAAGACGAGGATCCAGCGGGAATTGGAAACGTTTGATAGTATTCTGTATGTTACCTGTAAGCGAGACGCACATGATCCAAATACCGCCGTACATGGGGACAAGAAAGGTGGACCGTCTGTTTGTGTGGTGGTTCCTGTGGCCAGAAGGCGGCTCGAGCAACGCGACCTGTCCATCCAAGTACCACGTGAGGGTAACATTAGCGTGACTGAGCGCTTCCTTGTCCCATCCAACTTCTTCCCAATGGTCCGACATTATCGCGCCACATAACAACCCAGTTGCTGGAACATAGAGAGAAAATTTGTTCATGGACCAGTCACGTTCTGTATCGCGTGTCAGATATATCCTTTGTGGCGCGGTGGCCTCGTTATTTTAAGTCTCTGGAAGTTTGCGATGTCGAAGACCCCCCGGCGATGTGCATAATAATGGAACAGTGAATAGAGTTGCGGAGTACTTTTCAAGCTTTATGCTAAGCTTCCGAAACTTTCGATCTTCGTCGATTTTCTTTCAAGGGGCTATCTATGACAAAACTTGACCAGTATTATTAAGAAATTATCCACAATTAGGAAAGAAGCAGAAGAGCTAGAATTTAGCAAGTTAATTGGTAGAATAATCTTTGGTTGAGCTCGCGAAAAGAGAGATCGATGTCTCGATTTTCGGCGTACGCGGCTAACGAAAGAAAAGTATTTGCTTGGTGCCGTTAAACCACTGTCTCGGAGCTGACTCGTCAGAAAAAAAGAGCGCAGCTAGTCTTGTGTTCCTGCGACGCGTACTGATCCCATTACGAAAGATTAAAAAGAACGATTCCACAACGTTGGTCAGGATCGATGCTAATATACAAGAATTTCCGCGTTTAATGCCCATCGTGAGCTAGCCCGACGAGAGGCTTCGTTTTCCTTCGCGCCACAGCTCCACCGCCGAGAAAATTTTATCGCATAAGAAATCTGCTAGCGGTCGCTGTCGAGAGAAGAATTATTCGTCGGGTAAAAAAGACGAGGATCCAGCGGGAATTGGAAACGTTTGATAGTATTCTGTATGTTACCTGTAAGCGAGACGCACATGATCCAAATACCGCCGTACATGGGGACAAGAAAGGTGGACCGTCTGTTTGTGTGGTGGTTCCTGTGGCCAGAAGGCGGCTCGAGCAACGCGACCTGTCCATCCAAGTACCACGTGAGGGTAACATTAGCGTGACTGAGCGCTTCCTTGTCCCATCCAACTTCTTCCCAATGGTCCGACATTATCGCGCCACATAACAACCCAGTTGCTGGAACATAGAGAGAAAATTTGTTCATGGACCAGTCACGTTCTGTATCGCGTGTCAGATATATCCTTTGTGGCGCGGTGGCCTCGTTATTTTAAGTCTCTGGAAGTTTGCGATGTCGAAGACCCCCCGGCGATGTGCATAATAATGGAACAGTGAATAGAGTTGCGGAGTACTTTTCAAGCTTTATGCTAAGCTTCCGAAACTTTCGATCTTCGTCGATTTTCTTTCAAGGGGCTATCTATGACAAAACTTGACCAGTATTATTAAGAAATTATCCACAATTAGGAAAGAAGCAGAAGAGCTAGAATTTAGCAAGTTAATTGGTAGAATAATCTTTGGTTGAGCTCGCGAAAAGAGAGATCGATGTCTCGATTTTCGGCGTACGCGGCTAACGAAAGAAAAGTATTTGCTTGGTGCCGTTAAACCACTGTCTCGGAGCTGACTCGTCAGAAAAAAAGAGCGCAGCTAGTCTTGTGTTCCTGCGACGCGTACTGATCCCATTACGAAAGATTAAAAAGAACGATTCCACAACGTTGGTCAGGATCGATGCTAATATACAAGAATTTCCGCGTTTAATGCCCATCGTGAGCTAGCCCGACGAGAGGCTTCGTTTTCCTTCGCGCCACAGCTCCACCGCCGAGAAAATTTTATCGCATAAGAAATCTGCTAGCGGTCGCTGTCGAGAGCCCTTTAGCAAAACAGGAGCACTTCTCTCTCTCACTCTCTCTCTCTCTCGAGTGACCGTATCTTCCTCGGTCGAAAAAGGAAAAAAAAATAAAAGAATGGAGTACGATGCAACGAATTCAACCGGTGGTTGCTGACCCTGCCACGTGAACTGGAAAATGACACTGACAAAAGAAGATTTTGTCAACGATCGGAAAATTACCGATCGACGTTCGAGATCGTAAGAGGATCTCGAAGGGAAGACACGTCCGTTCAGTTGTCGTAGTATGTGAAATACTCTTTTCTTTTCCGTTTTATCTCGAAGGAGATATTTTAATCGCTGCGTATTCGTTCCAGATACCGATAGTACTATTCGTTTACACGAAGCTCATCGAATCGCGCCAGGACCATCAAAAGCAGCAAGAATACCTTGATCGATTAAAAATCAACTGGAAGGAGAGCAAACGTCCCGTTCTCTTGGATAACGTTATTAACTAGAAACAAACGATTCGAAGGCGTGCCGATCGCGATAATAAACAGAACATATGTACAGCAAATCGGCGAGAACAATGTTAAACAGGTTACGAAAGCATCATTATCCACGTGCTTCAGCCTGAACAGCCGTGGTCCGTCTAATTAGGACATCAAACACAAACCCAGTCGTCTCACCGTTTCAAAACACGCTCCAATTATCACGGTTAACGCGGTAGAACGAGAAAAATTCACGCGATTTTCAAGAACAGTCAGATACATCGAAAGCTTCTCGTACCATGCATGTCGGAAGCTCGACGTAAATGTATCTTCGATCATTCTGGTATTCGAACCATCTTTCAAAATGGCCCAGAAACGCGATCCTTCGGATCAGCTGATCGCGTAGCAAGATATTTACACGCTTGAAAAGAGACGGGAAGAAGAGACGCAGCTTTCGCGTCGTCGAACACCGAGTCTACGAAGCAAACGACGGAGAAACAAACGGTTTATCGATTATCTAGTGCGTGGATCTTGACGAAAAGCCGGTTGAACGAATCTAAACAATAACACGACGCAACGAATAGGAAAAAAGAGAAAGGGGAAGGAAGGAAGGAAAAAGCGTATTCGTAACGATGAGAAGCAAAATCGAATAGAATTGCGTTACCTGCAAAAGTGAGAGCTAGCGTAGCAACGAGAAAAATCAGACGTGGACCAGGGGCCCTGGGTACACGGGTAGGCTCCATCCATGCAGGTGGTGCCCAGGGCGACCGCTGGCAGCCCACTGAAAACCCGTACAACCGCACCGACAGTCGCCAGTTACGCACTGACCAATCGTCACCCCCAGAGCCCCTATGTTTTCGGTGACTGTTCACCACGTCGAGAGAGAGAGCAAACGACCAGCACGCCCTCTCCGTTCTGCGTCGAAGCGCACGAAAATCGACCGACGTACCACCCGACCGACTACCCCACCCGGATGCTGCGGACAACCCATTTTCTGATCCTTTGCCTTTTACCTTCTCTTCTTCTTTCTGAAGCTCTTCCTTCCACGATTTTCTTCGTTTATTCCCTTCTTAATTTCGCTTCGGTGCGAACGAACGATACACCACCCGATGTACGATGCATCGTTCTCATTTAGAATAACCTTCGGAATAGATGATCTAGACTCGCTGCTTCTTTTCGAGGATCGTTTCTTTCCGTCGAAACAGTCGCATGACTTTGGTACATCGTTAATTAAACCGTTACGCTTCGCCTATAAAAAGATATAAAGAACGGTCGGGGGAGTAGTTGGCACGTTATTAAAATCTTGTTTTTAATTTTCATAGACTTTATTGTTCCCTCGTGCTGCGTTGTTATTGTCCCTGAAAACTTTCTCGGTTACTTCGGTAATTGCAAACATGAAAATTAGCTAATCGCTGTTGCGGCAAAGTTCTTTCGGAGATTCTCGACCGGGCGTATCGTAATCAGAGGTATAGTTACGATTCGAACACGCGACTGCGATCCATTCGATGAGAACTATAAACTGCGCCACCGATGTCACTCGATATTATAAGGGGTTAAGATGGCATTAGAAGTATCTTATGTTACATAACGCTCTTAAGATGTTTTTTGCACACGAACATAACACGATTTTATTTACCCTCGTTCTCGCGAAAAACAACTCGTTTCCTATTATTCTACTAATTATCGATCTGTGAACTGTGTACGGTAATCGTTTGCAGTGTTTCAAACTGTATCGGTTCAAGAAACTCGATACAACCGCGAGAAACTTATCTCGAGAACTCGGCTTGTTAGCTGCAGCTCGTTTGCGAGAGAGTCAGGAAACGACGATTGTCTCTTAACGAGGTGCTCTTGCTATTCTGACGCTGGCTCGATACTCGACGGCCATTTAAATGCCAGCCCGTTATCCAAAGCAGAGCGGTAAATTCTTAACACATTCGGAGATTTCCGAGTTCATTAACGTTAAGTAACGTATTATACCATGCCCAAGGAAAATGTTGCGCCGTCAGGTAGAGTCCGTACGGAAACACGACACGTATTACCGGGAAAGCCCAAAAGACTTGGTCAGCTTCTAACCGACACGATTCGCTTCTAACTGAAACGATCTATTTCGTATTGCAGATGGCTGACGTTGCCGAGAATACAGCATTTACGGACCCAGCAACCGCGATATCCCACGGGAAACGTCACCTGTTGGTACGCGATTACACCATGGCCGTGACCGCATTGGCGCAAGCCTGTCAGATGCTCGTCGAGAAACACGGGGACACCGCGGACGAACTGGGTGAACCTTACCTGCTCTACGGCCGTGCTCTTCTTGGTCTGGCCAGAGAAGAGGCCGGTGTGTTGGGCGGCGGTGTGCCGGGAAACGAAGATTCCGTGGAAGACGACGAGGAGGACGAGGAGGAGGTTGAAGACGAAAAGTTAAGCAACGTGGACGAGAAAGAAGAAGAAAATGAAGAGCGCGCGAGCGACAATGGAGCGAGCAACGACGCGAAAGAAGTCGACGGGAAAGTTGACGAATCGAGATCGGCCGAACAGCCCGATAAACCAGAAACGGAGAAGAAAGGAGAGAAACTAGAGGCGGGTAGCGAGAAGAAGGAAGAAAAGAAGGTGGAGCCGCAAAGCGAAGAAAAAAAAGAAAATGTTGAATCTAACAGCGACGAAAAGAAGGAGACGGGAAAGTCGGATTCTAATAAAACCGATGACAAGAAAACCTTAGAGCAACCAACCCAAAAGAAAAGCGAGGAAGTTAAAGCAGGATCTAGCAAGGACATGAATCATACCAATGGTCCTTCTTGCTCGACGACCGAACAAAATGGAGACGCGAAGGAGAACGGAGACGATGGAGAGGATATTGGAAAGGAGGATGAAGACGACGAAGTCAATAACTTGCAGGTACACGAGTAAATGTTTCTTATCATTTCCTATATACGTATATATCGAAAGTTTTCTAGCTCGTGAACACAACTATCTAACGTTCACTCTTACGTTAAAGGTGGCTTGGGAGGTGCTGGAATTAGCGAAATTAGTGCTGCTGAAGCGTGGACAAAGTGGATGGAAGCTGCTAGCGGATGCTTATCGACTTCTAGGAGAGGTAGCCATGGAAGGTGGAAATTTCCAAGGTGCCTTGAATGATCTGCATCGATGTTTGGAGTTGCTGCAACAAATTGAACCTCAAGAACCAAGAGCAATAGCAGAAATCCACTATCAGCTAGCGTTGGCCCATTCTTTGGGCAATGAATTCGACGCCAGCATCGAGGAGTTCAACAAAGCGACCGAATTGTTGGAGGCGCGTATAAAAGAACTGGAAGAGATAAAGGAACCGCCGAAAACGGACGATTCTTTTTACACCGTGGAAGGGGAGATACAAGAGCTGAAAGAACTTTTGCCAGAGATTCAAGAGAAGATCTCGGACATGAAGGATTTCAAACAAGAAGCTTGCAAGCTTGTTATAGAAGGCATTAAGAGCAAAGTAGCCGGTGGATGTTCCAACGGTGCTGGACCGAGTGGCAGCAGTGATTCTACGACAAAAATTCAGAAACCCGCCAGTGACATATCGCATTTAGTACGGAAGAAGCGAAAAGCCGACGAACCAGAAACAGAAGTTGCGTCACCGTGCAAAAAACCAACGCCGGAGAAGACTGTTTGAACAGTTTTAACTAGTTTGGTGCACTTGAGACATTCTTGATATCTTGTTGCTTCGTTTTACAAGGCGTTTTACGCGATGATAATTGGACAAAAAGAGAAAACCGTATCGTACGCGAAACTTTTAGCGTTGGACCAAGAACGTAGAGCAACGATCATCGATACCGGCGAGAACATTACAAATTGTGAATGTCTCTCGACACCGCGAAACATATTTTATTCGAAAGCAGACTCGTTTCATTATACTCTCTTTTATTTCATGATTACGATTCGTCTAATAAATGTCTTTTATTTTCGTTCTGTTCGTTGCTCTGTACAATTCGTCTATTTATTATGTATCTAATTTGACTTTAACATTCAGCGAGTCGATGTTCATCATCCAAAATTACAATCTTTTATAAATTCTTATTTTCTAGGATGTAATAAAACGTTAGGGAATAAGGCTGTTTATGTATAAGTCTGATTAATAAACGTTAAATGATGATTTTTTTTAAATGCATAACTAAATGCATAACTCCACTGCATAACTACATAATAATCGGACTCATGGACGGATTGATAATTTCACGTGTATCCTATCTTCTAATTTACTTATTCGCCTAAAAGTTCTTCGATGTCGTCTTCCCTGTCAGAACTTTCTTCTCGTTCGATCTTCATTTTGTAACCGAGCGCTTCCAACACGCTCACGTTGTAGTAATAGGTTAAATTAATTCCAGGTACTAAACGTTTTAATTCCTCTATAGTAGCGCGTGCTTTATCCGTGTCGCCGATGTCGACGTAGTGCTGCGTGATAGTCGCAAACAAGTCACCGCGACGTACCGATTGTTCCAAATCAGGTCCATGAGATTCGAGCAACTGACGCACTTGTTGCGTCGCTGCGCTTGTCTCTCCCCTATCGAACAATCTATAACGAGCATTTACGACACCTTATTAGTAACTGTGTTTCATATTAATAATATTTTACATATGAAAATAAAAAAAGGACAGTTATAACGTACTTCTTGATGTCTAGGTAACGTCTGATCGCAGTTATCCTATTGTTCACCAGATCGATAGCTCTTTTGTGAATATCTGGATCTCTCGGAACGGTTACCTTCGCGAGACATCTACTGGCTTGATTCAAAGCATCGAGCGCCTTCTCGTAGTTCTGAAATTCGTCGATCTCCACTTGCGCACAAGCCACATAAAAATTAGCCAACAAATCCATCGCTTTTCCCTTCGAATAAAAATTAATAATATTCTTTAATATTTCCGGTTGATTTTGCCAATCTAACGACTGTAGATAATTTCCAGCCATGATATAAATCTCTCTCTGTCTAGAGACTTGTGCGAAGAAGCAAATCTTCTCGGTATCGCCCGATTTCAGTAAGGCCTTCATGGCTCTCAACTTGTTTCCAGCTTGAGTGAACTTCTTCGTCGCTAAGTGGTAGTTTCCTTGTTCGAAAGCGATCTCGCCTATTCTATGTAATATGGAAATTCGAAGTTTCTCGCGTTCTATGTCATTATCTGCTTTATCCAGGGTCATCTTTTCCGCCAGATCTTCGCTCAACAGAATGTTGTGTTCTTGAATCAGTTCCAGAGCTTTCATGTATTTCCTTCCTGTTGCGAGCAAATCAACGGCTTTCTCGATTTGATCGTTTTCAACGAAGTAACTAGCGCATTTCTCTATCAATGCTGGATCGGAATCCGCATTAACATCCATGATAATAAGTTGCAGGGCACTATACTGTTTGGTCTTGAATGCAATGTCCAAAGCCTTGTGCAGCAGACCAGCTTTATGATACAACAAAACAGCCTTATCCGACTGATCATTTTCTTCGTAGTATTTCGCAACATCTATTTGCGTCTGTCTTGGTGCAAGCACAGCTAGGGGCCATAATTCTTCGAACATGTCATGTTCTTTACACAAGCGGATCGCGTTCGTGTAAGCCTTGGCTATCGTATAAAAGTGAATGGCATGCGCTACGTTGTTTTTCGATTCATAATACGCAGCCAGATGATACGCAGACGCGGCATGATTCGTTCGCAACACCAAATCGCTAGCCTCGTCTTCTCTACCGAAGTAACAGAGTAATCTTGTCATTGCCAACGTGTTCTTTGCTTGTTCGTACAGTCGTAACGCTCCCTCCATGTCGCCCGTTGATTCTATGTACTGTGCATGCCAGTTTTTAATCTCCGGATCGTCGGAATTATTAAGATACGTCAGTAATTCTCGCGGTCTCGTCAACAACATTCTTGGAACTTCGAATCTATGACACTCTGCTCTCGTGTACATGTCTATAGCTTCTGTTATTTTACCTTCTTTCTCGAGAGCTCTCGCATAATTGTAACAGCTCGTTTTTTCACGAATTTTCTTCTCGTTTCTAGCCAACTCTATGGCTTCCTTAAACTTATTCCGCGCTTCGAGTAGCTTGCCCAATAGATCCAGTCTCCCTGCCTCGCGGTAAAGACGTTCGGCGTCGTTATACAATCCAAGCTGTACAGCCAACATCCCCACCTTGGCTTCCAGGTTTAAACCTTCGTCTTGCATAGCTTCTCTCAGCGCCCTTGCCCCCTTAACTTGTTTCGTGTGACCCAAACACAAAAGAGCCATATTTAACTGTTTCGTTTTCACGCACATTCTAGCCAAACTCTTCCAAATACCTTCGTTTTTTATAGATTTTATCGCCTTGAAAGCTTCATCCATGTTAGCAACGCTTATGTGAAAACTGAAATCCAGTACAGCTTTTTTTGTTATAGCATCGCATGTGTCTAGTTCCTCGAATTCCCTCATGGCCAATTTCCTCACTCTGCTACTATTTTCGACGTTCTTCTCCGAGTTTAGAATAATTATGTGCGGAGCCTGAACACCCAGTAATCTGGAATTTTCATCTGTTACCGGTTTTATGTCCTGTACGACAATCCCGTGATCCGACGTCGCGAATATAGAAACCAAAACTACATTGACCTTTGAGACATCGTAGCCATTTTCATTCATCTGTTTCGTTGAATGTTTAGAATCTCGACTATCCAATCTTTGAGCACGGCATATTAGCAGTCTAGGATCATCCACGTCCCAGCAATGAGCAGTTACTAATCTTCCTTTGCATTTTACAGCCAGACCAGTATCATCTTCGTCGATGTCATTAGATTCCGCGAAATCAAATTCGTGTATCTGATCGCTTTCTATGTCCCAAACGTATAAAATCGAACTGGGCATCAAGTTAGTCATGGCAACTGTAACGGATACTAAACGACAGTCCGAGTTACACTTTGCCTCAATGATTTCAGCAAAATCATTGATCGCTTCGTAAGTTGCCATTGCTCTGGTATGCAATTTCGCTTCCCTTTTACTTAAGTCCCAAATTTTTAAAATTCCACACAAAGATGCAACCGTAAGATATTGTCCAGTAAGGTCCATCGTGATCGGTTCACCTTCTTCTGGTAACGTAGGTAACACCTGCATAACTGTACCTTCCATCGATCGCAGTTGAATAACTACAGGGGTCAGAACGATCAAAGTGTGCTCGTAAATTAACAGCTTCTCCGTATCACAATGGAAACTTGTGACCATCGTAGTCGTCACGGAATTATCTTTATATATTCCGTAAATCACGATTTGTCTACCCGAGGATACAGCAATGTGCTCTTTGTTTACAGCTACCAGTTGTATTTGAATGTCGCTTTTCAAAACGTAAGAAAGCTCGTCAATTTCTAGTAAAATTTGAGTAGGTGCGAGTTGACTGGCGCAAACACCGTCATTATATGCAGCACACATTGGTTGTTGATGTAGAATAAAAACATTCGTTATACAATTAACCGCAAGTAATGGATTTCTCAATAAAACAGCTCCCCATGTAAGTTGTTTCACTGTTCCATGAATGCTACAAGATTCTGGTATACTCAACCAACCATTTTCATCATAATCCGTTTCAGCTTTACGTTTCCATAGATAGATTGTTCCCAGATTTGTACCAGCAGCCAAAGTACCTGGAAAATTTTAGTAATGCATTTGTTTCTACATATTTTATGCTCCAAATAATATACAGACAGCACCATTATTTTTGCAAAAAGATATGCTTGTGCAAATCTCTTGCGGTGTAGCGATATTTCCAGGAGATGAATCCGGAGCAGACAGCACGTAACTATCGCCGGTATGAAGATCCCAACAACGGACACCTAATTCTCCTGTAAGAATTGCTAAAGTATTTCCACCGGCCCAGCACATTGCTGGGCTAGTTCGTGACACGTCGCATCTACCGCTGAGTTTCACCTAAAAATAAACATTTACATAAAATTTCGATACTCTTTTCTGGTGGAAGTAAACAGTATGTAATTGAACTACTTTTGTTAATTCGACGAGCCTTCCAGTAATTGGATCCGCTTGAAAATGCCCTATATTTAACCCTTCCGTCATAATAATAACGGAATCTCTACTTTGATGGTGCAATAGAAACTGTAACGCGACACCGTTCGTGTTGAGAACTTCCGTACATTGACCCTGATTGTCAACAAAGTATATTACTCCGCTGCTTGTTCCAACATAAAATGCATAATTATCTCTTTGCGTTGCAACCGTTGTTGGTACAGCCGTTCTAGGACGCCAAGAGCTAAATATATCCAACGATCTTTCATCTCCTGCAATCGCTGCTTTCGCTAAACCACTGAAAATGGTTATTATTTTTTAATCTTTTCTATATCTTCAAAAAATATATTTCAACCCACTTTATATCGAACGCTGATTTCGGTGGAATTGTTTTGAATACTATTTCTGCAAAAGAATCCTTCAGCTCATGGTGAAACATCATTAACAATTGACCTCTCGAATCAATTTTCCAGCCAACTATAGAACCAGTTGCATCCGCCGATACCAATCTTCCTCCATGTTGACTCCATTGCAGAAATGTAATAGGATCATGGTGCGGTGTGACTATTAAGTTAAATTCAACGCTCCCAGTATCGCCTGGCCATACCTAAATACGTATATAATTTTACATATATGTTTACTCCTGTTTACTCTTACAAAACAATTGCTTTAACAAAGTTTTAACAGGTTATTAACCCTCAATTCTCCGCTTTCCCATCCTACAACGAGCCAACGTCTTTCTGGATGCCATCCAAGAGCTGTCACCTGCGATACTGAATGTCTCGGTGATTCCACATCCTGTACGAGTTCTCCTTGATCATCATAAATAGTTACAAAACCACCCTTATCTTGAGAATATGCAGCAACAGCTAACAAAGGATAATTGGCATGCCAGATTGCGTGAGTACTTATAGAAGCTGTTTCCGGGTTTTGTACGCGTGTATCAAAGTACAGCGACATTATGTCCTGATAGTTGTTTTCACCGTTAATGTCACCGCTGTCATGCGAATTGGTTTCAGTATGTCTCATAAAAATATGTTAAAAGGTACTATTTTAACGACGCAAAATACTGTATGTACATATGTAGGAGTTGGAAATCCATTGAGAAATTAATTCTATTTACATGTTGAAAACTGAAAACTTTTCATTCAACATTTTTCTTACACTTGCTTTATATTGTTTGACAAACAGTTGCCATAGCAATTTCAGATTTAGCGCCATCTTTTATCATTTTAGCAAGTTACATCGGCAAGTATACCGGGAAGTTAAAACATCGTTACTGTTTTCAGAACATTTATTACGAAGAAGTATGATATACAATTGTATGATTATAACGTATTACGTGTTACTTTACTGTTTTATAGATTCGAGTTCTTCATATGAAGTAACTGATTTTCTAAAATGACTATTTTCTACAATTTGTAATATTCTTAATTAAAAATTGATACTATACGTTTAAAATGATATTCATGGTACCTTGAGATACTCCTGTGTCTGAGTTTCCGACTTAGCCTCTGTTTCAGCTAGTAGCGTTCTATACTGTTCCTCTAACAAGCTAACAACTTTATCCATTTCAGTTTGCTTTTTTCTATTCAAATATGTACATAGTTCGTTTTTCTCTTCTTGCAATCGTAATTGTAACGTTTTTATTTCCATATCTTTATTCTATGACACAGAATATAATATAATGCAATGTTCCAAATATTATTTTAAATAAATTACCTTCATTTTGTTCTCAAAATCATGTTCTAATTTCTCTTTTGATTTTTCAAGCTTCACAACAGCTTTTTTCAGGGCACAAACTTTAGACATTAAAATATCATTTTGCTTTTGACTTTCACAATCTATTTCGTTTCTCATTTTGCTAAATTCTCCTTTCATACTTGTATATTGTTCAACTAACATTGCCTGTAATTTATCCTCCTGAGAAAAATACAATATTATTCGATAACTTACTTAAATGTAAATGAACTATAATATTTTGCAATGCGTAAAAAGATACATCTCTAATCTTTGTTTCCAATTTTGCTTCTAAATCACAAATCTTATGGGTCAATGTTTCAATTTCTACTTTTGTTCTCTCGTCTTTGTTCGACAACTCGGTATCTTTCTTTACAAGTAAATCGTGTTTCTTTTGTAACTCCTTATCCTTTTCCTTCATTAACGCATCGAATCGGTCGCATATTATATTCACTTTATCCATCCATTGTCTCTCCACCTCTTTCATTCCTATATCCTTCAAAATAACTTGTGTACTTCTTATTTTGCCGATGAAATTTCTTCTTCTTACCTTACCATGGATGATTTCTTCTAACTTTTCACTTATCATGGCTATACTGTGATTCAATGACTTGTTCTTTACTCGCTCCTTTTCCAACTGGTGCCTCAATTCAGTAAACTGTTCTACAACTGAATAATGATATTCCTGAATAGTTTGCTTATAACTTTCTTCCAAATAACTTTTCATTTTCTGGACATCTGTAAATCTTTTAACAATTTATAACTGTTTAAAATTAATCACCCCTTTCCACGTTCATTTAGTGACATACTAACTTAGCTTTTAAATCAGTCACATCAGCAGTTAACTGATTAATACTCGCGGATAAATAATCATGCTCATTCCCGTTATATCTGTCTCGATACTCTACTAACTGATTCTTTAGATAATCATTTTGAGCCTGTAATTCTATAATGACGGTATTATTATGTGCATTGTATGCATGTATACATTTACTCCTAAATCATACTCCTGATATCCATCATATGATGTCTTAATAATAGGTTACTTCTTTGATGTTGAACACATGTTGCATTTGGTCTTAAACAATTACGATGAGATTTCATGGCACAATCCGACAGATCACTTACAGATGAACTAATGCAAACCTGTATTACACATTGATCATTTCTCTTTTTTTTTTGTTAAATCAAGATTTACAAATACTAAATTATTAGTACCGTATGATGAGGCTTAGGTAATGGTAGAAGAAGTCCATTGCATGGAGGCTTGCTAAAAATTCCTTTTATATGACCTGCTTTTAGCTGCCTGTACAATTCTAATAGATATTCGTTCCTCAAACGACGCTGCGAACAAGCAGCGTTTAATTTATGAAGCCAAACCTTGCATAACTCTGCATTTTCTGCAGATGTCAATTCTAATACATAAGGTCTAACACGTGCTAAAGTTTCTTTATAACATTCGTCCAATATTACATCTGTCTTATTCATTATATTTTCAAATTTTCAGCATTATTCCCTACATTTGTCACTATTGTATTACTTTCCTGGCTGTAGACACTATTTGAAGTAACTTTAAAAAAAGAATTTTTTAAGAAATTTTTGCCTTTTAAAAAATTGTTGCTTTTGTTTTTCTCGCTCGATGACGAACAAGATGGTCATGAAACGTATAAAAGGTGAAAAAAAAAAAGAAAAATAAAGAAAAAAAGAAACAAGGTATTCTTTTTGCTTGATAAATAATATTTTTATAGAGATTTGTATGTTACACAAAATAAACCGTAAGTTATAGGCTTATATACAAAAACATTGATTAAAATTTACTACTTATTTATTACTATCGCTTTGACATAAGCTTTATCTACGTTTGATCCGTCACTATTTTTCATGTATTACATCGATAAGTATATTTCAAAAACAATTATTAGTTTGGAAATTCATTGATAAAAAAGGTTCCAGAAAATATATCGCGGACTGCATAAAATCTTTCTATACAGTTGATAATATTTTCATGATATTTTTCAAAGAAGTTTTTAAAAGAAGTACTACAATATTTTCACGCACTATGAATACATAGAAATAGTAAACGCAGATAGTTAGAAGCATATACATCAAGCAGAATAGCGAAGAAATAAGTCTATTAAGCTTAATTACAGTACTATAATCCTTTCATAGCCAAATATCACAGTACAGCTCATAAAATGACAAAGCTTGGTGACAACGTCATTGTCACAAGTTTATTCACTCTTAAGCCATGTATTAAAATAATCGTTCCTTCTCTTATAAAATTATATCCCATGCACCCAGCACGGTATCACTTTTTCAAATCTATTTTTACTTTCCTACGACTACTTATAAAATAAAATTTTACAATTTACTAAATCTTTTCATTCTTTGTTCATTGAAGTTGGTCATTGAGATCTAAAGCAGTAATTCTGCGATATTATTTATGAAAGCATTAAACCCGACTGTTTAATTTAATTTGATTTTCTGTGGTTTGTTTTAATTCCACGAGTTTTCCTTTCATGGGCTGAATATTTGTACCTATCCATTCATCGATCGTTGACGAAAAGAAAATACTCTCCATTTGAAATCTTAAATATCCTTCTAAAGAAGATAATTCCAACAGTAATCTACAAGGTTCATTTTCGTCATTATGAAGTCTTTCGTTTATATTACTACAGCAATGAATCAACTTACTCCGTAAAAGCGGGTACTAAATTCTCTAACTGCATAGGATTCGTGTAATTGTTTGCGACTTGCCAAGGATTCATCCATGTAGATATTCTATAATATTTAATACGATAAAAAAATATAAGAATCGAAATTTTATCTATCATTTAAAATTGTACTTACTGTTCGCTAGTGGTAATGTTATGATATTTAACTCGAAAATTTAAAAACCATTCTATGCCCACTGCAACCTGCCATCCAGGAAAAAGTAAATTACTAGGTATTGGTGCAGGTCTTGGTTGTGGTGTTATATGCAACGGATGGTCGATGTACCCTAAACTTTTAGCCACTTGATTATGAATTTGTTCGGAATAACCGTGAAGCCAAACTTTCAAGCATAAAGCTAACGACGGAATCGCTGTTGGTAACAATTCGCATAATGTTGCATAATGGTCATACCTAAAATATAGAAACACCAACTATTTCTCGTTTAACAGAAATACGAAAATAAATTACCTTGACCACCCAGTGAAAGCCGTTCCCCGAAATTCATGAACTTTACTCGCGTGTATACCTAATTCTTCTAACCACTTTTCATGATTACTTATATGATGTCTTACAACCGGTACATGCTGACAAGATCCAGTAGCACCTTTAAATGCAGTGGCTGCCCAGATATGAGGAAAAACTGCAGTGTATTTGTCCCATAATCCTACCAAATAATTTTAATATTTTTTACTATAGCGCTGAAATATTTGTATTTAAAACGATAAAAAGCAGAAATATTACCATGAGGTAGTGCAAAATTATCTCTAGGATTATAATGCCAAATCATAGGTTCTACATATTTTCCAATATAATGATCTGAAAATTTTGAAAAGTATTTTTCTATAATTATATATGGAATAAAAAAAAAAATACGAATAAACTATCAAGATACCATTCAAAACTTGCAAATCTATTGATCTTAGCATATCATCCCATATAATAATCTTTAAGTAGGGATATGTTTCTTGAACGTATTGTGCAATTGCCAAAACATGTTCCAGATACAAAGATGGTTTTCCATATTTGCTGGATGCAGCACGTTTTGTACAAATTGAGCAAAGACCTAAATGCCAGACTTCATCGGCACCTATGTGCAAATATTGTATGTCCGGATGAAAACTAACTATTTGCCGAATTAAAGATTTCACCAAAGGCAATGTTCTCGGGTTAGATGGACAAATTGAGCTTGGAAAATTTTCCACTTCTCTTAATGATCTCCATTCGTCGTGTTTCAAAACAAACTAAAATTATTTATGTATTAATTGAAACGTTTATGATCGTGAATCGTTGTAAAGTTCTCTTTACCTCCATGTGACCAAACGTTTGTACTAAAGGGACAACCGTTAAACCACAGTCTCCTGCAATTTGTAAAATGTGCTTAACCTCTTGAACCGTATATCCAATAGTTAAATTGTTCAATCCATTGCTTCCTATGTGAGAGAGTTCTCGGTTGTATGGGAATGTATCTTCCCACTCTAGGAGGAGCCCAGTGGCACCCCATGTCCTCAAGAGTGGAAACAACTAAAATAACAATCGCATATTCTTAATAATTAGATATAACTTATCGATGAAAAGAAAAACATAACAGTTACAATTAATATATAAGCTACAATTACGTATACATTATTATGCTGTATTACGCATACAAGTTCATTCTAGAACGTCGGAAAATATAGGTTTTGAAATTGAGAAATTACTGATTAAATAAAAAAAACCACGCGTTAATGACATCTGACAAGGAACGAAGGAGAAGTGTCATCACGATTATGTTTCGACGACACTGTTGTCGGATAAGAGATACGGTGTGTAAACAATGCGGTTGTTTATAGGAAAAACAAACCTTTTCGAAATAACAGACTCGCGGCGGACCACCCTTGAGATCTAAATGAACTAGCCTGCAAAAAAAGGGTCATTATTCTGTGACGCGACACTTACGCGATCGCGAAAATTTTTAGAAATTTATGTCAACCTATCGGACGTTTACCTGTGCGAACCAAACGTCAAGGCGTCCATCTTTCCTCCATTACTATTTACAACGTGACTACAACGATAATTAAAGAACATAATATATCGGAATACCATTAACATTTTGCGTTTAACAAATAACGACATTTATTTTTTTATTTCGAATTATTTTACGATCTTGTTTGTTTCTCGACTAACATATTTTATTTCATATTTTGATTAGAACGCGCGAATCATGATTCAAATTTCAACTCTCGGTCAGAAATTTTTCTCGAGACGATTTTAATCAACGTTATATAAGTGATGAATATTTGAGAGTACTCAAATATTTACCGACAGTACTAAAATATTAGCGATATTATGATTATCCAAGATCTCTATACAACACAGCACGTTGCAGCGCGATAACGAATTCGGTTAAAATACAGAGTTGTGTGCGTAAAAGAAATCGTTAAAAAAAAAAAAGCAGGATAAATTAAAAATCATTCATCGACGAAATATAACTTTATTTCTGTATACGTTCAGCCTTATATAAAACATTACAACTGCACGCGTTATACGAACTTCCAAATATATAGATATTATTGGTCGTGTCACAATACATCATGAGATTTGATGAGATTGGGCGTACAGGTGCAGTTGATTGTTGCATCGCGTACGTTCGATGAATACGTCGAGCAACGACAAAGTTTACGACACCTATTTTTCTCCTACGTGATTCTGCACGTCGTTGAACGAGACTCGAATCTTCCCTCGTTCTCGAATATAATTACACACACAAGTCTCTGTTAATAGTTTTAACAATTTTTGTAGCCTACGCGGGCAATCGAACGAACTATTTGACTGGAAAATCAATTAGATGTTCACGATAATCTTCCTTCGGGTGTTATTTAATTATTCATAAAATTATTACACATACGAGTTTATTTAAGTAGTGTTTCATGGAAACATCACGGAAAATTTCGACAATGAACACAAGATGGAAACTCATTATAATAAAAAAAATTATAGACACAGAATTCAAAACTTGGCACTTTTCGTATAATTTATTCTACGGAAAGTGAAGATAAAATTGCTGAATTCTTTATCAGTTCGATGTCTCTTTTATATTCTAAACCATTGCGATCGTACAGCAAGGTAAAACGATCAACCAGAAAAGAAAATGTGTTAAACAATGATTTTTATTAGTCACAGTCGTGCGAAATAATTCGCCTTGCTTGGATAATGTTATCCTCATTCATTTTTTGCTATAGGTTATCTCGTTTGTACAAGACTGATACACCTAAGAATGGCTCACACGATAAACTAGAACGTAAATTGATAATGCTTTTTAGTTTAATTTTTATCTATGGACGAACTTATTAATTGAAATATGATTTTGATACATAATCTATGATACGAATCGCGTAAACCACCCCTGGTGTCTCATGTATACAAGTGTCAGGGCAGGAATATAATAACAGTCAGCGATGTACAAAAATGTGATCGATCATTTTAAAAAAATTGAGCTAATCTTAAAACTACGCTTATGATTACTTTGGGACACGAACAGGGAAATCGATCGTCGTGTGCGCCAGCCTAGTTTTCGTCGAACGTAAAAAAACCACAAACGGTGAAATAGAAAACTGAAACAGAGCAACGAACGCGATCTTTATATTGATCTTTGAAAGTTGACAATTCAAAGTTTCGTAACAACACGACAAACATCTATGCTATCAGAGCGACATCCGGTCGATCTCGACTATTTTCTCTTTTTTAACAGGGATTAATTTCTAATTTATCTCTTTTAATCGTACGATCAAAGCGTAATAATATAGTTGTTCGTTAAATCTTTGTGTCTAATTTTTAAAAGTAACTCCATCGAAATCACTTTTTAACGATTATCGTTTCAAATAGAAATTTCGAATCTTTTTCTTTTGAGGCCTGCGTTTCTTTGTTTTCATTTCCTGTCGCGTAGATCATGTACATCCAACCGATAAATGAATTTGCGTATGCCGGATGAAACGTACGAAACAGTTCCCACAACGGAATTAACTGTTTTTACGATTTTCCTCTTTTCTTTCTTTCTCTCTCTCTCTCTTTCTCCCTTTTTTTTTTCTTTTTAATACTAAAGAAAACTTAAGTCTACCGCCCATGATTCATCGTGATAAATAAATTAATTATACAATCTAACGTTTACACCTTGGTATTTCGACCGTACTCCAAAATTTGTTTATGATAAAAAAGAAGATACCTGAAAAGGAAACGTTTTTTCACTGGATCCTTCGTAATGGTAGTAACTGCAGTGTGGCCAGTGCCGCGAACTCACCCTTCGCTAGTCAAGACATCTTTTAATCTTGCTCTCGTGATCAAATGATCGTCACATTTGAACCACTGATCTCTTTGCTGCCGTATGAAGGCAGTGTAGTGTCCAGTCTCCAAGGAACCTTCGTGATTTATCACCGCAAACAGGGAATACCTATTATCGCTGAATGCCATGTCTTCTCCGTTTTTTGCTAGTCCGTCCATCATCGCGCTATTGTTGTTACCGTTCCGCCTATGTGACATAAAAGGTGTCATGTCTAATTGTTCTGGAAACGAGATGAACGTAGAAATCTTCTTGTCCTGAATGCTAGAGTGTTCGAATCGTTTTAAGTGAAAACTGGCCACGATAGGGAGCTGCTTCATTGTCAATTGCTTGGTACTCTCTTGATAAGTCTGACAATTGCTACACTTTATTTTGGCGCTAGATCCCAAATGCTCTGCACGCGTGAACCTTTCCAAACAATCTAATAACGAGGTAGGAGGACCAGAGCTATCAGAACCAGACGCACTAGCTGCTGGACCCAGATCCAAAGAAATATCCCAAAATGGATCTATCGTCGTCGACACTCCGCTAAAAAATATAATTACGTCAATACAGACTTTCTCTGGTTACGATATATGCAGTATTGTGCATTTGTGTCGTACTTGCACGCCTGACAAACCACGTCGCTTTGTAGACCACCGGTGAAAATTTGATCGATGATACAATTACAATGATGTGGATTATCTTTTACTAAGATCGGCGCTGCTTCGCAGTGCCTGTGCAAGACGTCAAGCGTAGCTATAAAGAATTCATGAGCATCCTGCTGCTCGTAACCAGCTAAATGTCTGGCGTGTGTCCAGATTAAATGGAGAAGCTTGTGAAGCGTCAACGGTGCTTTGCTACCGGAGTAGAATTCCTGAAAAAGGTGGGACACTTCACAGACCAGGCAGCGAGTCGGTTGCGGGCAGTGATGACGGTCAGCAAGGAAATAATCTCTTAACAGTGGTGTGTGTATGAGTGCCTGTACGATACAGTTCATGAAACATGTACTTCCAAGATTTATGAGTCCTCTTAAACCTGCAAACATTACATGGTAATGAACAGACGTTTAGCTTTTACTTTAAACACTCTGTAACTCTTACCTATGGTAGAATTTTCTACGACGCGCCTTCTGCGCGGATGTTTTCTTAACAATTCTGCCTCTATTTGCGTCGGTTCCCATGCTCTATAAAATTCTCCGAAGCTCAATGATTTTGCCGATTCGCTCCACTGCGATTTGGCAACTGTCAATAATTCTCTATCGTATACGTAATCACCGCATTGGAAGCACAAAATATTTCCATAACAAAGATCAACGGCTGTAACGTTAATCATATAATTTATACGATGTCAGTTTTATACAACGAATGTCAGTTTCTTCTTGTAATTACCTAAAAAATGCTTTTTCGTCTTTGCATGTTCCTGTATATGACCTTTTACATAGCAGCCAAAGAATATACAGTGAAGACAAGAGTGAAGACGATCTTTATACGTTTTACACGTGTGACACAAACAGCTGACAGCCTAAAAAAAGATACAGAAATTGATCAATTGTTGTATTATACAACAAACATAAAAGCATGATTTCAGAAAGGGTACAACACATTTATGGAGCATACGTTTTCATACATTAAACGCGACACAGGGGAATATTTAATAAAAACATGATCGCGTTATATCGCATTAAGCGCTGCAAATATTCATCGGCTGAACGGTACCGGCAAAAGTATAAATCTATGCAATACCGTTACTTTACGTAAGCAACAGATCTTTGTATCTGCAGAGTAATCATATACGTCGGCCATTTTTAAATCCGCCTATGAAAATATCAATACAGAAGTTAACAAACGAATTAAATCTTTATCGCGTATTCGAATTATCGCGACACTGCAGTACACTTATTTAAAATTGTTTTACAGAGACTACCGTCTTTAAATTGAACGGTTTCACGAGAGAAATATTTGCTAAGAAGGTGACAGACAATTAAAAGTGGAAAAAGAGCAAATAAAAATACGAGGTAAAAGGAGTAAAGAAGGAATTCGGAATAGATTTTGTTTTTATGAATTTTCCAAATCGTTTTTGTTTTTTTAATGTTTTCAAATAACACAGCCAAAGATCGTTGAGGTTAACCGTTATATTTGGACAGAAAAACAAATTGTTTACCTAAAGTGGTAATAAAACATGAAATACATCGATAAATATTTGAAACTTATTGTACAAACATGAATGAACCACAAGAAAAAAGGAATAGTACGTTCCTGCCTTTTAATATCTTGTAAACAATACACGCGTGTTCGTAGAGTGGGTTGGCGTTCTGTCTAAGATTTGTATACCTCGTGACTGAAGACCGTAAGTGCAAATAGAAACCACAAAGAGAATGATCTTGCAATTTCTCACATTGCGAGGATCCTTGATATCTCAGCGATTTGTTTTACCCTTTTTTTTTTATTGCAACCAACGTATCCGATACGTATACTCTGTTCATCGACGAATTCATCGCACGAATTTTCATTCGTTCTGCGCATGTAACTCTGATCAGATCGTGCAGTTTCATAACCAAGAGTAATACGCATGCGTCGTTATGACATTTTTTTTTTTACAACGAGCGTGTACACTCGGCGACCCAAATTTACAAATGAACAGAATCCGAATCACTAAATTTTCTAAGTTGGTAAATTATTAGATCTCCTAAATTCCCAAGTGACTAGTTTCGAAACATCTACACTTTTAAATTAAGAAATTTAAACTTCCAAAACGACAAATTTGTGAGTTGATCATGCCCTGATCTGTACCTTCTCCCGCTATTCGTATATTTTATCCACCGTGTATATGATCGGCAAGATGGAAAACTTATAGTAGTGGGGTAACAGCAAGCGGTAGGAAGTGTACTGAAGTTAACCGAATTGCGCGAATCAAGCTTGATCTCTCGTCGAACAGGGTATAGTAAAGGTGGCGAACGACGAAACGGAAAACGGTAAAACATCGAGTAAAGAGCGAAAGTGATAGAAAGAGAAAGAGACAAAGACAGAACCTTGACCACGGATCACGCAAGAAAAAGATAGTCGCACCTTTCTTACGCGTGCCTCGGTCGACGTGCTGGTCACGAAATAGGAGTGTATCACTTTGTACGGCTGGATACCCTTGGCTGCTTTGAAATTATTCAAGTGTATGCAGCCATGGTCGCTCATCTCAGGCTGGCACGAGCGACGCTGTCGTGTCTCCTTCTCCTTAGCCTGCTAATAGCCGTGGACGAACTTCGATGCTCGCCGGCCCTCTTTGAACTTAACCACCAAACCGATGACCACCGCGAACAGAAATCTGACCACCGACGCGACGCAGACGACGAGTCGTCGACGACGAACACGATTACGTGTATCGGTCGTTTAACGACAACGACGACGACGACGACGACGACGACAACAACGACGACGACGTCGACGGTGACGGCGGCAGCAGCGACGACGATGACGGAGGCTGCTCTGTGCGGGGCGTAGCACGCTGGCCTTGGCAGGAGCGCGCGTGTCGTTGACATGGAAAACCGCGTGAGCCTTGGAAAAAAAGAGCGCAAGGGTTGCCCGTGCAGTGTCGTACCCGTAGCCCGTAGCCAGTCGATCGCTGTCACTCCGCACCGATCTATCCCCGTTGCGTTGCTTGGAAAGAGACGGACGATGGAAACGGGAGAGACAGACGGACAGAGATAGAGGCGCGCGCGCGACCGACCGACCGACCAAACGGATCCGTCTTTACACCAACGATCAAGGGCTAGTCCACCGATATTATCCTTGGATAATCGATCTTTTCGAGGGAAACCACAATCTCGTATCTTGCCACTTTTCGCCTCCACGTTTTCGATACCCGGGTGCTCGCACACACCAGCCGGTCACTGCAGGCGCTGCCGGTTAGAGGCAGCCCCTCTGTACCCCCACCACTAACGGTAGAACGTTCTCAGGGATGACTCGTGCAAAGGTGCTTAAGGTTCTTCTCTCTTTCTTTCAGTTTTTACCGTTATACGGAGGTGTCCATTATTCGAGGGATCTTCGAACACAGATTTCGAATAAAACGAAAATATTCGAAATAACTTTTATCTAATTATTCTGTTAAGAACGTGTATTCTTATTCGAATAGAAAATTACTTTTTATTCTCGAATATCTTACTTCTACTGGATCCGAGATTGGCAACGAAATACGTGATTTTCTAATATTGTTTCCGTCTCTAAAAAGGACTCTGGCTGGCACAGAGTCTCTAAATGTAAAATCATCTCTACCAATAACAACGTTTGCATTTTTACGTATTAATTCATAATTGGACATTAACGTTTCTTTCCTCTGAATTTTATTATCTTATTTACGAGATAAAAAAAATACCGATGCGAGCGTAGCTTAGCGCGCGTTTATTGTCAATATAATACAAGTTCATTGTTTGAGCAGTGCTTCCGAGATCCTATGTACAGTCCTGAAGTCTCCGTTTTCATGCGCCTCTCACCCTAAAGTAACAATTGCGCCCCTGCGTATACATCCCTTTGTAATTGTGCTGTGTAGCTCGAAAAAACCGTTAACTGATAATTCCGTTATTGCGTGACCTATCCGGATTTAATGCGATTCTATAGCTTCGTCCTCCGCACTACGATAGGCTCCAATCACATTAGATTTACATAGATGGTTTGTTCATTATCTTGCCACGATATCACTACACGTAATTAACACTTTTTCGATGGTCAAACCGAAACTAATTCGCACTGTATGTATTTGGATAAGCACCATGAACACGTGATATTTTAACTTTGAAAGTCATGGCGGATAATCTACTTGAAGAGTTAAAATCGATAAGAGCGGTTTAACGACATTGTAGGATACCCACGGTATTGTCGGTATTTCAGAAAACTTATCCACCGTAACTCCAAGTGGTTATCTACAGCGCCAGCGTGAGTGTTTGTGTGCCGCCATCTAGCGGCAAAAGATTAGAACTAACGGAAGTGTAGTTCCAAAAGTGTGTAGAACGACGACGACGTCGACGGTGACGGCGGCAGCAGCGACGACGATGACGGAGGCTGCTCTGTGCGGGGCGTAGCACGCTGGCCTTGGCAGGAGCGCGCGTGTCGTTGACATGGAAAACCGCGTGAGCCTTGGAAAAAAAGAGCGCAAGGGTTGCCCGTGCAGTGTCGTACCCGTAGCCCGTAGCCAGTCGATCGCTGTCACTCCGCACCGATCTATCCCCGTTGCGTTGCTTGGAAAGAGACGGACGATGGAAACGGGAGAGACAGACGGACAGAGATAGAGGCGCGCGCGCGACCGACCGACCGACCAAACGGATCCGTCTTTACACCAACGATCAAGGGCTAGTCCACCGATATTATCCTTGGATAATCGATCTTTTCGAGGGAAACCACAATCTCGTATCTTGCCACTTTTCGCCTCCACGTTTTCGATACCCGGGTGCTCGCACACACCAGCCGGTCACTGCAGGCGCTGCCGGTTAGAGGCAGCCCCTCTGTACCCCCACCACTAACGGTAGAACGTTCTCAGGGATGACTCGTGCAAAGGTGCTTAAGGTTCTTCTCTCTTTCTTTCAGTTTTTACCGTTATACGGAGGTGTCCATTATTCGAGGGATCTTCGAACACAGATTTCGAATAAAACGAAAATATTCGAAATAACTTTTATCTAATTATTCTGTTAAGAACGTGTATTCTTATTCGAATAGAAAATTACTTTTTATTCTCGAATATCTTACTTCTACTGGATCCGAGATTGGCAACGAAATACGTGATTTTCTAATATTGTTTCCGTCTCTAAAAAGGACTCTGGCTGGCACAGAGTCTCTAAATGTAAAATCATCTCTACCAATAACAACGTTTGCATTTTTACGTATTAATTCATAATTGGACATTAACGTTTCTTTCCTCTGAATTTTATTATCTTATTTACGAGATAAAAAAAATACCGATGCGAGCGTAGCTTAGCGCGCGTTTATTGTCAATATAATACAAGTTCATTGTTTGAGCAGTGCTTCCGAGATCCTATGTACAGTCCTGAAGTCTCCGTTTTCATGCGCCTCTCACCCTAAAGTAACAATTGCGCCCCTGCGTATACATCCCTTTGTAATTGTGCTGTGTAGCTCGAAAAAACCGTTAACTGATAATTCCGTTATTGCGTGACCTATCCGGATTTAATGCGATTCTATAGCTTCGTCCTCCGCACTACGATAGGCTCCAATCACATTAGATTTACATAGATGGTTTGTTCATTATCTTGCCACGATATCACTACACGTAATTAACACTTTTTCGATGGTCAAACCGAAACTAATTCGCACTGTATGTATTTGGATAAGCACCATGAACACGTGATATTTTAACTTTGAAAGTCATGGCGGATAATCTACTTGAAGAGTTAAAATCGATAAGAGCGGTTTAACGACATTGTAGGATACCCACGGTATTGTCGGTATTTCAGAAAACTTATCCACCGTAACTCCAAGTGGTTATCTACAGCGCCAGCGTGAGTGTTTGTGTGCCGCCATCTAGCGGCAAAAGATTAGAACTAACGGAAGTGTAGTTCCAAAAGTGTGTAGTTCATATTATTACGCAGGAACATGTCCGTGAGTTCCTGAGACGTTGTACGCAAGTTCGAAAACAAGGTAGAAAAATATTATATGTGTACTCTTACAATGATAGTACAGTAAAACCCTTATTAAGAGACAGTTTTTAAGGGATACGTAAAAACTAACTACGCCATCATTGTGGGTGCTTCGACTACTTTTTCTTTGATTCCTTTCTTTGCAAAAATTTACCGCGCATGTCTATCTCTTACGATTTAGGACTGCGCAGAGGGTCAAGGTTAACTGATTAATTTCCCGTGCATAGCACGGCCGTCACACAACTTAATAATTAAATGATTAAACAATAAGTTTAATTAAGTTACGCACTGTATGAAAAGTGGTGAAAATAAAGAAAAATTTATCAACAATCATTGTGTTTTTATTGTTACCCAACAAATCCAATAGCATAAAAATTTACATATTCGAAAGAGAGAATTTGTATCAAGAGAACATGAGAATTCCTGGAATTTGACATCACAAAAATTTCAAGAAATAGTATGATAGATACCTCCTCACAACTTATGTTCTCCTGATACAAATTTTTAAAATCGGCCGGTGGAATTTCAAAAATCCTGCCCGGGCGTTCCTGGAATTTGACGTCACAAAAATTCCAGGAAGTGGCACGAATACCTCCTCACAACTTATGTTCTCCTGATACAAATTTCCAAATTCGGTCGGTGGAATTTGAAAAATTTCGCCCGGGAATTCTTGGAATCTGACGTCACGAAAATTCCAGGAAGTGGCACGAAAGATACCTCCTCAGAACTTATGTTCTCCTGATACAAATTTCCAAAATCGGTCGGTGGACCTGCAAAAATCCCGCCCGGGAATTCTTGGAATTTGACGTCATCAAAATTCCAGGAAGTGGCACGAAAGATACCTCCTCAGAACTTATGTTCTCCTGATACAAATTTCCAAAATCGGTCGGTGGACCTGCAAAAATCCCGCCCGGGAATTCTTGGAATTTGACGTCATCAAAATTCCAGGAAGTGGCACGAAAGATACCTCCTCAGAACTTATGTTCTCCTGATACAAATTTCCAAAATCGGTCGGTGGACCTGCAAAAATCCCGCCCGGGAATTCTTGGAATTTGACGTCATCAAAATTCCAGGAAGTGGCACGAAAGATACCTCCTCAGAACTTATGTTCTCCTGATACAAATTTTCAAAATCGGTCGATGGAATTTCAAAAATCGCGCCTCGAGTATTCTTGAAATGACGTACGAAAGAATTCTTGAAGTAATGTTATGAAAATTCCATGAAGCACAAAGAATACCTCCTCATAATGCATGTTCTCCTGGTACAAGGTCTCCATACTTTGTTTTTTATTTTTTATTTTTTGAAATTTGGGGCAATTTCTGGGGATCGGAATGACAGGATGTGTAAGTAAGTAAATATGCAAATATGTTTTTATTCATATTTATTTTCAAACACTTTTGTACATCAAATGACGTAATATATTTTATTAACAGATAGATACATTATATGCACTTAATTCTAGGACGGAATTATCATAACAATATGTACATATTAGTGTGCGCTGTAGTACAGGATTTTGTAGAAAGCTAATAAAAATCTGTTGAGAGAATAAAGATAATGTAGCAATTAATTTGCCTCTAAAAAGTTGAAGAAAACTGTAGGTTATAGAAGAAAATATGATGAATACATAAATCGGACGATTGCTTTCTTGCGCTGTGTTAAATGTCGTTCACATTAGGCTATTTTGACATGTACTTGCCTAATCTGAACGCCCCCTTAGGCAGGTTCGCCGCAGCGCCATCTAGCGGCGACACGTGGAACTTTAATTAAATGTCGTTCACATTAAGCTATCGCGACTGGTAGTTGCCTAATCTGAACGCCCCCTTTAGGCGAGGCCGCCGCAGCGCCATCTAGCGTCGGTGCGCGGAACTACAATAGAAACTCTGCTGATGGTATATTACCGTTGAAGTGTAATCAATTAATTACCGACAGAATCCGGTCGGTACCTTACACGTGTGGATCATAGTTCTGTAGTTTGTTGTGAGATGGCGCTGTTTTTTTTTTTTTTTTTAAAGGATTGTTTCCTTTTTTCTCGATGTATTTATGTGTTTCACCCTATGGTGATCATCAGAGTCATCGGACAAGATGACTTAAAATTTATCTTTTCATGCACGCCGGCTCGAAACACCCAAACAAGTAATTGCGTTTCTTCGAAAATAAAATATTTTTAAGCGACGTTGACGCTCGGAAATTGTTCTCCTAGCACGATAAAGCGAGAAAAATGGCATTTTCTATTTGAAAAATTTTGACTAAGCGAATCTTTTAAGGGAATAATAGATTACTACTGAACACGATCTAAACCTTAGGCAAAAGCATTCGTCGAAACAAGCCGCGCATGCCAAACAATTACACTTGACAACGGTTGGTTCAAGAAACGTTAGCGGTCAGTGTGCTGTCAATACCGACAGCTGATCGGGTTGTCAGGTTATCGAGTTCTTTCCTTCCAGCGAATGTATCAAAAGAGGAGATCGATTTTCTATTATAAAATATAAGTAGCATAGTGTTAGTACTAAAATGTTTTATAAGACGCTCTTACGATTATATATAAGTACATCGTGTATCGACAGAAATATGTAGAAACTACTAACTGCACGCAAACTACGTTACAAAGAGAGAGAAAATGAACTATTGTAACAGTTAATTTAATCACAAGTGTAACGGATTATGCGTATATACACGTTAAAAGGATCCTGTCCTTCCGCGCACACTAGCTTTAACAGAAACATTTCTTTTCTATAGGTGGTACGCGGAAAAGAGCTTTTTTTAGAACGTTCTATGCGAACGACCGTCAAAGTGAAAAGACCAGCTTAAATAAAGTACGAGGTAAATTAAGGGAAAATGACCGACGCGACGAGATTATGCGAGCCCCGTCTAATCCGGAAGAAGACGAGGAAGTCTTCCTATCAAAAGCGATTTTTCAAGTACATTCGATTCGTGTTCGTCTTCTACGGTATTTTAAAAATATTTCAAATTTCTATTCTCAGAACGCAGTACTACTTTACAAAAGGCCACGAACATCTGGGAGAAGCGAGAAATGTCTTCGAAGAGCAATCACCGTTCGCGTATCCTCCTTGCTCTCTCATGTTCTCGTATTTCCAATATTGGAAAGCAAAGAAACGTTCGACGAATTTGGACCAGAGGAGTGGCGTTTACCAGAACAAGCGAATAGAAGAACTTTTGCGTAGTCTTCGCGTAAGTAGTTTCGATCGATCGTCTTTCGAAAGAAAAATAACAATCACTCGATCGAACGATGTTTAATATTTAATATTTTGCTACTTTTATCGAGGTCGACGTGGACATCGAGACTCTGGAGGCGAAAAAACATAAAGAGCTACACGAGGCGATAGCGATAACGGACGTGGATCCACGATTTTTCAAAGAGCTATCTGGACGAGTGGTGAAAGAAAAGTTCTCGGTGACCGAATACGTGAACGATATTCGTAACATTTTCAAGGCTCGATTGTTAGCCGGAGAGGAACTGGACGATTGCATTCGTATCGATCAGCAATTTGTCGAGGAGCAGAAAAGTTTAAACAAAATCAAGGTTTTAACCGGTCTCTTTTTTAATCATTTTGCCCGGTAATCAGCATTTAACGCTCTTACATCGATATACGTCGAATACATAAATTGTTAAATTTAATATCGCATTATCTACATTAGCTATTCGTCGTTTCCACATTCTCCGCGTTAACTACCTTCGGGTATTCCACGATTAAATGAATTAGTTTCTATTATCGCGTTATCTACGCGTTTTGCATCCTGTTACAGACGTACGTAGAGACGTACGGCAATTACATTAGTCGCGTTTTCTCATCAGAGACGTTATCGTCGATACGTCAGCGGTTTCGAAGGCTTTCTGTCGAGGGATCACGAGGAAAGCATGAAGATCCTCGAGGAAGCCGAGAACGAAAGCAAGCTCACGAAAGAGATCACTTTGAAAAGGAATCAGCTCTCGAAGGAATTCGGTCAAGTCAGACTGGACGTGTACTACTGGGAAGAGAATTGGAGAATGGTGAAGATGTGCCAAAGATTCTTGTATAAAGTGTCTCCGAACGCCTGGCGCATGGAACACGATTGGATCTATCGTAGAGAATCCGTAGAGAGTATCGATACAGTCGACACGGCTGATATATTCGGTCGTTATCGAATGGTGGAACAAGTTCCTTCCATCGACGCTTTAATAGGTGACGTATCATCTTTACTTTTCGTTGCCGTTTCTTCGAAATCTTCTTAATCTGAGAAGGATAAAGCAATTAGATACTTAACGTAAACGTAGATTCTTTAAATATGCTATAATAGCTTATTAGTAGCTCTCTTAACTTACCTCGAGTTTCTCGAGTAAGATCTCGACGATCGACAGATTTGTTCGAGGAGGACATCAGATACGAGGGTCCGGCCGAGTTGTACTTCGAGGACCCGTACGAATTGGTCAGAGTGTTCAGAACGATAGAGATGCAAAACTTGAACGCGTTGATTCATCTGGAATCCCTGGCAGAACCGTTGACCGAAATGGTGTTGACGATCGACTCGGCAGAAGAGCAAATCCGGTTAGAAGTACAGGAATTGATTAACGCCATCGATGAGCTGAAAGTAAGTATCGTTATTGGTCGTTATTAGTTGTTAAGGTCCGAAGAAGAGTGGCGAAAAAGAAAATATCGGCGGCGATCGGAGAGGTAGAAAAAGATGACATAGGATCGCGTTGACCGAAGGATTCCATCGAAAAACTGGAGACGAGGGCGATAGATTTGGAACAATACGCGAACAGGTTGTTGAGGAGCGTGTTTCGCGAGGCTGTTTGTTCCGAGGAGGTGCTTCGTCTTCGAGTGTTCATCGAGGATGCTTACGAGGCTTGCATCGGTCCAAACGATGCCAATTTCGACACTTTTACGATGATGAAGTGGATCGAGAAAACGCACGAGGAGCTGAATCTGGAGCTGGACGCGTTGCCTCCGGAAATGGTTCGAACTTACGAGAAGGAAGGCTTCAAGCAAGAGCTCAGGGCAATGAAGGAGACGGAGAACGCCGCTAGAAAGGTCGGACAAAAACGTAAACGTTATCGAAAGTCGACGAATTTGCGAGTAACGACGTCTTTTCGATTCGTAGTTCGAGCTTATGCATCGACTGTTAGACTCGTTGAAACGGGCGATGGAGCCTCCGATAATAAAAAAGCGGCCTTTGATGTGGCGTTCGGTACCGCTCGGTCAAAGGGTCAAAGAAATTCCAGCACCGCTGGAGCCTACCGAGGAAGAGAAACAGTATCTTGCCTTTTTCACCGAGTACTGCAAGGACGAGGACTTCGAAGCCTATCGTTCTTTATTTCCCGACGATTTCGACCTTAGTTTCGAACCTCGACGACGCGAAACTATCCCGGAAGAGGAGGAGAGCGAACGGACAACCGATCTCGACAACTGATCATAACGCGGTCAAACGTTTCGCTAATAATTTTTCATTCGATGCTGTTCCATACCAATTTTGCGTTCTCAAAAAACAATAAACGTTTCTCGTTTTCGCGAATGACACTCGGCAAAGAAGAAAAACCGTTCCACGTATAATTTTTCACGCGTATAATCTATTTGTCGTACAATATCACTCCTGAAATTACTTTCCTTCTCTTAAACCCTCTCTCTCTCTCTCTTTCTCTTTTCCCTCGCTTCGTGCACTCTTTCTTCCCGTCGCGGCAACGGAATCCTCTTGTTCTCGATAGACTGTAGCCAGTGTCCTTTGGGAAAGCAGAATGCAAAAAAGGAACCTATGGGCATTCTTCGTTGCAAGCTTTTCGCGAAAGTAATCTGGAGTTATGGAGGCTGTTGGTTTTTCACTTTTTTTCTCCTCTTCTTTTGCTTGTCGCGAAAAGAATTTCGCGACGAAGCTGCTCCCCTCTCGAATCGAGTTTACCAGGAATTGCACGAACGAAGCTGAAGCTCTTTTAATTCCGTTTCGCCCTTCTTGAAAGTCTGCGTGGCTCGCGATAATTCAGCCGACCGAATAAACTGTTTGCGCCGGTTAACGGATGTGTGCTCGAGAACGACAATCTATTTTCTACCTTTTCGAATCTATGTAATCTGTAAAAGAAATAATGGTTAATTAGTTAAGCGATTCGTGCACTCGACAGATTTCCCAATAATTTAAGAGATAAGACGAGCACGTTTATTCGAAACGTAAGTTCGCGAAGGTACGCGTTGTTCTCTCTCTGTAGAGAGAGGAGTCTCGGTTTTGACGATTTTGATCGTTAACGAACAGCAAAGTAATCGAGAAGAAGTCGAAGGCATAGACAAAGAAAGGCATTCTTGCGAAATGTTCACGTTTGAACGCATGCGCCGGCGAACACGCGCGGTCTGTACTCGGCAGAACGGTTGCTTTCTTAAAACTTGAATCCGCGGTTTTTCATGTAAGCGAGAAACCATGGATCCGCGTTAAACCGCGTTAACGGTTAAAGGCGAAGCGATAAAGGGGAATCGTTCGTCGGTTGTTGCGTTTCGAATGAATTTTCGCGCGGAACAAACAGTTCGAATTCGAAGAAAAAAGAAAAAAGCGACGCAAGAAACGCGGAAGCTTCGTAGCTGTCGCGACGCGAAACGAACCATCGGAGCGTGCAGATTTGATTAATTCAATTACTTAATTGGACGACGAAGATTTCTGATCCTGAAAGCTCGATGAATTATTCAGAACGGGCTGTCTGTGAAAGTAATATCGAAACGGTGGAATACGGTGGATCGCGAATAATTGAAGAGTCGTCGAACGATCTTGCTACGATTCGATCTTTCCTTCGTATTCGCGGTTACACGAGATTTATCAATTTTCTTTTTTTTTTCTTTCTTACGATCGTAATAAGTCGTTGTTAATATTAACCTAACACGTAATTAGCAAGAATATTCGTAGCTTCCATGCTCCTAGAAGAATGGGTAATGGTCGGATTTTACGTACCTTCGCCAGACCTATCGTGATTATCCCCATGGCAACGAGGATTGCTCGATAGCGCAGTGACTAGGGTGCTCTTCAACCACCGCCAACTACCCCTCCGTTCTTTCTCTCCCCTGTTTATCGTCTGTCTGTTTTCAAGCCTCGAGCCTCGGTACAGAGCATACGCGTATAGCTACCTAGCTACCTCCTCTCCTTTCGAACCGCGTACTTTGCCCTTTATCACGTTCCTCTGCTCCTCCTCTGCTATATTATTCGCTATTCAACTATCCGCGACCCTTTTGTCTCGTTCGCGTACGTCCGCGTAATCGTACTCGATTACGCTAACCAACGTTTATGCTCGTCTTCTTCGTGTTCGGCGATACCTTTAATCAGGAACGCGCGAGAAAATATTCGACGAGATACGCGAATAGAACCGCGTGCAACTTGTCTTCGACTTTTGGGGACAATATCTCCAGTAGTCACGCGAAGTAATTTACAACGTTTCGCAGTCTGTAATCGATAAGAGAGAAATAAGAAGACGTCGGTAAACCGAACATTTTTTCGTAAATCGTGTACCACGCGAACGAGTCTGCTTCGATTTTCGCGGCGAAGGTAAAAAAAAAAAAGCACGAAATACGCAAATCTGCCGTTAATCCAGCAGCAGCCGGACAATTTCAACAATGGATTCTCCGTAGTCCTGCTGAACTACTTTATTCGTTATTCAACCGTCCGTGAACTCCGAATAAAAGAGCTCTTTGTCTCGAGTGCTACTCGTCCACGCGTTTCGAACACGAAACCGTCTCTGTTTGCCGTTGCGCACGAGCTAACATCGTTTACGATACCTAGTTCGACGTCGTTACTACTAAAAAATATCCGATAACGTTATCGACGCGCTAACGATTTCGTATAAACTATCGATCTTGAAGCCGCCGACAAAGGTAACGAACAATCGTTAATTCGTTCGACGAATTTCCGAGCCTGCCCGTTCGCGAACTTAAATCTTAAACGTTAAATCTGTTCGATTTTAAGTGACCGACTTTGCCAGTGAAACTAATGCCGTCTTGTCCCCCTCGTGGCTACGTATTCGGGTTAATTAGGTTCATTAAAGTGGACGGGCAACGGCAACGCGAGATCTTAGCGTCTTTGTTCGTAGTTGCGCGACGTGTTCGGTGAGAAGCAAGGAAAACCGTCGTTTCATCGAGTCTTTCCAAGGAGTATTCGAACTTTTTCGATCCGTTTCGCTAGAAGAATATTCGAATGTCCGTTATGACGTTGGTTGGAAACCCTTTATTCGAGTCGAGAGGCGAAATAAAAGAGTCGGTGCGTGGTCGGCTATCGAAACGCGGATCGTATCGTATCGGCAATTTGGCGAAACAATAGCTGGAAAGGATGAATTTTCGACACGACTATTCGAATTTCAAAGAAAATTTCATTCGTATCGAACGATTTACGGTCGAACGATCCGTGTATCGAAGTCGAATTGCTGGCCGATTAGGACATAGGAAACGCCTTTGAGATTGATCGAGAAGGCGCCGGGCGAGTGGGCGTCCCGACCTATCGGAAGGAAGATTCGTTCGAAAAAATAGTACGCTACCTTATATGCGCAATCTTGCCCGATCGTTCACTTTTCCATCGTCGTTTCTATAGAAGGAGCGAAGCACGATCCGAGGCGCCCACGTTGATTTTCCCAGTTTCCTGATCTATACCCGTTCTTCCTAAAGTTACTCTCGATTCCGCGCCAAACGACGAGCAATCGTTAAAAAGTTCTTTCTCTTTCGTTTTACGCCTTTCAGCCGCGACTCTACGCACGTGTGCAAACGCGCATCTAAATATATTCGCATACGAAGCACGCGCTGCACCGCCTACAACGCGCTACACCACGTATTCGACGATGATCCGAGGAAAGCACTCTCGTGTCTCGAGAACACTCGCTGCAAACTTTCCTCGAGCAAAAAAAAATCTTCGTCGAAAAATAATTTATTCTCGTGTTTCCGTTTTACTCGCGTTCGCGTTAGCGGACCGAACAAACTTTATTTATCGATAACGAAACGATTAAACGGTAATTACGCGAGATCACGCAGGCTACGAGCTTTTAAAACGCTCGCAATCGGACGTCGTTTAGCATATACCGTGGTCTCTTCTCTCGAGCATTTCGAACGCAAACCGTCTTCTTTCTTCGACTAGATTTTTCGCGTTTTTAACGCGCCGAAACGAGAAAGGTGTAGAATTTTGCGTCGATTTCCAGGAGAAGTTCATCGGATGCTATCTAATTTTCACGGCATCCGTCGCCCAAACGTATATTGTTTCCATTGTAACGATACGAACTTTCTATCATTGTTTCCGCGAACGTTCGCAGCCTTCCTCTCTAACGAGGCAACGTTTTACAGCTTGTAAACGCGAACGCTTTCCATCCGGACGGATGTTATCGACGTTTCCATACAATCGAACTAGACTCTCGACAAATCAAGTAATTTATCCAACGATTCTTCTTCGACTTACTTTAATTTATACTTTTCCTTTCTTTCGATCGGTACCTTACGTTACGTGCCTCCGTTCAAAATCAAATGTATTTGTACGGTTCGCGTTTCAAATCTTGGAATCTGAAATACACGGTAAAAACCAATGAAACAATAACAGATAATTTTCTTTCATTATCGTAATGTTCGAGCATCGGGACCGCGACGTCGACTTCTAACGAATCTTCCGGTAATTACGTCGCACCATGCGAATCGAGCAAACTTTCTATGGCGAGCTCGAAACAACGACGCGCGGTGTCAGACTGTCAGCGAACGCGCGTGCATTCTCTTATCGAACGACACGATCTTCTACATTTTTCTAATTATCCAAGTTTCTACGTTAATCCCGGTACGGTCGGTTTACTCGAGAAAATTTTTCAAAATTTCTCTCCCCGAGATCTCTCCCATCGAACGTATAGAAAAACGGCTGAAATCCGATCGATCGAATTCCTCTAATCAGTCTACGGACAATGAGAGCCCGAAATTTTCTCGAGTTCCGAGCACGAGCCAACAAACATTCTCCTCGAACCTTGAAATTACCTTCGTCCGGTCGATAACAATTGGCTGGTGGGTTGTTCGGAGCGTTTCCTCTCGCGTAGTCTGTCGTCAGACTACTTGTTCATGCGGGTCAGTCCGTAGAGGCGACGTCGGAAAAAAATACTCGCTGGAAGAAACGGAGAAAAGGTAAAGGGTAAATAAAGGGACGGTTATTGTTCGCTTTGGATAGGATGTACGTTTTCAGGAACCCGACGTCAGCCTACTCGTACCGCCGTACGAATAATCGCAGCTACAAGAGTTTCAATTACCGAGAATTAGACCGAAATAATTATAGTATTCGATTCGAATCCGTAGCGTTCGGTAAATAGCGGAAAGTCGATCGTACGAAACTAGTTGGAAAGAGAAATAAAAGCGGGCTGAACTGGATAAACGAGTAGTCGTCGGTTAAAACATAACGGAATTTATTTGGAAAAAAATTGTTGCCGACGATCGAAAAGGATCCATCCAGTCTGAAGGTGGTATGGTGCACCGTCGACCATCGTACGCGTACTCGCAACGTACGTACGCGCGCAATACCGCACCGGCGAGACTACTACACAAATATACGAATATTTTTCTTCAAGCAGCGAACGACAATGCGATAATTGTTCTCGTTACGGTAAAAACATGATCCTTTTCTTTTTTTTACAATTGTTCGTTCATCGCTATCGTTAAATCGTAGGTAATCCGATAATACACAAATATACGATCTATCGTTCGATCGAAGCACGAGATAAAATATTTGAAAGGTAATAAAACACAACAAGGGCAAGTATAGTATACAATAGAATTTTGAACGACAGTCGATATAAAAAACAACAACCATATTCGACAGATATTGGTCGACTTCCATTTCAGCCTGAAAATTCGCTGGCGCTTATCGAATCGAGCCGACCGATTAATTAACCAACGTTTATCGTTTCTTAAATCGTTGCTGATATGTTGATAGCTGCTATGTTCTTTTCTTTTCTTTTCTTTCCTTTCCTTTCATTGCTCGCGACAATACTTTGAAATTTATAAAAGCGAATTGGAAAGTAAACTCTCGTTGTTCGATTAAAACGATTATAACGAATACCATAGTTTCGTGCACTTTGCTTTGGTAATTTTTATTTACAGTATACGAAACAATGAAATTCTTATAAATAATTATGCATCGAAATTCTAATCGAATTACTTTCTTTCCGAATTATTCGATCCATAACGCAAGATACTTAGGAAAATGAACGGTAACCGTCAACTATCGATCTACGCCAACGAATTTTCCAGTGACCAGGAAATCCTACGAAACTTACAGCCTGCGATTATCTATTTACAAAGTGTCCTTACAGTATAAATTCTGTTTTATACTCGTTGGCGTAAGTAGGTAAAACCAGAATGTTCGTAGCCCTCTCTTCGAAATACGAGCTCAGTCTTCTCGCGCGGTGCGAGATACTTTGCATCGGCGACGTAAAAATTTCCAAATATCGCTCCTGTCTCTTCGACGAAGAAAGGGGAGCTGCGGGTCCATTCCGAACAAAAATCCCAATTACGCCAATGATTATACTCGTTACGATTTGCTCCTCGATATAATTCTCGGGTCGACTAGCATCGGTCACTCGTTACAGTCAAAATTTCTTTTTAGTTGCTTTAATTTCGTTCATTCGTTCCTCTGTTTCATCGATATACGGGATAAATCGCGCGTTCTCGTGGCGTAACCCTTCCGAAACGTTCGAGACAAAATGAAAGTACAGGTAGTCGATAAATGGCACCGGAACTTCTTCCAAATTGGCTGAACTAAAGTGAACGTTAAACAGACAGAATTTGATCAAACTTGTCTATTTCCTAGAGATAAGGAGGAACACGCGATATCGAGTGTTCGATAGTTTTCCGGTTTTCTCGACGCGTCGCGACGTTCCATTTCACGCATCGCCCCCCGATGCATCTTTATTTCCTTCGTTCTACTTTTCCTTACGTTTGCATACCGTCGATGACACGGTTCCCGCTGCGCAAACTTTCCCGCAAAAACAGCATTCTTCTTCTTGCCACGTTTATATCACAATTTTCCCAGATATTCTCTCACGACCGTCCGATTGGCGGTAACACGATAGACGGTAAATCGATTTCGATTTCCACGTTCGACAAATTTACGAAGCGATGATGCCAACTTTTCTTCTTCTACCTTTTTTCTTTCGTAATAATTCATGAATAATAGACGCGCGAATGTTAACATTTCTACGAATATATCTCTTCGTTTCATCTCCCGGTATGCTTTAACGTACGAAGCGAAAATTGTTATGCTCTGTTAAAAAAGAAAAAATTTGTGCTTCCGATGAACACCGTGATCCGGTGATGCACCGATGATTCGTTCGACGAAATACATTTAGGAACGGCAGCTTTCTGTCAGTCTTCATTTTCGCGAACAACACTTCCGACTCTATTGCGACTTCCGTCTCACAGGAGATCGGTGTTCCGGATAATAAATGTGTCGCGTGTATCGTTCACCGCAAAACCACCGTTTCCGGTCTCGCGTTCCACCCTCCGTCTCTTGCCATAATATCGATCTGTGCACCGCAATAAATAATCAGTAAATTTCTTTCATCCGACATTAAAGCGACCAAACCGAAGTTTAATGCTCGACCACCGTTTCGGTTCTTCTCCTATTTACTATTTGTCGATAGAATCGACAAGCTAATAACGGTATCGTTCTTCTTCTTCGTCTTAGATTCCGTGAACGTTGTTTCATAGAAATTCGACGTTGATAATCGATACTTCGGCCCGATTCTGTCGGTTTATTTTCTTTCGTTTTAGAAACAATTTATTCAAGATATCGGAAATAATTGCGACGACGAAGCGCATATATCGAAACAAAGAAGGGAGAGCCACGAGAACACCGAATAAAATCGCTCGTTCAGACAGTGTTCGTGTTTTTCGCGATGTACGAGATCCAAAATCGAAATATTTGAAATCTAAGCAATTCTCATCTTGACCATTAAACGCGACAATTTACAAATAAAAAAAAAGGATTATTTTTTTTCTTAATTCGTCAGGTACCGATTATCACGAAAGAGTTGTGCTTTCTTTTGTGCGTGAATCGTTCGAAAATATGGCCGCTTTGTTTGCATTTACCTAACCACTCGCAATCGTATAATATTTTTCCAAGAGTACGACGTTTATATGCTACTATTAATTTTGCTTATCACGATGGTTCAGAAAATTTTACAATGTTTCCGATAAAAAAGAGACCGATAACGGTTTCAGTCGCGATCATGCGATAATTAATAAAAATTTAGATAAATGCTTATAAAATCCGAATTCGAACCAACATTTTTTTAAGCGGATACACTAACTACGTTTACGTAAAGATATGGCAAAATTTCCTAAAATAAAGTTGAATATTAAAAGTCGAAGAAAGATTAAATTGAAGCGCGATATAGGTAGCTCATAAAACGGTACGCGGAAAGTACCTATATCGTGTGTCGTGTACGGTGGTCGATAAGAATTGCTTGGAACGGAAGTGCGTGCGTCGAAGGATCTCGACGAAGGTAAAAAATCCACAGGCACGAAAACAACCCATCGTTTTCAGCTCTACACCGAACACCGCACACATTCTTATAAAAGTCCAGCTAATCTTACGAAAAGACGCGTTTAATTCTACTAACCTAAATATATCGCAAAATGATCAACGTTTTAATTAATAACAAAATTTCAACTAACGAACGTATCATCGCGTAGCAGCACCTTCCAACTTTTCCGAGATATGTTTTTCGCCGAGCTCAAAACGATCGATTCATCTTTTCCCATTGATTTTTTCCATTTGTTCGATACAACAAATACGATACAGACTCACGTGTACACGTATACAATGTACTAAATATCCGGGGCAAAAGAAAGGGTTCGTTATCGCATCGAGCTATTTTTTTTTCCTTTTCATTTTTTACAAAAGTTTCGTCCATCAGGAAGAAGCCATGATATTTTATACATTGTTTTTCATTCTCTCTCTCTCACGCGTTCGCTCTCTCTCTCTCTCTCTCTCTCTCCCACTCTTTCTCTCTTTCTTGTATAAAGGTGCAAAAAACTTGGAGAGGCACGATCGTTGTCGGAACTCCTAGGGCTCACGATTCACCTCTATTTATCGTTTACGATTACTGATAGTCGCGATGATCACGATCGATAGGTCTACTGTCGTTTTCTTCTTCTATTCGCTGCATCGATTGAAAATTTTCTACGAAACGATCGGTGAATCGTTATCTTTTGACCGTTTTCCAGGATTTAAAGAGGTTTTTGGGTCTTTCTTCTTCCATCTGGACTATCGGTGTCATACTCGTCAGACTTTGCTACATCAGTTCCGTTCTCTATTCTTTCGTACGACACATGTTAAATAAATGAAACAAACGTATGCTAGCGTTTAACCCTCTGCACCTCGAATGCGACTTTCTGGTAATAAGGTAATAATTATTAGCATCTCGATTGAAATTTGTTCCGCTGGTTAGGTGAAAAAGTCCCCTCATCAATTTCGGTGTAAAAATAAGAAAAACTTCTTCAACTTCGAACTATTCGCAATTACTCGAGGGCAAAAGGTTAATATTGGGTAACGTATCTCGATCCGTTTAAATCGAATTCGCGCGTCACCGTTACGAATACGTTTCGACGCGATCGTTATCGACAACGAAGCCGACGATGATCTCTCCTTTCCCTGAAAAATGACCTATGCGTTTTCGATATTCGGGGTAGCTTGCACCGGAAACGCGTAATCGTTATTCGCGGTAAAGCCGAGACTCTATCGGCGATCGAATCGTTAAAAAAGTTTCTCGAGGAACGTTTTCGCGATGGAGAATTTGGCAAAATAAAGCTTCTATAGAACGGGCGAAGAAGCACTTTGTTTCGTTGTCGTTCGACTATCAACGGAGTTTCGAAGGAACTCTCGCGTTACCGTCGGAAAATTCTTTAAATCCTTACAATTTATTATTCCACGATCCTCGAACGTGTTTCGCAGCGAAGGATAGGCTTTCGAACCGGTTCAGATCGGTTCGTATCGACAGAAAATAGTCTAAATTAGGTTCAGATCGTGATCCGGGCTTTCTCCTCTTCGTATCCTTACGATTCTATCTCGCTTCAACTCGCTTCTCGAGGGAGACTAGGTTCCGAATCGACTAGGATCGATCAAAGTAGCCGAGTTAGGTCGAAAATCGGACATATAGCCTCTGTTGTTTGTATCCTTATAATAACGATCGGTTTTCGAACTTTTAATCGAACGTTGTACCGATTCTGATCGACAGGAAGTAGCCGGTAGGTCCGAAATAAGATCTAGATCGTTCGTTGTTCGCGTTGTTCCAACAATCGGCAATTCTCATACTCGTTCGGATTGGCAGAAAGTAACAACCAGTTGTTCTTATTGTTGTTGCTGTTGTCGTCGTCGTCGTCGCCGCCGTTGTCAAACTCTTTCTCGGAAGACAGATTTTTTGCGCCTTTCGAGATCGGCAGAGAATCGTTTTCGGAGCTTTCGAAGCCACCCCGCCGATCCGTGCATTCGAATCGTTTCGAAGCTGTCCCCTTCGGGATCGTACTCGACAATTGGCATGCACCTTGAAACGCTCTTCTCGTCTCGACGCGAACGCGACTGAATTCACTCGAACACGGACGCGTCGTGGACGCGAATGTCGCAGCACGACGAAGAGGACGAGGAAGAAGACACCGTGAAAGGCGTGGCTGTATCCAAAGGAGAGACTGTTCGCGACTTACAATATCAGAAGACGCAAGTGCAGTCCTCCGAAGCCCTGGCCTACCTGGCCCGTTTTCTGTTCAGCTTCGCGAGTTTACGTCGCTTCAGGATCAGCTGATACAACGTGTCCAAACCTTCGTGGAGACCCTCGCCGGTGATGGCGCACGCTGGTTGTACCTTGATACAAGCGCTACCCGGCATTCCTGACAGTTCCAGAACACCCAGGTGCTTCTCGAGCTCGCCCACTTCTTTGGCGCCTGTGGACAGCAATATCGTTCGATCAGACGGAATAGGCCGAGCATTTTTGTTCGGGACAGCAAGCGCGATCAACGAAGGCATCAACGGAGGTTCCGATATCGACGTTGACGAAGATGGTCGGACGACGATGGACGGTAGAGAAATGTTCAGGATAGCAAATAAAAACGACCTTTAGCTTTCCAATCGACTGTTCGCGTGATCGATTCGAAAAAGAGATTCTAGATCTGGCTAGATTGAAAGCGCGCGTATCGTTTAAAAATAAATGCCGTGTACGGTCGGCACGTTATCGTAAAAGCCAACGCGTTCGCGAAATCGCGTTACCTGGCAGATCTTGTTTGTTGGCCAGGATCAAAATGGGTACACCGGCGTTGTCCGGGCTCCTAGCTGTCCTGGTCAGCTCCATCTTCGCCTCCTCGAGCCGCTCCGCGTCGCAGGAGTCGACCACGAAGATAATACCGTCCGTACAACGGGTGTACGATTTCCATAATGGTCGTAATTTCTCTTGCCCGCCCACGTCCCATACGAGAAAATTCACACCTGTAACGCATCGTAACATCGTTTCTTCCTTTCGTGATTCGACCGTGCAAAAGTATCCTTAAGGTTAATGTACCTTAAGGGAAAGCAACTATCTATTCGCGCCAACCATCGAAATATTTTTAAATTCCAATTTTCCTCGTTCGAGTCGATTTACGATAAGAATTTAGCGGTTTAAGTCGCGGTATAATGGAACGAGCGAGGAGCATTCTAAGCGACCAGGAAACGATAACGATTCTTCCTCTGTATACCCTATAGAAACGGAATTTTACGGAAAATCGATGCCACCGGATAACGTAGAAAAAGGATAACAAGGGGAAGCTCTTGAACGTTTCGATTCGTTGGCTCGATCGATGCTAGCAGGTTTCTAGGACGCGGAGAGATCTATTCGTAGCAAGAGGAAACCGACGCCGACATATTTCTTCCACGCGATAACTGTAATAGCCTTATCTCGGCCATGTAACGATTACTATATTTGCGCGTTACGATCGTGCCAGACAATTTCTGCTCTGTTACGCGTGCACCGAAAATCCTCGTTACGACCGTGAGATTCGTGCCACGGTCATCTGTTACTATTTCGCTCATTTCCACCGTTTTATTCTACGATCGAGAGTAACGAGGTTTCGGAGTCGCAAATAGAAGAACGGCGGCGAGTTACCTTTCGCTTTTCCGATGCCACCACGGATTCTCTCGCAGTTGAAACCGATAGTGGGCACGGTGTTGAGGTACTGATCGAATTTTAACCGATATAACGCGGTGGTTTTCCCTGCACTGTCCAGACCAAGCATAGCCACGTGGAGCGGCGTTCCCGTTCGTAAAAGCCAACGCGTTCGCGAAATCGCGTTACCTGGCAGATCTTGTTTGTTGGCCAGGATCAAAATGGGTACACCGGCGTTGTCCGGGCTCCTAGCTGTCCTGGTCAGCTCCATCTTCGCCTCCTCGAGCCGCTCCGCGTCGCAGGAGTCGACCACGAAGATAATACCGTCCGTACAACGGGTGTACGATTTCCATAATGGTCGTAATTTCTCTTGCCCGCCCACGTCCCATACGAGAAAATTCACACCTGTAACGCATCGTAACATCGTTTCTTCCTTTCGTGATTCGACCGTGCAAAAGTATCCTTAAGGTTAATGTACCTTAAGGGAAAGCAACTATCTATTCGCGCCAACCATCGAAATATTTTTAAATTCCAATTTTCCTCGTTCGAGTCGATTTACGATAAGAATTTAGCGGTTTAAGTCGCGGTATAATGGAACGAGCGAGGAGCATTCTAAGCGACCAGGAAACGATAACGATTCTTCCTCTGTATACCCTATAGAAACGGAATTTTACGGAAAATCGATGCCACCGGATAACGTAGAAAAAGGATAACAAGGGGAAGCTCTTGAACGTTTCGATTCGTTGGCTCGATCGATGCTAGCAGGTTTCTAGGACGCGGAGAGATCTATTCGTAGCAAGAGGAAACCGACGCCGACATATTTCTTCCACGCGATAACTGTAATAGCCTTATCTCGGCCATGTAACGATTACTATATTTGCGCGTTACGATCGTGCCAGACAATTTCTGCTCTGTTACGCGTGCACCGAAAATCCTCGTTACGACCGTGAGATTCGTGCCACGGTCATCTGTTACTATTTCGCTCATTTCCACCGTTTTATTCTACGATCGAGAGTAACGAGGTTTCGGAGTCGCAAATAGAAGAACGGCGGCGAGTTACCTTTCGCTTTTCCGATGCCACCACGGATTCTCTCGCAGTTGAAACCGATAGTGGGCACGGTGTTGAGGTACTGATCGAATTTTAACCGATATAACGCGGTGGTTTTCCCTGCACTGTCCAGACCAAGCATAGCCACGTGGAGCGGCGTTCCCGTAGGAAGTGCCTCGAGGAAGCCGCCGCTCGTGCCGCTCCTGCCCATCCCGGCACCCATTCCTCTCCTTCAAGACCAGCTCTCTCCTGCCTCCGGACACTTTACCCTCCGACTCTAACCTTCCCTTTCCTCCTTCTTCTTCTTCTCCTTCTTCGCTTTTCTTCTTTTATCTGGCATTTAGCTTCGACTTTCTTCCTCTACCGATCACACCTTACCGCATGTACCTTACTATAATATCTTATCGCCTTACGCGGTTTATTTCTTTCCTTCTTTCCTTCTTTCTTTCGCTGCCAGGATAGCCTAAGCTTCTCTCGAAATCTTCGGATATCTTCTCTGCGCACCTTACATAATTTTACAGATTTTTCACGACTCGTTCGAATCGTCGAGATAATAGAAAATTCGATCGAAACTTTTTGCAGTTTGCGTCAGGTTAGGCCGCTGAACGTCATCTTTCCTCTCCGTTGCCGCTCACCGGTTTATCTCATCGTGACCGATACACGCGACTCGAGACTCGCATCTAGTTTTCGACGTTTCTCCTTCCGATCTTGTTCCGTTCGTTTTTGCTTGTCCGTGTTCGTTCCTGTTACCGTAGATCCGTAGGTGGCGGATACCTTTCGTGTCCGCGGACCAAAGTCGAGGATGGAGAAGGAGGGTGACCGCTTTCGATGCTCGTCCCAGCCGTAAAAGGACTCGCTTCGAGGCCACCAACACTACCGCACCGGCTGAAAATGAAAGGAGAAACGCGTTAACGATGTGCCTTTGCTCGATCTTTAGCTGCTTTTCCACTAATCTTTTCTTTCTTTCACGATTATTTCCTAACGGCACGCTCCCTCTCTATCCTTTCCTTCTTTATTGTTTCAACCGTTTCAAATAATCTATATGTATACTCTCTCGCTTCGTATAACCAGCTCTGTTAGCGAACCAAACGATATCCGCTACACGAGTAACGTTCTTTCGTTTATATTGGAAAAATATTTTCCGAAATATTAATGCATTATTTACTAACGCGTCTCGTCGAAAAAGAATCGACAAAGAGAATTCTCTTCTGTCGAGTGCCTAAACCCGTCATAAAGCGGTCCTAAAACCTCCTCGATTCGAGATGCTCGCGAAAGAATCGTTAGGAGATTCTCCAGCGGGTAAAACTTCCAACCGAATATCGCTATCGATATTTCCGAACGAATTTAGGACATTAGAGAAATTTCAGAGAACAATGTTAGACGATTAATGACCGATATCGAAGAAAATATTCTGTGCCGTTGATTCGAAAAGAACGGAGAGAGGGAGGAGGACATTAACCTTGGCAATAAACAGCACGAGTCTAACCAGTGCACATGCAAATCTACCGACTGAATATTCCAGTTGCACGAGCCACGATTAATCCCTTTCCAGACTGGTAAACTTTATGGATAACAACGGTTACAGGTTTTCGACTATTAAAAGCGCCGCATGCATATTGCACGCGTAGACACCGCAATTCTCGAACCGCTATTATCCGCAACGAGATATAACTAATACTGAGACGGTCATTCTTAACAAATTATTTAATAATTAATAAATGTTAGAAAACAACAAGCAACACGATTTTTATTAACTCGATAAACCAAAATGCGTACGTGGCAAGTTTCCATTTTAGAACATTTGAAACAGATACGATACACGACACGTTCTGCCGACTTGTTCCGGTCTACCGTTCCGGTCTTCCGGTCTCTACCGTAGCGTTTTTCATCGATGCAAGTGAATCCTTTATTCTTATTTCCGTCACGATCAAATACACGGGTACAACGTCCGTGTGTTCGCTTCGATTCCATTTCCGCATATAAATCCTTCTCTCTCGCGAATTTTCAACGATTCCAACTTGAAATTATGTTCGAAGCGAATCGTTTCTATCGATAGCTAATCACTGGCGACAATAGTCGAGTATCGTTCGAATCGTTTTCTCTCATTTTTTTCTCCTCTCGCTCGTCTTCCCGACCATTGTTCCCTGTACCCCGATTTTCTCTAATGACGCAACTTGCCGCTTTTCTTCTTACTTTCCAACTAATCCGACACAATTGCCTGGGGCATTCTTGGTTATATACTCGTATATTTTCAAACGTATCGTTAACCTAACTCGATAAAGAGAAAAACAAATTACTTTTTAACGTTCACAGCTGTTTGAAAAATTTCGACGTTTCGATTCCGCGTGGATTTACTTGAAACAAGTAATTCGAAAAGAACGGGAAATACAAAATATTGGCAGCGATATCCGTAAAATGCATCCGATACACGTGCATCTGCATTGGCTCGCATCCCGACCCACTTTTATATCTTTTTTTTCTGGACCAGTTCGCAGCACCTGCCAGCAACAACATTTTCAAACACGCGTTCTTCTCGTCTTTTTTCTTCTTTTCGAGAACGGACTGTCCTCTCTTCGTCGACACCGAATTCTCCCGATACGCTTCGCTGTACCTACTAAACGACTGAAAATCAACCGAAAGACGAAAAGCGACGAGTCTTTGAAAAACAAAAAAAAGAAAAAATGAACGAAATGTTTGTTCGCGGTCTATTAGTTTAGCTTTAGGTTTCTTTAGGTGGCTCGTACAGTTGGCGAACCAAGAAGCCTTAAATTCACTCGAGCACGTACGGATTACGAGTTTCGTCTAGTCTAGACAGTCGAGGCGAGGAATTTAAGAGTCATTGGAAGGAGTGCCGGCTAACACCAAGTGTCGTTTTACGAGTCTTTCGAACGCTTTTCCGCGAAAAATATTACCAACGTAATAAAGCACGTTCGAACCACTCCAATTTCGAAGAAATTTCCTGACGAAACCTTCTCGACAGCGCACGTGTCCTTTCTTATTTTTAATCAGACAGACCACGGATAGTCGAGATTCGCGACGTTGATCCTCGATTATGAGCATCGTCGTTAACGAACGTTCAATGTAAATTATTATACTAGGCAGTAGGAAAAAGCTACTCGAGATTCAATGTAACGTTAACGAGATTCGTGTGTACGGGATCTTTTTTCCCTGCTGGCAAAACGTTTACACGGGTAAACAGAAACGATTGAAAAGAGTCGAAAGAGCATAGATGCACCCCATACACCCTCCGAAGCAAAACCGCGCCGGTAATTTTCGCTCACCGACTCGGTTCGACGCTCTTATTCGAATCTCGCCTCTTCGTTCTTTTACCTGTTTTCCTCGCTTTTCTAAAGAATAACAAAATTGTTCTCGCGAAGGACGACAAATCGTGTCTATTCGATGAACGGAACGCGGAGAAACAACGCGACTTTTGATCGCCGACCAAAAAAGTCAAGAAAATACTGAACGGTTACTCCTTTTCGTACGATTTTAATTCGATTTAAAGAGAAAATAAATTTCTGCTCGTACGGTAGGTAAAATTAGAATAGAGAAAAATGGTGTATAGTCTAGGCGGAAGAACCGAAAGAGTCGTGATAATCGGAGAAGTCTGAAGGATGATGACCCAGAACGGCAGATTTCTCTGACCGTGTGTATCCCCTCGCCCTCTCGGTTTAAATTTGATTTACCTACTTTTGCGCGTGCATGCTAAGTGTACCTTCTGTCTCGCGTTGGTCCCAGCGCATTCGAGGTCGCATCAATTAAAATCCGTGGCACGTCGAGCCTCTGAATATTTATAGAAACCATGCCAGTCACCTCTATTATACCTACTGCATAATATTGCATAATCGCCGATCGAATCGTACAATTCCTATCAAATTTTTAATCGATAATTAACTTTTACGTGTTAATTAGAATATATAAACAAACGCGAAGGAAGAGAATTTTTTGGAAATCCAAGGAATTTCAGAAACAACTTGACCAATTTTCGTGGAATTCCTCGATAATGAGACGCCGTTAGCGGAGTGATCGATAGCTTAGCAATAATTTGCTGGAAACGAGGAGAACCATTAGGGGAAACGAAGGAGATTACTCGATCGCGATAATCGGGAAAGAGATCGATAAAAGGATCACGCGTTCCTTACAAGTCTTTCGTGTTTATGTTCTAGTCGCGATGAACGATAACGTTCGGACTTCATAACGTAGGCTTTCTCGCTCGCATAAAGCACGGAGCAGAATAGCGGAAGACGACGAAACTAATGTAATAATCTATTAGAATCTATTGATTCGTGTTTCCGCTCTATGCGCTCGACATAGATATATTTCGAAGTTCATAGGTGACCTAAAAACGCATCGACCGACCGAGATATTCCGAGGCACGCGGAAAAGTAGGTAAACGAAATTTAAACCGCGCTACAACATCGACCAACGTAAACACCCTTACAACGTTTATTCGCCTACCGCTACACTGTTCCGTTTCCGAATTACTATCGCGTTATCGTAATGCTTTTGCTCCTCATTAGCGAAGAACGTATTTGCCAGTTTGTTTCGGTAGGTTATCCGAACGGTATTCGAACGGTATCCGAAAAAGGAAGAGGAAAAGGTCGGAAAAATGTGCAGGATCCCGCGACGGCTTCGAAGGCAACCGAAACTAATAATAGAGCGCGTAACAGCAGCACAGGATACATAGGTTAAAAGTTGGGTAGAGCGTATCTGGAACGCGGGACTTGGCAAAGGGAAATCAGTCTATCGAGTAAAGTGGGCCTGCCTCGTTATTCGCGATCTAGCTCGATAACCCTATAGCCTGCTGTTTCCTACGATCCACCGTCGCACTTCGACCGGTTATCTCGATCGCGATAACTAGCTATTCGGACGAGAGCGCGATCTTCGCGATAAGTCACGGGACTCGGTGGAAAAACGCGACCTCGATCGTGCCTTCTTAACAACGAATATTACACACGATTATTATTAAATCATTACGACCGAAAGTACGATCAGGATAAAAGCGAGATAAAACCGAGATAATTAAGCCGCTGTTTGACCGTTTCAGCGATCCGCTTGCAGTGGATTTCTTGCAACGTTTATTCGAAGCAACGAACACGCCATTCCGATTCGAAGGAAAAATATGCAAAAGAAAGATAGGCGAGTGTAAAATTGCAGCTAGAAACGAAATTAGATTTGGCAGCATTTTATTGAAAGCGCACGTTCGTACGGTGGCAAGGCTAGTACCGTTTTAATAATAGAAAACACGAAGGAGGAGGCGGTATCCAAGTATGCGGTGAAACGTAAGACCGCTGCCATTCGTGAGAAACATGGTGTTAATTAGACGAATGACTGAATTACCGGCAATTTATTCCTGGGAAAACATCGAGTGTTCGCTTTCGTACCGGCTATGGGTTTACCGTACGAAAGTGGATCTCTCGTTCGGTTTCACCGCGATTCAATTTCGATTCCCGCGCAACTCCATTCAGAAGCTTCCTCGTTGTCGGATTCGCGCCAACTCGAAACTCGAACGTTCGATCTTCTTTCAACGATTTAAACGCCTTTGTATCGTCGTTTCGTCGCTTTCTAGCGAAAGAATTAATCGTTAACGTCCGATACGACGAAACGAAAGTAATCGCGAAAGGTTAAAGGCCATGGTCACTCCCCGATGCTTCACGCCATTCGTTGCCAATTACTTCATTTTTCTCGATCGAGTAATTAGCATGTTCGAATAATTCCAATAGCGTAATTTTACTGGTTCTTTTATGCGCGGAAAAAGAATGAAGGCTAGAGCCAGAGTCAGAGCGTAAAGCGTAAAGCGAAGAGTGTGCAGGGAATCGCTTTCACGAGCAGGAATTACGGATGTTACGAGCGCAACGACGAACGAAAGAAAATGGAAAAATTCCTTCGAATCGTGGAAGCGAAATACGCGGTCGAAAGAATTCGAGGAAAACGTGTTCCTCGGGTTTAACCACCATCTTAAGTCATCGCGCGGTTTCTCTCCAATGCACCTTCAACTACGTCGATGCACCTACGGCCTGCAATAATTGCACTTTCCGTCCGCGTTTTACGCGTTCGTGATTATTACTTTTCCGGTAAACCCCTTTTACTAACGGGCTCGCATCAACGCGATCGAATCGACGAAAAGATCTTTCGATCGTATACTGCAAATTGCAGTAGATCCGAAAAAAAAGAACATCGATTAATTTTAACGCGTAATTAATACGATTCAACGACCACTCTAACCGATACAATAATTTTGCAAAATACTTTTTTAATTATGCGAGTACGAAACAAGCTTTGGAAATACGTAGTGTATACGGAGAACAGTATCTCGTACAAGTACTGTTCGTGTATTTGTAAAGATTTGAGACAGAATATTGAACGCGTGTACGCTCGTAATGCGTCTATGCTGCAATCTACGATACACGCAAGGTTGGTGCATTTGAGAGCACGGCAAAAACAAAAACAGGAAGAAGGAAAAAAAAAAGAAATACCAAAGGAGGCTTTCACTTCACGGCCGATGCACAGACGGAACCGTCTCGAGGGCTTTTCGTTTCGTTTCGATTCCGAGGTTCGTACGATTTTTAATCGCCTCTGAAATCCGAGGGTGAACGAACTAGTGTCTAGTATCGACAAACGTCCACTAAACGTCGATTAGTCTAACGCGGTCTTCAAAATGTCATCTTCGATTCGGATCGCGTTTAAATGGATCGCGTAACGTCGTTAAAGAAAAAGCTGTTACTACTTTAACCGTAACTTCGGTATATTTGAAAGCGAGAAGAAAATTTCGCGATACATAGGAGAAGTCCAAGTCCAATTCCAATTTCAAGTTCGAGCGTAGATCTAGGTCTGTGTCAAAGTCTAGGACAACGTCTACTTTCGAATACGGTATTAAGTACAAGTCTAACTCTTAAGATAGCAGATTCGATCAAAATCTACGTCTAAGTTTACCGAGTTTACTAAATTTCAACCGAACTCCGTTACGACTCTGACTCGGCTGATTTACTAATTCTTATCTGACTAACCACGATCTACGGATGCTGCGAGTAAATAATCGTTAGTTCCGTCTGCCGATATAGAAAAATCGTGTAACCTACTGCAATAAAATTGAAGATCGAGGGAAAGAAATGTAACCTAGCGAGGCACAGTTTCAACCAACTACTCACCCGGAAAAACTTGTGACGGAGTCGAGCAGGATGATGTTCGACGAACATACCGTTACACTGATGTAACAGACCTGTCGACCCGTAAACTTACTCTTGCGTACCAACATAGTAAGGAAAAAGAAGATATAACCTTGAAGAATGCAACGACCCAGCTAAGATAACTTCAAGGATGAACGATCGTTTCTAATCGAGTCTCGAAACACTATTTTTTTCTTCTCTTTCTCTTTCTCTTTTTCGTTTAGCTCTCCTGATCTGAATATTTTTTTCACTCGGCGATCTACGATTCGTGAAATATTTTTCGTGCAATA